TGAGTGTTATGCAAGGGAAGACCAGGGTAATAACGGTATTCAAACAATGAAATCGCCTTTCAACCTCTCATTATTCGTCAGATCGATCGGAACGATACGTCGGAGGACTCGTGCTACCGAACGGAACATCCAGTCCAGCTGCATCCATCCTCGCCCTCAACATGCTCATCTGCCGTACCAGATGATGAACATTATAACACTGCATCTGTCCGTGAGACTCTCGGTTCCTTGGGATTTCAGGATCCAACGTAGGCCGTGGCTCTTGCGAAATAGCTCTGGTCCCAGGGGCTAAGCTCGAAGCGGTCGCAAGCGGCGCTACAGCGGAGCTTGCAGGAGGGCCTGTAGAGAGAGTGTGTGTGAAACAGCGGCGGTATACCAGGAACGTTCAGGTTTACGACCGGGAGAGATATTGGGCGCGATGGAAAGGTTTCCCAGATGGTGTGCGTCCCAGCTGTCACACTATTCGACCCTTGTCCTTCTTCCTCGATGCCCGATTGCTAAACATGATGTTTTGAAAAAAGAACAACCGTCGTGTCTATGTCGAGGATGCACCGATCTATGGATAAGGTGGTGGAGGTAGATGGAGATAATGGTGCATATGGTGATAGCTCCTGGTGTCCCTACAATTGGTTTCGTTGAAACTCGTGCGCGTGGAGATTGCGGGGAAGTGGACGGGGTTGACGTGATAGAGGAAGTGGACGACGTGATCGCTATAGAGAAGGCATCAGCACCGAAAACGACAGTGTTCTACATAACACACAGACAGCCACCATCCGAAACTGACGATTGGGTGCGAGTGGAAGAGCTATGCATACCCGAGGTGTGCGCGGTCCCGGTCCGTCGTGGCGAAGATGAATTCATAGGGGTGTTAAAAGTTGGAGTCGTGCAGCCTGTGAGTTGATACGGCTTAACACAACAGTTAACTAAGTCTGCTTACTCTGGAAACCCGTAGCTGATTCTGATGTTACGGTCACCGCCGATGTCGTATGGTCGGGCGTTCTCCTGTCGGGCCCACACAACTACTGTCTGATAGTCCCGGTGAATGCGTCCGATTGAGCAGTGGCCCCCGTCGAATCGTGAACTACGACAGCGAGAGACGTCCCAGGAGCAAATGTCACCAAGTTCCATAGATACGATGATGTCTGCTGGTCGAAGTTATGGACCTGAGGCGCACTTGGATCGTCTCCCAGCACAATGCTCATTTACGTATCTCCAGTCCCTCCGGACCACGAGAGCGACACAGATCCATAGTAAGCGACACGTTTCGGGGTGTCGATAGTTCAGGCGCCGAAGGTAGAGGCAATGAGGTGTGCAAGGGTGAAGTGAATTCATAGCTTCGTGATGGAACCGACCAGAGTGAGAGGAGCGAAAACGCGGAGCAGTTATGCAAAAAAGTTTTGAAAGACAGTCTGGGGAAGAATGGAACAACTGCGAATGGGGAGTAGGAGGTGGTAGAAGGCCTAGCAAAAGCATCTCCCAGTGGCCTTTTATATGTGGACAGCGTGTTGAAAACGAGCACACACAGCCAAGAAACCGATTCACTTTCTGTGCAGAGACGATGGATGATGAGCCCCATGGCGTCATAGGTAATATGTGTGGCGAACAGGTCAAGAATGGCAAGGAATGTGCAAGAGAAGAGAAAGCATATACCCATGTACGACCTACACTTCCTCATCAGATCGTCGTTAATATGACGAGCATATACGGATGGGCCCTGACGACGTTCTGAAAATCAAGGGAGATGAACAACCGTAAGTACACAGTGATAATGTGACAAACAAGGTCGTCAGCTAACTGAGAACATGCTTATGAGGAGACGGCTCTACGCTCCCCAACGTACTATGTTGAGTTCGGTCCCTATAAATCATAGCTTGGCCTTATATCGAGTTCTCGGACACCGTGATCGTCCCAAATAGTGGAACTAATATTGTACACTTTAATCGAACAAACAGTCCACGAATATGAAGGGAAAAACACGAAAGCAAGATGAAGGGACAAACGAAAGGCGCAGGGTCACGTTTTTAGGGAACCCGTTCCGTCAAACTCCGTTCCTTAATAGCTCAGAAAGCTTGCTCTCAATTTCCTCTTCGGCGGAGAATGAGAGAGTTGGGGCCCAGAAGAGAGTAAGCCTATACACATAGAAATCTTTGCCTGGCCGGAGGAGCACCACGATATGCATGGTAGTAGAACAGCTCCGCCGAATGTTCAGATCTGAAAGCGCGAAGTGCCAACGGAACTGATCAGTATGCTCTCCGGGTATCACGTTGTTGGCAGCAATTTGGCATAGCATTGCTTAGATCTAGTTCTATATTGCAAGTCGAGATGGTGGCGAAAGTCTCCAGATTGTGTGTCACGATTGTAATGACGAGTAAGAGACTGTTATGCAAGCTTGAAACTAGTCTGCGCAGTGAAGAAACGATCCAGAGTTGTATTGATTAAACTTAGCGCAGAGAAGCTTTCCAAAGACACACTTAGCTGGATACGATGCAATATCAAGGAGTAGGCAAGTTGTCGTTTCGTATGGTGTCGTGACGAGCACAGAGCATGACCAAGAAAGGATGAGCACCAGAGTAATTTCTAGCGGTGATTCCTGAGGGAAGAGTAGCAGACGAGGTTATCGAAAGTGGCCAGCCGATACAAGCAAGCAAAGCGGCACGAAAGCAGGAGGGAGGGAGAAACGAAAAGGCGCGCAGTCACATTTTCGTTACACCGTTTTGAACTCCGTCTGAAAAGCGTTCCAAACGTATGGCGCACGATCTCGTCTTGGCAACCCGACCCAAGCCGGCGGGATCGTCATCGGGCTCATCGGGGCTCTCGAGCGCGCCATGATGATGAGAGTCGATTGCCAGTGGGAAGTCTTTCTTTCGCTCCAGTTTCGTTCGACCACCCTCTCTCTTCGATCTCTCATATATTTCTAGAACTTTACCACAACTCTCAGTAGTATCTCAGGACCCTCATAGACTCCGTCTTGTCACTCGTCCACATATTCTGGAAGATCGACAGTACGGATATCTAGTGACGAATCAGGCAAGTCAGTCATTTTTACCATTGAGCTTGTCTTCAGGTCCCCAGCAGAGATGAACTGTGTACCATGACTCATTTTGCATTGCCATTCAACCAGACGAGAATCTCCTGTAGCTGTGGTCGTGTGAATCGCGCCGTCTTCGTCCTTGTCCGCTCCGGCGTCGAGAGCTGAGAGTGAGGCACAGCGTGAGCAGGGATGTAACGAAAGCGATTGATTTGCAGAGTGGAATAAGCAAAGGGACGCAGTAGAGCGTCAAGGGGACGACGAACACGGCGGGAGCACCGTCTTCCAGAACGACTGGCGGCAGTCAGAGAGCAAGTTCATTAAGCTGCTTCCTCGGCATACAAACCTCATAGTGCGCTCCTTTTATATTGATATCCACCAGCGAGGACGAAGAATGGCAAGAGCTGCTCGTCGTCGTCATCGTCGTCGACTTGAACGCGCTTCTTATGTTTTCTAACTCGAGGGCCGCCACGCACCAATCAGCCCTGGTGCTCAAGTTGCCGCTTTCCCTTTCGTGCCTCCCTCTCCTTATTGTAACCACCGCATTCGATTCACTTCCATCTCTATCAGCTTTAATAAACTGAACGCGACATTTCTGCTCGTTTTTTCGCGATAACGGTCCGCGCCACAATTGCCTAGACAGAAGGAGGCCTCTAATCTTCGACGGTCATTCGAACAACTTGCTCCCACGACTCATTAACGCTCGCCTAGTCATCGCTGCATCACGTTGAACGCTGTCCATGGATCTGGATTTGACGACATTGACGGCGGAAGAGAGAAAGGAGGCTGTGGACCGATCAGTCCGGGAGCCTTTAGAAATAACAATGACGAGCAAAGTGTGTTCGTCTCGCACAACTTGTAGACATTGCACTCTCTGCTTCCTCCCATCGACGCTCTTCTCGGTTTGAAACGCACCCTTGCCGCCTTTTCTGCTTCCATAACGCTCTTTGCTCCCGAACTCTCAGCATCTATGCCGTAGAAATTGTGTGGCGTCTATCCTCGGACTTGGAGCACGGCGTAGCATTTGTTACTTTCGATCGTCCATCTTCATCTTGTGGACGACGAGGGCCTTCCGAGTGTCTGTAATCACGACCGTGGTATACAATTCACTCCATATTACTCCGAGCTATGCGCAGTTACTGTACTTTTTCGACCAAGTGTTCGTGGGAGAATTATGTCAGCCGTGACCACCGCTGGGCCACGGTTCGTTCGGGCGGGCCACGCGTGACGAACAAGCAGAATTGTTCGCATTAGTTCCCAAAAATTGAATTTTGGGTGATTTTCAGCGCAAATTTGTCACGATTTTCTGTTCGTGAACCCGTGTGTACGCGTGACCCCGGGACCAAAACTGTTCGCCGACGCCCTCTGCGTGATGCGTGACAGGACCCCTGCGTATGCTGACGGAGGTCCCATCCGAAAACCCCCAAAATCGGTCGTTTTCGTCGCACGATTTGGGGGGTTTTCGTCGCATCAGGGATGGGACATCGGATTTTTGGCCATTTTCGTCGCACGTCGGATGGAACATCGCTCCGCATAAGGCCTTCCCAAGCCCTGGCTGTCAAAAATTTTCCCCAAATCATATTTTTGGCCATGTTTACCAAGTCTTTACCCCATTTTTTGCGTCCCCGAGAGACATTTTCGTCGCATAGCGGGATGGAACATCAGCATCGAAAAGCCGTTTTCGTCGCACTACGGATCGGACGAAACGCGATTTTTCGCCCAAAATTCGTCGCATCAGGATGGGACCTCCGTTAGCATACGCAGGGGTCCTTGCGTGACGAACACTTGGTCGAAAAACTACAGTATTTCGTACAGTCTTATCTTGGTCTTATCGAAAATTTCAGCTTCCTTCCAGGTCAATTTGGCACATACGTTCATGTTTATTATGAATCATGTGACACACGTCACCGCCGATGCCCCTCATACCGCTATACGTTGTCGCCGACACTCGACGATTACCTATCCGCGCATCTCAGCTACTGAAACCTGAGGAAAGGTTCGACTGCATTCCATGCCCTTGTCAATATCACAATAAAGAATCCGAAATATTGACACACTCACTTTCGCAGTCCTCTATCGGGTCGAATTTCTCCTTCCGCAGCTCGAGCTTACTCACTCCATTCCCTCTGTCCACCGGCACGTCTGCATCTGATGGGACCCATCCTCCCAGGTGCTTCTTCTCCTTCAAAAAACACCCGACCGGAGTCGACCGGAAGTGCTTCTCTCCCTTTACTAAACTAAGCGGCATCTCCGATTCATCTGCTGTAGACATCAGCCCCAAATCTGCCTCCTCACTTAGTGGATCATCATCTACTGCCTTGTCCATCACTGGGTCGATGACATGCTGCTTTCCCGACTCGAAACCAATGACGATATAGGCTCCAGGTCCGTCTGTACATGGGACGAAGTGGACATCCCGCGCATTAGCGGTACTCGGAAGAAGTATCGTGTTCTTCGGTTTCAATAGAGCGTTCTTTTGACCAGCGTCAGTGTTCGGATGTCCCGGAGGGAACAAAGGAACTCTGATGACGCTGAGTAGCTGGTCTCTCTCCGTTACGTATAGGGTATTCTCCGTCCATGTCAACGTGAAGGGTAGACGGGGAACGGTGAGCGCGAGCCGCCCGCCCAGGTGAAGTTTGACGCGATGTATGAGAGCAGGTGGACTTCGTGTCGTCTTGCGAGCAGAGAGGCGATAAGTCGAGACCATCAAAAAGAGTTGCAGTTCGTTGGTGCGCCGCTTTTCTCCTGGCATCCTGCGTCTGATAACCTGAGCTTCGAAAGAAGCGATGTGGAGATACATCCCGCATGAGGAGAAGTGTAGCTTGACCGATATGCGACGCGCTGCGTGGAGTGGCTTAGTGGCGGAAGAAACGATATCAAGTCACGGCTAAACTCACTGTATGGCGAAGATAAGTGTATTTTCCTCGTAAAATAAGTGCTGCTTTCCACGTCAGCAAACAGGATGTCTCCCGATCCCAATGGCCACACCACGAGTGCCTTGTACGGATGAATGACGGGTGGAGATGCATAGAGAGGTATACTCGAATGCTGAACAAGGTGAAAAACTCTTCGTGGAATATGTTCGCTGATGTCGTAGACCGTCAGACAAACGTCTGCTCCCTTCTCGGCCCTCTGCTTCCGCATAGCGTTTGCGTTCGGATTTGGGGCATCATTGGACATGCTGTCCATTTGCATGAGCTTGTCAAACAAGCGCCCAAATATCTGCTCGATGTCTTCTTCGTCCCCCTCTTGCATTATTTCTTCGAGGGGCGGCAGTTCGTCAGACGATGCGTCACTCGAGGGCAGTTCGAGGGAATCCGTGTCTGAGTCTGATTCTTCGTCTTCGTCACTGTCCGACTCTGCTGTTTCCTCGTCTTCATCGGTATCTGCTTCAGTATCCTGCTCGTCTGTGGTGCGCCCGTCTTCATCCCCATCTCCGCCGTGCTGTGACTCTACACTGGGTCCTGACACGGAGGTTACGTCAGGTGATTCTTCGGCCCCACCTGTCTCGAGTCTTATGTCTCCCTCGGTACCTACTGGTGCAGTGGAGTCAGAATCATCTTCGTATTCACTCTGTGAGCCAGATGACACCTCTGATTCCTCAGAGGAGTCATCTAGATACTCATCCGACTCAATATCTGAGTCCAACTCTTCCCCATTCTCAGTAGATCCTTCACTCCACGACTCGTAGGCCTCATCGATGTCGGAATCCGAAGAGCTGGCGTCATAGTCTTCTTCCTCTTCGCTTTCTGAAGCCTCCTCGTCGTAGCTTGTGGACGACCTGCATGAAAGCTTCTCCAGAAATTGGAGGTCACGTCCGAAGTTTTCCAGGGTACGGTACGGACTGAGAAGCGCTTCAGCAGCTGCGTATCCGCGGGAGCCCACGGCGATGAGTGAAACCCTTCTAGCAACCTCATCGAAATAGGTGGGTAGAGCATGCTCCGGATTATCGTTTTGCATCAATTCTCTGAATTGGTCATCCTCTTCTAGGACATAGAGGTGAGCACCAATACGCAGCATGCCCCCATCGTCACTGATCATGGTTGGAAGAGCTAGAAGCATGGGTGCCTCGTCAAGATAACGGCGTGTGTACGTGCGCCAGTTGGATACTCTTTCGTTTGTCTGAAGAGCCTGTGTTTTCTGAATGACAGGTGCTGTGTTGGCGCGATTTGAAATCCACTGCTCGCATGTGAATATGAGAGTTCCGTCTTGGTGATTCCACGCACTATTTCGCGGACAAATTCAGTACTCGTTCGATAATCCAGAAGGCAATATGGGCTGGACGTACTTCATTCTGAGGGACGTGAACTTATTCCCCACAATGTTCAAAGCTCCGTACTCCTTTCCGACGCGGAATGTATTCCCTTCTGAACTGTCCGCGAATTTAAACGAAGTATACCTGCCGGCGAACTCAGAGAAGAAGTTATCCTTCCCCAGCGAGCCCCACCAAATACGATCTATCTCCCCCAGGTATGGAAGGAATTTGCATTCCGGGATATGTTCTCCGTGACAGCCTCCACAGCTAAGGAAGTTCTGCCAGTCGTGAAGCAGTTGCCGGAAGTCGACGAGGTATTTGGATGCAAGGGGGCGACGCACTCCATGGTCCGTCTCTTCGACCATTAGCCATCTTGGCATGGATCGAAGAAGGCTAGGCTCCCCTCTAACATACCAAACGTCGAATTTCCCATCCACCCACAGCATTTGCATCTGCATGCATGTCTGAAAGTTTGGACTGGACATAAAGCTCTTGACGCGTAGACGAATGTCGTCCTTCCTGGACGTTGCGTAGGTCAGGACGTCGTCAGCCTCCAGATGCTTATCCCAGTATTTCGCCGCGTATAGCGCAAAATGATGGGTGTCGACCGAGTTCTTGTCTTTGTCAAGCCACCGTTTGACATCGTCCTTTTGACTTTTCTTGCAGAGCAAGTGCGAGTAAACCGGGCGAGAAAGATAGAGAAGACAAGCGTCGGCAATTGTGTGTCGAGTGACTTGGGAGAAGAACGAGTGAGCTTCTTTCGCCTTTTCATCAGCGTCAGAAGGCGCAGGTCCGTTTCGAGGTCTTGTCTTGAGGAAGTCGAGGACGCTCGCGTGGACGAAGCGACACGTCTCCGGCGATGGAGCAGAATCCGAAGTCGGTGTTTGGACTTGTACGAGGTGTATGGGAGTGTATCTAGCGACGAAGGCCTGTGGACGTAGTTTCCGCAGACGTTCTCCTTCGCTCTCCTTGTTTTTCCCCTGGGACATCAACAACGACGAGATTTCCTGCAACTCCTGAATGCTGAGAACTCGTCGTGCAAATGCCATCAACGAGATAACCTTCCTAATGTACAGATATAATGTTAGAAGCGATGTTGTTAGCTGAAGCAAGCGAACGTACACTGCGACTCTTCGGTCCTCTTTCTTGATCCTGAGGAATAAGTCTACATAAAGTGACTCTATGTCCTGAGGAAGACTAGACTCGCTCTCCTGTACTAGACCCTTGGTGATCATGGTAGTATTCGTCTCATCGGAGTCGAAGCTCTCCGTCATGAGCTTGGCCCAAAGGAAGTTACCCTGTGCCTTGTCGGTCAATTGCATGCGAGCTACGGCAAGACGAAGCTTGCTATCCAGGTCAAGACCTTCGGTTTCGTAGCTCGAGAGCCTATCCTGGAGCGAAGTAAACCTGCTCTCGAGAAAGCGCTTGACATCGTCATTGATGCGCGTTCCAAGATCGATTGAAAGATGGACGCGGTCTGAAAGATGGGTGGAGTTGGTGGGATGGATGATATCCTTGTGCTGTCGCCTTGCACACCAGAGGCGGATGCAATCCGGGACGGTGTCGCACAGGCGCATCAACGAGCTCACGACGCGTAGAAGTGGTCCAGGGTTCTCCGCTTCGTCGATTCCATCGATGAACAAATATGCCGGCGCGAGCGTAACGACAAGTTCCTTCACGATGACAACCAATTTCTGTGATCCGGCATCGAGGGCCTCCTCGATTCTACGGCGAAAGTCGCGCTCGATACGTATCCTGCGACGAGAGTAGGCTGAAAATAGTTGCTTGGCGAGCATACGCAAAAGCTTCATCTCATCGTCGCACGGGTGAGAGAATTGACAAAAGTAATATGCGACTGGGGCTTCGGGATACCGCGTCGTGATGTCCTTGATCGCAAATTGGGTCAATACCGACTTTCCGTATCCGGGAGGTCCATTGATGCAGAGCATATTCGACTGAGGCGTTGTTGACATCATCCATTCGATGTATTGCGAATCCTCGGTGAGCCAGGTGCATGTCCCTGTTTGATGTTCTTGTCGTAATGTTTCAAAACGTGCCAGATTGTCTGCGTCTTCCCTTTTGATCGTCTCAAGGAGCTGGTTCCGGATGATGGATCTGAGATCGTCTAGAACACAGTTAGATGCTTGTTGGACAGGAAATGAGGATTTGAATATACCGTCATCTCGATTTTCTTTCTCTGCGTGTCGTTGCGTCTCCCACTCTCTGTGGTCCCGGGCAGCTGCCTGCTCCTTTTCATTCACCTGACGTATTTCCTCAAGCGTTCTTCCTCGGCAAAGAGATGCCTCCTCTTGAATTTTGTCTACATCTTTCCGTAGTTCCGCCACGATCTCGAGGATTTTATCGGAAGGTGACTTAGCAGAGAAGGTCGTCTTCGCTCTTTCGAGAGCTAAACAAAAATTAAGGTCAGGAGCGTCATCAATAGGTCGTAGAAGCATAGATACTGACCAGATCGACCACACTCTTTGCTCACACGATGCCAGAACGTGATTATGTTTTTATATGATTGAAGGAAGATCTGCTGCATCCGATGCGAGCGACAATATAGTCTATCAAATGCCGGGATCCGTTCGATCTGTTCCGCAACAGTACTAAGGTGCTCTCCCATGGTTTCCGCTAGTTGATGTTGCTTTTCTACGCACTTTTTGTGAAAACAAGTTACTCAATCAGTGTTGAATAGTGATCGTAAGTATGCGATAGCTGACCTGTAAAACGAGCTTCACGGCTCCCCAGACTATACTCACTGGCATTGGTCCCGAGGAAGCTACCCAAATATATCGTCAATAATTTCAAGGGTGAAGTATTGGCGTGAGCTGACCTATTTGATCCAGGAACGAGCTGTATGCTAAGAGTGCCTTCGAGATGCGCAAAAAGGCTTTTTGCACAGGATTACTGAGCTTTTTCCTCGCCTGAACATCTGCTTCGATCCGAGACTGTATCCGATCATGTTCCAACAAGGTGTATGCAGGTCCTACAACTCTGCATTGATCGATGAAGTCACGTTTTCCTTTGCCTTTTGGAAGACTGTTTATGAAGTCGACCAAGGCAGAGCTGAAAGCGTCCAGATGAGTCTCCTCGTGATCAGCGTTGGGAAGCATAGGAGGAGATTGCACGATGAAAGGTGAACTCAGGTCAGGGAAAAAGTGATAGAGATATGAGCTTCTGGGGTTGGGGATGCTTGCGATACATCGTCTCCCGCTCACCAGAGTTTATCTGAAGTACGAGACGACCAAAATAAGACCATTGTCGGGATGGACACATGCTTCTCCGGCGATAGATTGATCATCCTGATATCATGCACAGGGAGCCGCTCGCATAGCCGCTCGCATCAACCGTGGATTCAACCCAAAGTCGTTCCATCAGCGTCTGAGGACACTTACGGGATGATACAGTATTGGGGACGTGTGATTATGCATCGTTCTTCAAGGCCCATATAGCTCGGCCCAATGGCGGGCATCAAGAATAAAATACAGAATGTTGGCTTTAACAATTTGTGAAGGAGTGGAAAGCTAAAGATACAACGACCAAGTATTCCGAGATTGATTATGTCTAATAGTTGGAATAATTTGTGCTATACCATTCAATCGCGCAGTAATACGTTTGGGCGCACACGAGACCCTCATAGCGGGAACGTGTGAAGCTAACATTAGATGGCATGCGAACATTCAAGCGTCCAGATACTGTGTGGCATCGCTTGAGCCTAGGTCACATTCATCCCTGCTCGACGGAGGTCAGATATACCGGAGCACTGAAGCATCGGAGTTCAGAAATTTCCGTGGCCTTCCCTTAGAAACTAATATTATCAGCACCCAAGGACACAGGTAAGAGAGCTGGTTTCCTCGTATCAGCAATTTTTTGGGCGGTGCTGTCCCTACAAAGATAGACTCTGATGGAACTTTGCGCAGTCTTGCTGATGCATAAGATGACAATACCGCAGAATCTCCGAATCTGTCAGTATATATTCAAAGGTTTCGTCACGGCCGATTTATCCTCAGTCAGTCTCTCTTCATACAATCTATCTGACGCTTCTACTCGTTGAAAGGATCTAATGGCGGGCGAAGAAGCGCCGAACCCTCCTGTCGAAGATATTCTCAAGAAGCGTATAGGACGCTATGATCTCTAGTCAGTCTCAATGCGGATTGTATTCTCTATGATCACTGATTGGTGGCTCCACCTTTAGCTGGGATGTGTACGTTTGCAACGCTACTGTCAGCGACCGGTACTGGAACTAACAGTTCTATAGGCGGAGCATGTCACACCAGCTTCGTAAAAGCAACAAACCCAAACGTGACAGGACCAAGGGAAGATATGCGCTCGTCGTCAAGCGGGTGATCGATGAGCGCGGACGATACGATGAAACCCAGATCGAGATAGAAAGCAAAAAGTTACTCGATCTTTTACTCGGAATCAATGACGACGTAGAGGGCTGCTCGCTAAGCAAAGTGAGTTCAACATTACTGGGGAGTGGCACGTATAGGGTTGTATTGTGGGACTTGTCTGATCTGATCACCTACATTTCACTCAGGGACACAGTCGTATCTCACCAAAATTCCTATTTCACTCCTATGATGCCCTCCGGGAGGCTCTGCGGAGCGAAGAAGGTAGCGCGGATAAGGATGAGGCGTTCATATACGACATCAAGAGCGCCCTTCACCTCGTCGAGGTTGACGAAGGTACTAGCATTCGTGAACTGGAGGCATCTTTGGAGAAGAAAGAAATAGCGTACGAGCTGCTTTGGGCCCTATTCAAGCCTAACACGCTCGTGTTCAACTACCACTCCGAAACCGAGGAGTCTCGAATTCTACTCTTTCGCGACGGAGTGTACGGCAAAACGGAACAAGGCGTCCCTTACTTCGGCTTGAATTGCGACATCATACACAATGACGGCTCTCTCTTTGGAGTTGCGCGAGTCAATTTACAGATCATGGGATATCGAGGCTCGCGGAGCATTACGACTCTTTCGGCATTTCCGCTGAGCCTTCACGCCGACCATGAAAACATTTATAATATGGCAGTAGAGCGAGGCATGCGGCGTGCACGTTTGGAAACGCACACCTACCATGAATTCAGCGGATACGCCATTCGTGAAAAGGAGTCGTTGGGAAACGTTTCCACAGAGAAGTCCTACGTGAGTAATCTCCTCGTTCGCGGCTACAAGTATTTGACAAAGCCACGTTTGAAAAATATGCGATCTGATAGTCTTCAGGACGCGTAATGATCAGTCCCTTGGCCTTCAAGCAATTCAACCCAGAATGCTCGTACAACCCAGAGGTTGTCAAACCCCTCTCTGAGGATAGTCTCTCTGATGCCGAGTACTCAATATGCTCCCCTATCGTTCTTGGGTTTGCCTTCAACGAGAAGTTCTGGGGTGAGTGTTGCTTTCATGGGAAACAATGTGCCATATATCTGATCGCTAACATCTGCCCAGGTGGATTTTCGATGTCTCGACTTGAGAAGGTCATTTGGAATGATGATGCGTTCGACCTTCTCGTTCTCGAGCACGAGAGAAAGACGCTCATTCACGGTCTCGTGAAATATCATGCCTCTCGTGAGCATGCCAATTTCGACGATATTATCCGGGGAAAGGGGAAGGGATTGATTGGCCTGCTTGCGGGAAGTCCTGGATGTGGGAAAACACTGACAGCAGAAGCGGTCGCCGAGGTCACACACAAGCCGTTGTATGTTGTCAGCGCGGGAGAGTTGGGAACGACCCCGGAACACGTCGAGGCACGATTGCTACGGGCACTACAGCTTGCTCAAACGTGGGATGCGGTGCTGCTACTAGACGAGGCAGATGTATTTCTGCAGCAACGCAGCACCCTGGATATCACTCGGAACTCCCTCGTCGCTATTTTTCTGCGCCAACTGGAGTACTACAAGGGAATCATGATTCTCACCACCAATATGGCCCAGAACTGCGACGGCGCTTTCGAGAGTACGTGTTATGCTCCACGTGAGAAGGACTGATACTTATACGACGTCTCTGCATTGAAAGGTCGTATTCATTTTTCGGTTCAATACCCCGACCTTGACTTCGAAGCGCGAAAGAAGATATGGAAGACATTCTTCGAGCGTGCTCAAGTGAGCATCACAGATTCCGAAGCTAACCAGCTGGCAGAACATCCCATAAACGGCCGTCAGGTGGGAGCGTTTCAACTGGGGTCAAACAGATAGGTTGCTGACCTCATAAACAGATCAAAAACGCCTTCAGCAGTGCGCAAACCGTATCTCTCGCACGAGGAGCGGCCCAGATCACCATAGAGAACATCAACGTAGTTCTCAAAGTTCTACAGCAATGGACGAGCCGTTCTGGCAACGAGAAGGATGCTGAAAATTCTACAAAAATTACTCCATGACGATGGATCGTGGCGGCTGTTTCCTGCATGTTTGTATACACTTTATCTGGCTTGCGAAAATCACCGCTGGAGTAGCGACGATGACAGTTCCGGTCCGAAAAAATGCCACAAGCAGAGTATTCCCTGAAAGAAGCTTATCACGGGGCATCAGACGAAATGAGAGGAATACGTGACGTTCTCGATATTGCTCGTGACGAATGCCGCCAGTGAACACTGCGATGATTCATGGGTAATCTCACAGAAAGGATTGTCATTTGAGGGCTAGTTGTAAAATGGTGGCTAGATAACAATTGTCTGACTGCGTCAAAGACAATGAATGCGCATCCTCGACCACGGAACGTTCAAAGATTAAAAAGGAGACGAAAGCAGAGGACCTATGGGGTCTGTGGCTTCAGGAGGGGCACCTCCGCCTTTATTGACAGGTGCTTGATGGTACAAGAGCGCTAGATGTGGTCTCCAGAACGCAACTGTCATCGGATACACCATGAACAGCGAACGCAGCACATCGAAAAGCAACATTCGTCATCGACGTCGAGAACAAGAGAGGTCACGCAAGTCACATTGACGGCATTCCAGACGAATGATCAAGGTTGCAGACCGAGCAAAAAGCCCGGCGTTCTTGTGTGACGGCAGCACGTACTGTCAAGAGTGCGTTCTCGCTATCTCAATTCCACAAATTCAGCAGAGGTTAGCACTCTATATTGAATGGAGTATTGACCTATACGTATCGTGGCCTGCGGAGAAACGAACGTACGCGCTAGACGACTTGAAGTGCATGTTCACGGAGAGAAAGACGAGAGCGTGGCTTGGATGCGAGTGTCAAGCAAGTGTCTGCACATTACAAGCCACGGAATAGAGAGGGAGCATGAAAGAGCGATCGAGTAGTCCACAGCTCTAAGAAAAGAGACACGAAAGCAAGAGGGAGGGGAAACAAAAAGGCGCGCTGTCGCATTTTCGGCACAGCCAAACATTTTGAACTCCGCCCCAAAAGTGGTCCCGAATCTTGGCTCTGGGTCTTGGCAACCCGAGAACGAAGCCGGCGGGATCGTGATCGGGCTCATCGGAGCTCTCGAGCGCGTGGGCCACGATGAGAGACGATTGGGCCACCCGTCTTTCTTGCTTGTGACCATCTTTCTCTCTCAGATTTCTCTTATCTTTCGACAACTCCTAGGAGACTGCGTCTTGTCACTTGTCCCGTCCACAGATCCAGAGCCAGGATCGATATTACGGATATCCAGTGACGAAACGAAGTCGGTCGTCTCAGCCTTCGAGCTCGGTCTCAGGTCCCCAGCGCTACCAAGAGCTGTTCTCTGTACTGTAAGTTTGCTGTGCGCTGACATTTGTTGGTGGCAAGTGATGCCTGCGCTTTCCTGTGCAATTCCTCCTATTTTCGTCGTAGACAGGTACAAAGCCTGTTGGCGTTAACGTCGCTTACTCACCCCTTTCCCATTTCATCCTTGTAGACCTCCTTTTCCTGCTTGCTCGCTCTAAAGCTCGACGTTGACGTCGACAAGGAGTTGTACCACCATACCAAGTTCAGACTAGATCGTTTATAGGATCATAAAGTGAAAGGTGCGTGTTTCAACGTTGCGTTCGAACCTCTACGCTCTCCACACCCGCCCGGGTATGCCGCACACGATCACCCCCTGCACTGCGGTCATTCATTCTTACATCTCCTGCGTCATCAGCTCTCCGTCATCCCTCGTACCCACTATCGCCACGCCTCCCTGTATGTATACACCCTCCTCCCAATCGAACCCTCACTTTCCCGAATCATCCTCTTCCATCCCACGAGTTCCTTCTCGATTCGCCACTTCCGTTCCGCCACCTATATATAGCTCCACCATTTCCCCTCCTGGCGCTTTCTGCACCCGTTCCATAACCCTACAGGGCGCATCAGCTCACACGTCCTGTCTTCAATCCCTCTCATCTTTTCCCTCGAACACTGCGCTTTCTCTCTGACAGATCTTACGCCTCTTCATTATTCACTCGACGCGCGCGAACAGGTTCTTTCCTCTTCACTACCACCACCACCCATCCACCCTCTCCTGACGACTACCACCTTCTTCACTCCAGTCGTCGAGGCCAAAATCCAATACTCGATCCATTCGAGAGACAAGCAGTAACGAATTCTCACGACCACGAACACTAGCACTAGCACCGATTAGAACGGCCGACGATGTCATCGTTCACTACACCCCCTCTCCAAACACCTACCGCGGATCCCGGCGCGACACAGACGAGCTCGAGCGATAATAATGGAGGAGGTGGTGGAGGAATTTCGGGCAGCTCGTCGTTGTATCTCTATACGTTCCTTGGTGCGTTTCGGTCCAGCTTGATCACTGTACTGGAACGCCTGTGCCTCGCCCGCGTCACCAGTCACATCGCCCTCTACCCCTACCGTTTCATTCCACACACCACCCTGCCCTTCCGCATCCAATCTTTTTACCATTCTTTCGCATCTGATGATCGCTAACAATCATTTTCATACCCTCTTTCTCTCCCTCCAATTACGCCACACAATTATACACTTCACACGGAACAGCCACCCTCGTCCTCCTCCTAACCGTCTCCGGCACGATCGTCCTCCGCTCGATGCACATCCGCCGGCGTCAACGTGCCGCCATCCTTGCCGCTATTGCGAATGGGACGTATGTCCCGCCTACGGACGGGAATGGTACGTTTTTCCGTTCTCTTTCGCTACTCAAATCCCTTCTGCGCCTTTCATCCCTTCACACTCCGAGTTCGTCAGCATCAACTAACACGGTTGGCGTCGGAATAATAGGCAGAGGCGGTCTCGGCGCCCTACTCCTAGGTGAAAAACCAAAGATGTACGAGGTCGCGCTGGTGGATGAGAAATGGGTTGAGGACGATAAGTTGGAGAAGCAGGATTCAGAGGGAGAGTCGGAGGAGGGCGATGGGTTGAAGAAGGAGAAGGCGATGGGGTTGTGGGGGGATATTACGGTGCGTTTCGATTCGAGTTCTTCGATTTTGGGGCATTGTGAATCTCGTACGGGCGGACGGGAGAGCATGTCCTGGTGTGTATGTCTCAGGGGTCTGGTCACTGCGATGGGACTGTGGCGGTTGTGAAGTTTCTAGCGCTGGTGCACCCCAGGACGAGCTTTTTGCTTCTTTGCACCACTCTGTCGCTGTCCATAGCCCAGCCTCGTTGTCGCCGTGGTCGGAGCTCGACCGCTGCAGCTCCTCTGCGCACTCCGAGACTGATACCCCATAGCTCTCCCATCCCCTTCATCACGATTGCATCCTCTCACTCAATGCTCTCCGTATCGGTAACTCATCTAATTCCCTTTTTTTTTTCGCTCTACAGCCCTTCTCTGCACAATACCTCACATCCACCACCACCGCCGACAATTCAAGCCCCACATCCGGAATGACAGCCTCCCAGCTCTCCGCGCACCGGGAGCTCATGGGCGACGCGCCCGCTACGACGGGCACCGTTTCGTTCTCTAGTATCGTGGGGTACTGGAGGCCGAGGCGGAGGGTTGAGACTGTTCCTTTACCTGCATCGACGGCAATGACGGCAAATGCACCGGTCACTACGGCGGAGGGCACACAAGAGGATGGCCATGGGAAGAAGGACGGGACGGCGCCGGTTCAGGTCGCAGTTTTGATCTCGATGCCATCGCCGCTCCATCCACATTCGAGGACGTCGTCGATAGCGGGAAACGGCCACGAACGGACGATGTCGGGCGATACGGTCGATTCTGTCGCGTTGGGCAAACGGGCTATCAAGGGTGTCAATGTTGGTATGGGTAGTATGGGAGGGAAGGACGAGGAGGATATACCGGTGGTGGAGATCGGGGTCCTTAGTGTGAGGGTGAAGGAGGGATCAGGACCGTGACCGTGAGGCTCGTTTCCTGCTGATTTTTGATTTGACGGGATTGTGTACGAGTACGAGTAGGACTGTTCGTGACACGCGTTTGTGACTCTGTTTAGGTTCGTTTGATTTGTGTGGATTGTGTGTATCGTTGTGTGATTCTACGTTAAACGAGATTAGAGCGTAATTTCTGTTGTTGGACGTCTTGCTTGCAAGAGTTTGACACGAATTCCAGACGAACACTTTGTGATGCCAGCGCGCCAAACTTAGGGGCTAGTTTTGAGGCGGAGCTCGAATAGCTTTCGTTGGTGTCAGTGACGTAAGGATTCGCTCTGACACCCATTCGACCAACGTAGTCTGTGGATTTCTTGATGGACCCTAACCTCCGGGTCATCAACGTCAACTTAGAAATAGGTGGTCCCCAATCCAGTTGGGAACACTTGCCACGTTGCGCACCCAGCCATTGTCCTGATGTCGCCCCTGGAGCCCAACCACCACCATCTCGCCCACGGCAACTCTGCTTGTCAGTCTAGTAGCGAATACTTAGTGCATGTATCACAAATATGGGACGTTGCTATCCATCCTTCTCGGACGGATACCCTCTCCCGCGTTATTCAAAAGCCCCGCTCAGGTTTCCCGCCCCATGCCAATGAGGATACTGATCGTCCGCTCGGCCGTGACGGACTACGATCGTCCCTTGAGATTGCCCCGGGCTATTACTTCTCCATTGACTCCATCGGAGGCTACGGTGGACGATGCTCTCCATGCCTTGAGAGATATCTCTTTCGGAGTGCTCGCATCACTGGAACAGGCTGCTGCGAACATTCTCGCCGTTCTTCCTCTCATACGACACGTGCATGAAATCGTCCGTACCACCTACCATATTCGCGACGTTGTGCATGCTGACTCGGATTACTGACTTTTCAGATCGAAAGTATAGAGGAGATTGACAACTGGAAAGGCGATCCGAAATATGATCTAGGAGATGCGACGATGAGGGTCGTGACCATGGTCGAGTGGTACCTCGATGCGTCGTACAACCGTGACGGGTGTTGTGATCTTCAGTGGCTCGTGGATCTTGTTGAGAGGGCGTCGTCGTAAGTGACACCATTACGTTCCCAGATATCGACCACTCAGGCACACGTGAACTGACCTCACTCGATTATGCAGCGAGATCATCCAACTCACCAGATACTTCGCTATCTCATTCGATGAGAGCCTCTTCTCAGCTCCCTCAGTCCTCAGAAAGATGATATCCACAATGGAGGACGTCGCGACTATCTTGAGCAATCTGGCGGTCAGTCCTCGCTTAATAATTTCAGTCTCTTTGTTGTGCGTATTTGTGCTGAACTGTTTGTAGGATTGTGTCTCTTGTGTGCGGTGGGATCTTTTGGAGCATGTCGGGTTTCCGGTTCCGGTTGTTTCTTGTCCAAAAGAGGGTGGATGTTGACCTATGGGCCCCAGAGACCTTCCTTGTGTTCACAGACAGAGACAACAGTGCGGCTTTCCGTTGTCATGTTCTAGCCTTTAAATAGTCGGGCAGATCGACAAGAAACGAGCCGTTTTTGACCATAGCCCCTCCCGAAATAAGTTCAGCCTTTGAGATCTTCTGTACCGCCACTCCTTTGTCGTCCCCACATCCAGTAGCCAAACAATATGTAACCCACCCAACATCATACTGCCCCTACACCTTTCACTTTCTCCCACCAACCCATCAACGCGCTCAGCGACTTTCAGCAGCAGGAGCCCTTTGAGCTCAATCATTTTCTCAAGCTCTTTGCCGAAATGCGAGCCCTCAGGTCCAATCCGGAACGTGATCAAATACTTGGACGCAGTGTAAAGTGGTTACATCTAATCTCTTAGACATCGACATACACAAAGCCGGAATCTGCAGCAAGCGAAAGCCGCCCCGTGTCCGTAAGACACACTCTCCGATATGAAAGTTCTCACTGACTATTTGTCCGCGTCGATGATGATCTAGTTAAAGGCTTTGGGAAAGTACTGCACCCGATGCAAAATGAATTGTACTTTGTGCAGGTCGAGTATCGCCGAGATTCGATGTCGCTCGCAAGCGGCTTGATTTATTGACAGGAGCAACAAGAATGATACATGTTGCATGAATTCCCTATAAATCGCGACGGTGTGTCAACCCCATTGAGATACAATGCTGGATATGTGTAGTCATTTGAGAAGGAAATCCGTACCGACAACGAGCAGGACAACTGCGAGACCAAATTGAGATCCGATGATGTCAATATGTCAATCTCGCCGACAAGAAGCAAGAGTTACAAGGAGATGTCTAAATGGCGACAGTTGGTTCAAGACATGGCAATGAACGTACCCAGAGTGGCCACAGTAGCAATCCAGATTCCACAAGCAGAACCGATATCTTTCTAATGTTGGTTCTCGTATCGCCTTTGCGCAAAACAGCGCGCAATGCTGAGCGAGAATTCCTTGTGAGGGAGGACACTGAATCAAGTAATGGCGAACTGATGATCGTGAATGACGTACCATAACGTACCATGCTCTCGAGGTTACTATAACTGTGGCCTCAATATTCGTGACGAGGAGTGGTAGGATGTACATCAGTCCACTAGTGCCCCCCGATCAAATGCCACTCCCATTCCCGACTGAAGAAGCGGCGAAGAGTGATGCGTTAGCGAGGCATAGAGCTGTTCACAGAATTATTGCTCATCGATCGAGGCTACACCACTAACAGAAATATTTCAAAGATACCTGTTATTGAGAAAACCGATACAACTACAAGAATCTGAAGACCTGTTTTGCCTTTGCAAAGGATGAAAGTCCGCCAGGCTAATACGACTTCACTTAGAGAATACTGTTGATAATAATGGTTAATCTTGTATAAAAGAATGTGGAAGATGACGCACCATCATTTCCCCAGATATGATGCTAGCAGTTGATATGCGATGACTTCTCAGAAATGGATTCTCGCCTAGCTCGCTCAAGCCAAGTAGGGGGAGTAAGATATCGTAGGATATTCGGGCGAAGATGAAATTGACAGTCGACAGGGAGAACAGCAGGGTAGCGAGAAGAACGAGGCTAAACCGTTACTTGATGCTCCGTAAATCGTTTTGGCTAGTTATGGAATCCATGAGAAATACAGCACATTACACCGAGTTCAGATTAGCCCGAGTTAGGTCTCGTAAGCACGGGGGTGATTTCCAGATGCTCTGCGATGCGTGCGCACCAAGTGCGCACTCACGAAGTTCAACAAGACTCACTGCCGTCTTGGACACTTATGTCTCCGGTTCTTCGACGATATAAGTTACTGAAGTCACCGCCACTCGGAGAAAATTCAGAGAGACCTCTGTTTTCACGAAGAGCATCGAACCGGCTCTGCACGTCTTGCTGCTCCCCTGAGGTCTGTCGCGATCCCTCGCTGCGTGTCCGAGTCTCCGTCTGTCTACTTGCCTCAAAATTGTTTTGTACCACACGGGGAAAACCGCGCACGCACCGTGATGGCCATCATTGGGGACGGTGCTCCAAAAGTGCGCGCATCTGAAATGGTCCATGAAATAAATACACACTTAGGCCGACATAAGTATCCGAGTCTTTCGAGGCCTTCGATTTTCATACTGCCAATCCACCTCTGTAGTTTTCCTTCTCCGCACTACCGCCATTAGACCCCTCAGCTACGAACTGCACCGCGACACTCCGTTGCACAGCGCCCATGCCAACGTTAACATCTCCAATCGATCTCAACGTCGCACTTTCCAGCTTCGTGTCCGTCTGAGTCTCAGTCCGCATCGCGAAATGCATTCTGCTCCCTACAGAGAGAACTTGGGCCTCGGCGCTTTTATTACTACGTGCTTTATCACGTTTATTGTTCTGTTCTCCGGTGTTGCCGATACCAATGCCGATGCTGCTTCCGCGGGAGTGACTTTCGCTGTCGTCGTTCCAGATGGATTCGCGGAGGACGACGAGCATTAGTGTTGGGTATATTCCCTGATAAGAGCGTAAGTATGAAGATGAAAGTTTTACTGATCATGAAGCGATATGGAAGAAAATGGTAGATATGACGTACGACGAACTGGACTGTGGCGTAACCAGAAAGACAATCGATCATGTGGCCTGCACTTTCGGTGCTCCCGGTGACAAGCGATGTTACAAGGAGGTCTGCGATCTAGAGTTGTACAGTCTCATGTGAGTACTTGGGCAGACTTACGATTCGTATAGTAATTGTGTTGCTCACCAGCATGACGACGTAGAGTGTACCCGACTCGATGAGAAGAACGAAAAGAGGGAAAAGCTTGGTAGTTCTTTTCCGGCGGAATGAGTCTCTGAGCATCTCTCGCAGCAACCTAATACAGCGAAGTCAAGCCAAAGTCAAGTAAATATTTTACGACATAAAACCACTTCGAGGAGTAAAGCACTGACCAGGCTTTCCAGAGGGTGAGCACCATCACGGATACGTTCACGAGGATGGACAGGACAGGCGCTGCGATATCCGTGCCTTTGCATAATTGACTATAATTTGTAGCTGAGAACCCTGATTGGCAGAACGAGGCGTGGACGATCATGTTCACTGTTGTTAGAGAGAAAAAAGCGATCAGCCGATGACGAAGGCACAAATTGTGGGGAAAAAAAAGAACGAATCGACGATACCAATCATCAGGGCCCACCAGAATATGGGGATGAGCACCACGACGCGACGGTCGAACCAGATCGCACTCGAGCGCCAAATTACAAGGATATCGCCTAGAATCATCTGTCGCCGGCCGAAAATATGTCAGTAATGCTTTCAGACAGTCAAAGGAATAAGTAAGAGAACGAATAATATAGTTACCTGACATTCAAAGAGCACACCAGTAATCTTCGTCTCTCGCGCGACAAGCGCATAAAACCGGTTGAATAGCCCTTCAGTCTCCAGCCCGTCCGGCGATAAAAGGATTTCGTCCAATCCGACGAGTTGAGCGAGCTCGAGTGCCCATAAGGCGGTGCTCACGAGGAATACGAGATATAGGACTAGGAAGACCATGGCGTTCGTTCTATTTGACAGTCCTCTTTGCCTGTAGGAGCGTATCATGAGTCAGACCGATGAATGAGGGTCCAGAAAAGGATGGGGGCGTACCATAGGCCACGAGTGGCAACGCAAAGTGTCGCAATGTACATTCCTGTCGTTTATGTCAGTATCTTCTCTGTGGTATGGCGCTGTGGACATCGGGGCATCGATGCACTGATCTGGACGTACCGTATAGAATGGACACCACAATGACGGGAGTCATGCGGTAAATAAAGCCAAGGCCGAGACGGTGCATTCCAGTATCGTCGAGAGGCATACTGAATGAATCGACTGAGGTGGATGGCAAGGTCGGTCAGAGACACAGCAGAAAGAGCGACGAATGCGAGCGAGGGTTGTAAAGGAGCGCTGAGTTTCTCGGCTCCGTTACAGAGCTTTGAGGAGCATATTTATGAGAAATAATGATTCCCACCGGCCAATAACTTTGCAGCGTGGTGCGTCATCTTGGCAGACTGAAAATGAGTAGCTTGCTTGGGACGATTGATCATTGCAAAGCCTACCTGTCTCCATAGATGCATAAGAAGTCCAACAGAAAGCAAAGACGTTCTATCATATGTGATGCAGTGGAGCTGTCTCCCAATAATGTCGTCCTATGGTGTCCTGAAAAGTCTCAACTTGGAAATGGGAGAATATCACCTGAAGATGGGGGCGTACCAAGGTTTGATGCTGCAATGTAATGGGATGTTGGCTGGCTAGCTGGGATAATTTTGCGTGAGTATTATGTACCGCCGATCGTGATATGAGATGTATTATGGGTGGGTTCTGTGATGGAAATCAGCACAGCGCGAGAGGCAAGCAGAATTTAGACACGGTCGTTGATCAAGAATGCTGGACGATGTTTGGACGATGTGGCTAGCCTAGGTAAGTTGTTGATTCGAGCCAATGAACGGTGACCTAAGGATAAAAACCAAGCAGAAGCCACGCAGAAGAGAGGTATCGATGTTGAAAGCCCAGTAAGCATACAGAAGTAGTAAGAAACACCTTGTCCACCTCCCAACCGCCTCCTCTCAAGATTCTCTGCAGTGGCGTAAAATCTCTGTGGAACTGTTTGGTCGAGCGAAGCATTGTTGGCTGGTTTGGCGTCACCAGCGCTCTTCACTTACTACCTGCATCTGGCCTGTGCAGGACGTTTGACCCGGCAGTTCCAAGGACGGACGTTCGAAGCTGCTACACGGTCACTGGTTCTGGTTGGGTTCTGGGCAAAGTGGCTGTTGTGGCTGCACAGGCAGTGGCGTATCATTCCCGATTCGTCGATGTTTCCCACGCCCGTTGCTCTGCACTACGACCAAGGCGAAAAGGTGCTCAAACTTTTTCCTCCTCTTGTCCTCCGCTCTTCTCCTCATTGCATCGTCCTTGCCGCTTCATCGATCAGTTCCGACAAATACCTGAATATCAATCGTCTGTATCAAGTACGTCTACCGCTGCGATGTGCGCGCTGTCACCAGAATCCAACAAGAATCACTGCGATCTGTCCTGGCTACTCACTGCCATGCCTCCGGTTCTTTGACGATGTATGAGTTACTGGACTCGTCGCCACTTGGAGAAACTCAAAGTGACTGCTGAGCTCGTGGAGAGCATCAGTTTTCTTACTCGCATGTCTTGCTGTTCCCTCGAGGTCGGGCAGTATGCCAACACGGTGCAGCATCTCACCTCTCTTATGCCGTTCATCTTTCGCTGAATGGTTATAACGGGTTCTACTCGGCAGACAGGCATTCATCACACCGAACTTTCTAGATGGCCTGCTCTATCGATCTGTCCGGGGTGACGCCACTGTGGCGATCAGGGCCTCCGCTCGACGACCGTTCGTCTCGATCTCGTTGATCTCATTCGTTCTTGTGGAACTGATACTTTCTTCATGGTACTAAAATATATCGGCGACGGTAATATATACAGTTGCAAGACATAGATGCGATTCAAAGGCCAAGATAAAATGGGAGAAGAGAATTTCGTGTTTGTAACATGGAAATCGTAAGCGCATCGTCTGTCCAATTCAGTATCGCGAGATTTACCCAAGACTCTCTATAGCGTACAGCCTTTAAACAATCCAGACGTACTTGCCGGACCAAGCGACCAGGTCTTTGTCAACAACATCGCTCGACAATTCCTGAAAGTTCGTCACCTCCGCCTCATACTCCCACTCCGTGCTAACTTCGTCCTCCGCCGTCCATGTTCCCGCCAACTGCCTCCTCCTTATGAGCGTAGCCACCCTCTTCTTCCACGTCTCCACGCCCACGCGATGAACATCGCGCATATGATTGTTCATTTCGTCGCTTCGCAGACCTCGCTTCCTGTTGTGGCGTTCGCACCCTATATAAGGGCACCTAATCCTCAGCCGCTGAGTGTTCAGCGGAATGCCATAACGGACTTCCCAGCCAGGCTCTGACCGGACGCCGCTGTGGTTTCTGTTAGTGGCCACGTGCCGCCAGGCGGTCCTCTGGCAGGCAAAAGTCATAGAGCAAGACGGGATCGGGCAGGGTACCCTCTCCTTGCCGCTGGTGCTAGAGCCCTCCGCAGGTCCAGCTTCGGCAGCAGGTAGAAAACGGGGTACGTCGCGTTGTGGGGGAACATCCTCGTAGGCGAATGCCCCCTGTTCTAATTGTTTGTTGGGCTGGACCACCGGAGTGGTCCAGCGTACTGTGTCTTCGTGACCGTGAGGCTCCAAATTGTCGTCGTCGTCGGTCGTCATCTTTGCCTTCTTGCGACTCCTGAGATCGCTGGTATCGAGCGACGGGGACCTCTGCCTCTTGTTCCTGGCTGTGGCAAACTCCAATGCTCGGACATAAAGTTCGTCATCCGGCGTGAGCAGCTGAAGCGCCGTTTCCGCGAACCAAGGATCGTCCTCGAAGCCAAGAGACTGATCAGAGTCGCCTGGTGGTATGTCAAGGAGTGGGAAGTCAAGAAGACCAGATGGCGCCGAGATAGAGCAGCCCAAGGGAAACGCGAACGAGTCAGGAGACGTGATGTGTCTGTCGATGTCGCTGGAGGGATCGATCATTCGACGTTTCCCTTTGCCACGCTCAGAGGGCTGATACAAGTTTGCTGAGGTAACATCCATAGAACCCATGGTCGAAGACGGCAGGCTCGAGAATGTGGGGAGGCGCATTGTAGGATCCCTCAGGGATGCTCCTGAACCTGTGAACGTAGTCGAATCAAGAGGGGGCATGAGGGCCTTGCCATTGCCAGAGAGGCGCGGTATGACATCGAAGAGCTCGAGATCGTAGGGAGTCGGTGTCGAAAGACCAGTGGAAGCCATAGACGGGTTCGAAGACGGGAGATCCAGGCCTGGGGTCACGTAGAGTCGCTCGTCTGACTCTTGATGGGTCACTGCGGCAGAGACGGGGGTAGGGACAAAGGGCATAGCGGACGACATGGGGGGCTCGATGGTGTGAGGACTCTCGTCCTCGGTTTGAGCAGTGAAGTCGGCGGTGGTTGTCAGTGTGTCGGAGGTCGTGGGAAATGAACCAGTCCAGTCCCTGGCCGCACGTGTCCCGTTCGACTGGTCGAGTCTCGGCAACAGGGTATACTACACGACCAGACGATATGAGAAGCTGAGACACACAACAAGGATGGTCAAGACTTACCGAAACTGTCTCGGGATGTTCTTGTGCCGTCGGTTGCTGTTGCGGGTTCTTGTATAGTCTGTCCAAGAACGATCCTATCGTGCCTGCGACAATGTACCAGTCGATGTAAGCTTGGCCTGTCGCGGTGTAGTTCATGTCGATGACCGAAGGCTTGTAGAGTCAAAGTAGGGATGGTTGAGACGAATGAAGTTGAGCGCACTGAGGGCAGAGTTGTTTGGAGATTTTCCTGTAGACGGACACCTTATAACTGATTTCTGATCCCTTTGACTCGTTTGGATTCCTCCCCTCGTGTCCGGAGCCCTTTGAATGCCATGCAAGGGGACGCCGTGGTTACGTAGACGCGTTCAGAAAGATTTCACGGACAAAAGGTTTCGTATCCCGATTTGGTTAGACCGTCCTTTGTTTGTTGAAAGGGCTTTCGCGACAACGTAATCATGCGCCGTGCGAACAAAGGACGAAACGACTGCGGTGTCACTGACACGTTCCCAAAATATGGACCTGCCTGCGCTGATCGGACGAAATGAACGGCTGGAACGATCCTGCCCTCCTTTCGTCGAACGTGCCGACGTCTGTGCTTTGTTCTCCATATGTACAGTAGTGGTGACTTGTGCCAATGTCATGACTGGACGGTACCTCGTTCGGCACGCCTCCGATCGTAGCATAACGTCTTCAAGGATCGACATGGAAACGAGGCAGCATCGGTAAATTTCGATCTCTTTCCTCAATTTTGTCGAGACTAAATTGCAGAAAATTACAGAAGTGTAGCAGCTTGGGCAGCAGAGTCGACATGCTTGGAGCTTTCACTTCTCAGCTATTGTCTCAATATAGTTTCGTGTCGCCCCTACCATAACCCATCGATTGTTTCGAAGGTGCCGCCGAAGATCTAACGTGGATAGACCCACAATCAGCCACATCTTCCACTGCTCGACGATCCCGCCCTCACTCCCGTACAAAATAAAAAGTATTATTATTATTCAGATCCCCCAGTCCGTGAACGATACGTCGGTGGTTTCGTACTGAGGTTCTCAGAACCATTCTCCGTCCTATTCGATGACCCAACGTTACCCTGCGCAGAAGTGAGCGCGTCTAACCTCGCCTTCAGCCTCCCCATCTCCCGTACCAGATAGTGAATATCATGTCCCTGCCCTTCTCCTTCTCCCTCTCCCTCTCCATCACGAGCTGATACTTCTCGAGGTGGCTGCTCCGTGTTTTCGACCATTGGGTTCATGGTCTCAGTGCTCCGATGTCCCCTCTCTCGACGCGCTTTCTTCGGCGGAGGTGCCAGTCGCGTTGGGTTGGCGTCTGTATTCGTACTTCGCGTTGTCGAGATCCTTGTCGAAAAGAAGCTTCCGGCCATCGCGAGCACGGATTCAGACTCGCTAGGCGCATTGTTAACTTCGGCTGATGTCCGCGCAGGTGGTGCTTGACCACCTCCAGCCGGGTCCATAAACGGGTCGATTCTATCTGCGGAATGCGAGGGTGGTGAATTGGGCTTGGGTCGTCGTCTGGCTCTTTGTTTACGATAATGCAAGGCAGTGTGGATGAGGAGGATGACTAGAGTAGTTGCGATTATTGCTACCAGGACGGATTCTATGACGATGATGCGTGAGATCCCGGTTTGTGTGGTTGAAGATGTAACTCCTATAGAATTATGTAAAGGAAGAATATTATATCAGTAGCAGGATCGTGGTGGAAATAGCGGGAGTCCCACAGACCGTCTTCGTTGTGTGGGCCAATGGACGTCGAAGTAGAAGATGAAATTCGAGTCCGGCTCGTATTCAAAGACGTGGAGTTGCTCGATGTCGCCTGCGGCAGACAACTCGTATCCGAACCGGTACCGACAACGAACAAAGTATCGCCCGAGGTCGACGAGAGATCCGACGTAGAGGGTTGGATAATGATGGTTACGGCTGTGCCGGAGGGGATGTTCACCGCAGGCCAATGAAATGGGGAGCTCTGCTCTCCCAAGTCTGTGATAGTAATCGTGGCGTTATTCGATATCGGGAGTGGACCAGAACGTCAGCGCTCCGTCGCCTCCCGTCCAGGATACTTCAAGTTCCTGACATTCGATGACGGAGGTAGGTGCAAAGGTGACGGTGAAGTTAGCGAGTGCGCCATTGAGGAAGAGAAGCAGGGCGATGGTTGTGAAGCTCATAGAATTCACTATGAGCACCTCAAGGTTGTTAATTCAAGTTGTGGGGAAGTATATGATAGAGTAGCGAGAAACGCAAGAGAAACGCATCAGTGTAGTGTACTGACCAAAATATAGCAGACAGTTTTGGCCGTCGCCGCTGTGTCTAACAGTAAGTACTGTAAAATGCATATCAGCTGGCGTGATTCCATCAAACGTAGACGAGAAATCGAAAAAGTGTTCACTTGTCACAAAGACCACCGAGAACGTCGTTTGGACGCAGACCAACAGGTGTGCGAAAGTGACGATGACGACTATCAAGATGGCGTGAAGGAGAGCTCCATACAAAGCTCCATAGGCAGCCATACCTAAGAGTAGTTGTAGTGCACGTCGTTACAACCGTAAAGATTGTTGCCAATAGCAAACGGAGTGGCACGACACGCCTGGCGCCTCTCGGAGAATGCCGGGTCGGAAGCGAACTTTTCTTCAACATAACGACCACTGGCGACCAGTCTACAACGCACCTTCATCACTCCAATTGATGGACGAGAGGTTCTCTGATTACCCTCCCGAACTGAATGAGAAGTGGGAACGGCTGTTGGAAAACAATCCTCAGAGGCTCGTAGATGTCTTTGATCTACACCCTGGTTCGCCGGTTGAGCAGACGAACAAATGGGGAGACACACGCAGAGTACGCATTCTTCCGTCGTCCTCCGATATCTTGACCATTTTCATCCTAGAAATGCAGGACATATCCCCAGTGGAGCGCTGCATAACTATTGCCATAAAATCACCCGACAAGGCCTCCACGTGGCATGGGCTCGTTCGTGCAGGAATAGTCGACAGGCTATGCGAATGTGTGAGCGGCTCGCGTCAGACGCTGGACTCTTATACGTATGCTGTTTTGCCGACCTCGCCGCATGAACTACGGAAGGTTAGTGGTAAATATCTTGAATCTTCAACTATTTTCTAATATTGCGAGGGATCTCTGTGCATTAGGTCCACTCGTTATACTACGTACCTCTGAAGCTGCTAGCGCAAATATGTGCGTACATCTGTCATCGCCCTCGATCAGCAGATAAACTGGCTATATCTGCCATTCTCACGCACTGGCACAATATGATGCTACGTGTAAGTCCGTCCTTCCCCAGGTCCATAACTTCTTCCTCATTGGCATGGCGCTCACGAAGGTCTACATAGCTCTGGATTGACCTTGGTGTTTCTTATGACGCTATTGTAGATGAGCGAACTCTCATCACAGGGATCGTCAATGTGATCTGTACTGTAACCAAAGATGGGGCATTCATCAAGGTTCTACTTTTATCTCAGGTCTGCGAAAACGGCTGGATTGCAACTGATTTATGCGTTGCTAGACGTTGCGCTCCGACGAGGATCTCACCACACAGCCTCGTAACACGATACTGGATGCATTCAGCCGGCTCAGTAGACTTTCACATGCTTGATCCGTTCTTGCTAGCAGCATATGATCAAGTTGAAGTTCAATCCCGCTCGCCTCGCGGACAGGTTACTGCTCAAAAGCTCTTTAAGGATATTCTTCTGGGCGCTGGAAGCTTTCGGCATGTCCTCGCCAAGTTCCAATGGTCCTTTGCTCATCTTCACGGTCGGAACTGCCACAGCAAAACCATCGATATGCTTTACTTATTATATGAGTATGGATCGTCCATACTGGAGCTTCATGTCACCGACGAGCCAGACTTTGTGCGTACTTTGATACACGCGAAGGGTTTCTGGAGAAGTATGTTCCAACTTCTACATGATGTGGCGCGTGGTAGCCCTTTGCATTCACCATCGCCTTCCGCCACCGACCTTTTGTACTCTATATTGCAAGTTATTTCGGCTATCCTTGGGTGTCCGGAACTGAGAATTCGTAAGGAGACATCGGGCTATTTTCGTGTCCTGGTGCGGGCGGGATTTTTTGATGTCTTGGACGAGGTCCTTCCGTACTGTGGTTCAGTCCCAGCATCTGGTCAGTGCTCGCTTTCTTCATTTGCAGATTCAGTTGACTAGTTACCTCTCTGTCATCGCAACTAATGAGTCTTTAACCAAACGTGTTCACATTCGCCTCTCCTAGGCCATATAACCCGCATATTGTCTAATGTCGTCGGCCTAGTAAAAATGGACCCTTCCGTGCTCCCATGCATCCGACGACAACTTCCCAGGCCTCGATCCCTCCGGGCTCTTCTTGATACCTCGTATGTCGGTCCAGGGAAGCCTTCACCCCCGCGGTATTTCCCACGCACGGTTCTTCCTCCCAGCCTACCTGAAACCGAAGTGACAAAGTACATGCGACCATGGCTTTTGTTCGACGTACTCCGGTATTACTGTCAAGTAACGAAGGAGTGCGAACGGCAAGGGTGTAAGAAACGCAGGACCGCAAAATGCAAGGCGTGTAAAACGACAGAGTACTGCGGCTCGGAATCCCAGAAACTGTAATGATTATCCATGTCTTTTCCGCTATCGCTTCGTTGCAGATGTCCTGACCATCACTTTCATTGTTCACAGGGACTGGGCTGAGCATCGTCTCATATGCGATTTGCGGCTTCCCGGCATCAGCGGCCATAACCCTCAAGAGTCTCGCCAAATAGAGGGTATCGCCATGCCCTTCAGATTTCCGATATCCCCATCTTAGCATCCAGGTGTGCCGCGCGTTTCCATCTGTTTTCTGAAGACATCATCAGGGCTGCTACTGAGTGCCGTTCTCATACAGATAGTATCATTCGACCTTTCTGTGACCGGTCAAGTAGCTGGATAATCGCAGGTCTTTATCGCGTCACTCGGCCGTTTCTTCCTCTTGGTATATCTTTGCACCCAGACTCAGGATGTCTCGTGCCTCTGTCAATATCATGTTTCTCTTCTCCTGGTTCACTTCTTGATTGAATCTTTGATAGACTATTCTGGGCAGGAGATCATAGCGCGACTATGAGAGCTGAGTCGTGGCATGTCGCCTGAAATAGTCGGTTTGACAAAGATGCGTCTTCTGATGAGATTTATCAGAAGACTGTTGTGTTCTTGCGTACACTGAGCTATAACTGGATAATCTATTATCTTAGAAACTGGATTTCAGCAGTACAAACGTCTCTCAAATTCGTTCACATGAAACCGACAATTCAGATGCAGTATTCTATGGTCTTGAACAGTCACGTCGACAAATTTCTTCCACAAAGGCTGCCGTAACTATCATCTTTGCTGCAGAGGTTCTTGATGTGCACTCTATGTCACGGTACTAGGTGGATACTCCCGCCAAGATTCTATATCAGAGACTATGTGGTGCTAATCATGGCCCATACTCACAGGCGAAAACTGGACTATATCTCAGCCTCCACTCCATCAATGGCTTATGAACTTCCATCTTAGCTTTCACTCTCTTCCAGAGGTGGGCCATACCGACCTTGACCCTCGGCATCATGATGCGAGCCACACTTTTTATACTCGGGCTCTTCATCACTGCTTGTCACTGCGCTCTCTCAATAAACATTTCGTCGAGTGTCGTAGAGTGCCAGCCCATTCAGATCTCTTGGAGTGGAGGAAGCGGAGACACTTTCTTGACCATCGTTTCGCAGAACACCTCTGGCGATTCAGGAGGCCCGAACAATGATAACCTCGGTCAACAAACTTCGCCATTTACGTGGAGTGTCAATGTACCTGCTGGAAACGAGGTAACTATCAGCATCAGTGATGAGACGGGGGCAGAGGCACAAACGAACGAGGTTGTCAAAAGCGGATCGGATGCTAGCTGTCTAGGATCAGGATCAGGATCGATAGGCGTTACTTCTGAGCCCGCGTCATCTTCGAGCCTTTCATGTGAGTAGTCACTCTCTAGCCTGAAGTTACGGCCACATTCAAAGCATCAGCGATATCGTTTTCAGCTACAACTGTTTCGTCGACTTCTTCACCATTATCGACAGCGTCGGTCACGGAAAGCCTCACGTCTGTCGAACAGACATCGACTGATAGTCACGGTGAATAATTCTCGCATTCCTTGCATCCGTTTATTGAATCGTGCACTCAGCACAATCGTCCTCATCACTCGTTTCCTCAAATAATACATTCACGACCAGCTCACCGCACACCACAAATTCTGCGAATGCACCATCCGATCATTCCTCCCAACATCACCCGACTCCAGCACAAATAATAGGAGGGGCAGTGGGAGGGGCCGTAGGAATAGTCACTATGCTCACCGCCGTATGCATATGGCGCCTCCGTCGTCGTAAAATACGAGGTCGGACAAAAGGTATAAACGATCACTACGGCTGTGGCCGCCCCTTCCCAGGATTCCGTCCTGACTTTAGTGCGTCACGGCTCGGCCGCAGAGGGCACGCAAGTTTCAGACATTGCGACGATGGGGAGTCAGACTCTTGTGAGCCAGCCGAACTCAGGACAGGATACCCGTATGGGATCAACGCAGAGACGAGAGAAAGAGCCTTTCTTTCCAGACGCAGAACTTGTTCTGTCCGTGCCTGCGAGTACGTCGTTTTCTCCGGGACCATTCTGCCTAACTGCTTGTGCTCTTTTTTTTTTTTTGCACAACTGTGGTATGGATCCCAGCCCCTACTCCCGAATTATCTACGGAACAATCTCCGCGACATCCAAATCCTCAGAGCGAAAACATCAATTCACCGTTATCACCAGAGTCACAGTCAACGTCTGTCAATGATGCACCAACCTCTGCCTCACCCTCACGCTCGGTCGACGAAGGATTTGGCAGAGCAATATCGTCACAGAGCTATGATATTGACCATCTAGTACGGGAGGTGGGAATGTTGAGGGCGCGGATGGACGCGGCTGGGTTGGGGGTCCCATTCGGGGGTACGAGTCCACCGACGTATCATTCTGACTTGAATGAAGAGTGATTAGTACCGCATTTCAACAATATTAATTACCGTATTGATCATCCGAGAAGTAGTTTTCGTGAGTTTGGGCTGCAGGATATCAGATCTAGATGTCGTGAACAAGTGGAGCGTGCCGTGAGCATACTTAGGGATACTCACATGATTTATTATCCGTTGGGTTACAGACTTGGTGAGTATTCACTGCGTCGTGCTAAGGCAGTCCTTCATCTTCTAAGAAATTCGTATGCAGCGGCTAGGCCGTCGACAAGTACAAGTGCCCAGACTACCCACATCCTCATCCTCTCGCGTGCACAACAGTTTCAAGGACACATGATTGTAATCATGAGGACATTCCGGCATTCCTACGCCTGAAAGTCCACAGAGAAACCACAGGCCACATAGCTATGGATTCTCGCTCCCAAGGCTCGTAATATCCTGAGGGAAGGATCCGTAAGCTGTCGTTCGTCGAACGATAAAAGAGCCTCAGAGTGAGGTAAGTATATGCGTTTCTACGCAGGTCTCATTATGACTTCCATCTGAGTCTGATATCTTCGTCTGCCTGCGTCGTCGTCGTGCGCATTAATCGAGAAATAACTCGGAATGGATTCAGAGTCGTTTAGGGGATGAAGGTAGAATGGTTGATAGAGACTGACAAACCTACATTGCGCATTAGTCAAAACGATTCCGCCCGACACCTCGTAGGAGGAACGGTTCGCCTGCCTAATAGGTCTAGGAGCCTTGTAAGCATGTCCTCATCTTCGCAACATCCTTCGCCGAGCCCATCCCATACGACGACAACATCAGCTATGGGATAACTCTTCCGATTGACACGGAGAAGTAGTCGTCCTGCATATGACGGACGTGAGCGATAATACCTTTGACTGTTGTGGGCCTGTGATGCGGAGCAGCGGAAAGGGATACGGGTATGAGTACTCTCATACTATCATCATTCAGTTTCGAAGGGACAGGAGATAGGGGATGGGAGCGCATACCAATCACATATCATCTGGATCAACGCAACGTTCATTCGCACCACCTCTTCGCTCAGCCGTATTCGATAGACCACGACTTCCTCCATAGTCACGCTACCAAGCTCTCCCGAAAGAGCCCAGCACCCTTTGATTCATCGGGCTACCCATCCCAGAGCCCAATCATCTCAACCTCCATAATACTAATAATCGTCCACCAAACAACACCCTCGACTTATGACGCTCATCCGATCGCCGCTCGACCATATTGTGCATCCCCTCGAGAACGTCCCGACAACGAGAGACGGCGACTGATAGTGACGAAGCAAGCGTGTTTGAGAGTTCGGAGTGGAGGGTACGAACGAGGGTGCGCAGGTCAGCGATCAGATTGACGTAGTCAATTTTCATGCATGTCATGCCTGACGGTGACGGTGAACATTGCGTTGTTGGCCCAGTTGGAGCAGGCGGCGAGGAGGATTCGGATGAGTGAGTTCGCAAGATGGATACATGGATCTGCAGTGATGCTCATCGCAAGAACCTCAGAGCTTGTATGAGAGGACGAGTAGTTTGGTGGAGAGTTGAGCATGATGGAGGTTGGGGGATGAACGAAGGAGACAATTCTCACCACGATCAGCTGATCATGCCGCGAATCTTACCAGGGTTTTCACTCGCAATCAGGACAACGCAGAAACTGTGCGAGAGCAAAGGGCCGTAGAGTTTGGAAGAAATGGGAGCTAAGAGGAAAATCTAGAGATGGTTGAAAAGGACAAGACGTGTGGCGTCAGGCTCATGTGGCGTTTCCTCTAAACGGGCATGCGGCAACTTCCGGAAGGCTACGCGCGAATATTCAATTTCTCGTACCCACAACTCTCACAAGCAAAGGACTCCATCACATCGCGTCTTTAGAGCCTTTGCACATCGCTAGACGTGATCAAAAGGTATACTACTCTCAATCGTAACCATAAAGCTTTAACCAATAGACATTTTGACCACAGACTACCATGTCTCTCCTCCAACCGCTCGCCTCATCATCGCGTTCAACCCTCCCTTCAACCCTCAAGCCCCTCCAAACCCTCACCCAAACGCGCTCCTGGTCCTCCTCCCCCTACGGCCGCACGCACGTCTGGCGCCGCCGCCAAACCCCCCTCCCCAACCCCATCGTCCCCCAATTCCCCCAACGCGTCATCCGCTCCGACGGCTCCTCCTTCACGCACTGGACGACATCCCCCCGGTCCCTTTTACGCCTCACGCGCGATCTCACTAACAACCCGTTCTGGAATGTGAGCCTGATGACGAAGGAGGGCGCGGAGGAGGAAAGCGCGGTTACGGGACGATTGGGCAGGTTTCAGAGGAGGTTTGGGGAGGGGGGGCAGGGTGGGGTGGGGAGTGTGGGCCAGGAAGGGTTTGAGTGGATGGAGGAGGGGGTGCAGAGTCAGAGTCAGGTGGGAGGTGTTGGTGGGGAGAACGGTGCGAAGGGGAAGGGGAAGAAGGTGTGAGAGATTGGACTACGCCGGTTTGTGGATGCTGCTCGCGATAATTTGAGGCTGCGTTCGTTTTTCACTGGCGACGCGTGGACCATTCGCTTTCTATACGAAGCTTTTCTAAGCCGTTCTATGGCTGTATAAGAGTGACTACCATATCTAAGACTACCGACAGCAACTTTTCAACCACGAAAGAGAGTCTAGACAAGATGCCTCGGCGGCTCCTTCTTCGCCACCTCCGCCTTGACCTCCTCCTTCGCCACACTCTCCCTCTCCGCCAATTCACCACCCACCGCCTTCGTCTCCTCAACCGCCTCCTTATACGCCTTCACGCCCTCCTCCTTCGCCTCACTCACAATCTCACCCACCCTCTCCCCCGCACTATGCACCTCCTTCCTAACCTCCCCACCCACCTCCTTCGCTTTCTCCACCATATCCCCGATCCTGCCCCTACTCGCCACATAAACCTCCTTCCCCGCCTGTCCACTCGCATCCCAAATGTCCCTCACCTTCAACCCCGTCTTATCCTGCACTTGCCCAAGCACGCCCTCCAAGCCCTTCTTCACTTTCTCGTTGCTCTCTCCCACTCTTTCTTTTAACATCTCCCACCCCATCGCCGAATGCGCCTTCCCCGTATCATGCACATGCGCCACCTTAGGCAGATACCTATCCTCCAAGCTCCCGAGGTAGGCGTTCAAATTCGCCGACGTACGGGGGAGGAAGTACGAGAGGGAGACGAAGAAGAAGGTTGGAGGGGCGAGGAAGCGGAGGGGGAGAGAGCGCGAGCGGGTGAGGATGGAGCCGGTTAGGGTTGAGATTGCGATGTAGAGGGAGGAGGGGGTGAGGGGTTCGCTGGGGTCGTGGATGGATTTGACGCGGCCTGTAGATGTATCCGTGAAAATCAGTCATTAGTACACGGTTCTATTCCGTTCATAAGTATACTATGTAAGTTGGCCACGGAAGAAAGTATGGTGGAGGGTGGAACGCAGCCGTAATAAATGGGGACGGACGTACGCTCAACAGCATGCTCAACCCCAATCCACCGATCCACCAACCCCTGCACCCTCGCATGCGCCTCATTAACAGTGCCCGTTGCAGCACGCCTCGCTATCCCGATCTGCCGTTCGAGTTCTGTGGGTGTCTCGATGACGAGGACGTCCCGGTCGGGGGTGGGGTATATCGAGGGCTTTTGGTCGAGGGGGGTGTTGTTGTGGGAGGATGGGGTGTATGGAGGGTGATGGGATGATTGGATAGAATAAATATCAATGTCAGTTCCGAAAAACACTACCCCCACGAGAAAAGACCAACAATCCACGCACCTTGTCTTCATGCAATCCAAAACCCACCGCTCCCACCGATACACCTGACGAGGCCAGGAGCACACGTCTCGCTGGCTACAACCCCGTATTCCCGTAACCCGTTAACTTCATTGCAGATATAAGAACGGCTGAGGGTGAACGCACCAGTCGAAGCCAGGACATAGTTTTTATCGCGTTGGGATTTGGCGCGGGCGGAGGAATAGAATGCAGCTCTTTTACGAGTCGGAGTGGTGGCACGCGACGGAGAGAGTACCGGGAGAGGCCGGGGAACCACGTGGGAGTGCCACCCACATCGGAGGTGGTGCGGGTGCCACAGTTCAACCTTCGTTGACCGCTACCACCGCTGTCGACGACGACGACGGTGTATCCTCCCATCGATATCTGCTTAGCCTGTTCAGTTCTGTCAATTTTCTTATTGGTCTGTTCCAACTCTGTTCTGCTCTGCTCTGCCGCGCTCGACACCGTCACCAGGCGTGCCAAACTTGAAGAAACCGTCTATCGATCGACTGAGCCATCTCTATGCATCCTATGAAGCTCACTCGCTGTAGCCCATCCTCTCCGGCATGGCTCTATTGTACTGGATAGATTGTGTCTACTAGCTGAGCTCGAACTAATAGTTTCCGGGCTGTAGCTAAGTTAGGCTTAAGTACATGTCCTTGTCATTTTCCTCCTCGAAAGTCTAGCTTCTGTCACGATTTCGGAGATGGAGAGCTCTGGAAGTCCCAGGGTAGCCAAGGTCTAGGATGTTTCCTGAACCTGAACCCCTTATATTCTCTCGGTGAGAACGCGGTGCAACAGCACTAGCATAGGCCAAATCGAGCAAATCGAGCGCCACAGTTCGACGTTGACCCTTGATTGATTCAGACCGTGACCACCAGCGCATCCTCGTATCCCCCCGTCCGCCTATCCGCTTGTTTCGACTTCTAGTCTTCACGACCATCGAATGCTCTCTTTTCCTGGAGTGCTGCTTCATACGTATGCTCGAGGCTATTGGGTGCTGCCTGGCTCGTGCTTCTGACTCAGGGCATAAGCATCGTCACCACCACTGAAATCAGGGAGTTTCTTACCAGGCGTGCTAGAGAGAGAGATATTCAATCGATGCAGCCGTATTTCTGCACCCTCCCTGGCTTACTTGTCCCTCCAGGCTGGCTAACACATGATGCTCTGGGCTGTGGTTGAGCTCGTAGTAGTTGCCGGGGCTGGAATCATGACGTTGTCATTTTCTTTCTCCAACCAAACCCCAAAAAAAAATTCACTTTTGTTTCGCAGACGAACAGCTCCGGGGGTTCATAGCTCCCCGTGTTTTCCGGGTGAGCGAAACAACTTCGAGCGGCGGTGGAGCCTATCAACACGCACGTATCCGTTACAAGTCCTCGCTCGGGGCGCAGGCCTTGCTACCCAGGTTTCTCACAAGGGAACATTATTCGCCATCCTGCGAATCGTCCTGACGGCGTCTCGCAAAGGGTGACCACGTCGTATTGTTTTCTATCTCTCTGCAACCACCGTCATTGGAGCTTGCCAGGATATCGATACGATGATGAAGGCCGCAATGGCCGATGTCGGTGCCTGGTGTCACCTATAGCGCTACCACGCTAGTCCTCTCCAAAGCAGAGCACTGGCTCGTATTCCGACCGGCGGGAAAGGATCATACAGGCATGGCTACCACCACAGATATGTAGCAGGGATACAGAGTAAGTCAGCATATTGACCATGCGTGGTAAGCCACAGTCGGTGCTCACTCCGGTTTCATCTGCTTGTAAGGCAATAGTATATCCTTACTGGGCATTTGCGTCGATATTGTTATTGACAACCATCTTTGTTGCAACGACGTACACTGCAACTACTCTTAGGTATAAGACGGCCGTACTCGAGGCTTGGCTGCCTATGGAGCTCCCCTTCACGCCATTCTCATAGCCGTCATCGTCACTATTTCGCATACCTGTTGATCAGCGTCCAAACGACGTGCTTTGTGGTTCTGTGACAAGTGTATAATTTTCCGATTTCTCGTCTACGTTTGATGGAATCACGCCAACTGATATGGATTTTACAGGACTGTTAGACACAGCGGCGACGGCCAAAATTATCCGCTATATCTCGGTCAGTACACTAAGTTACATCTATGCGTTTCGCGCTACACTATCGTATACCGCCCCACAACTTGAATCAACAACCTTGGGGTGCTCACAGTGAATTCTATGAGCTTCACAACCATCGCCCTGCTTCTTTTCCTGAATGGCGTACTCGCAAACTTCACCGTTAGCTACACACCTACCTCCGTTATCGAGTGTCAAGAACTTCAAGTCTCGTGGACGGGAGGCGATGGAGCGCTGACGTTCTGGTCCACTCCCGATATATTGGCGAATAACGCCACGATTCCTATCACAGACTTGGGAGAGCAGAGCTCCCCGTTCAATTGGCCTGCGGTGAACATCACCTCCGGCACAGCCGTCACCATCATCATCCAAAACTCTACGTCCGATCTCTCCTCGACCTCGGGCGATAATTCGTTCGTCGTTGGTACGGGTCCGGATACGAGTTGTCTGTCGCTGGCGACATCGAGCAACTCCACGTCTTTGAATACGAGCCGGACTCGAATTTCATCTTCTACTTCTACTTCAACGAATATTGGCCAATACAACGAAGACAGTCTGTGGGACTCCCGCTATTTCTACCATGATCCTGCTGCTGATATACCCTTCTTCCTTTACGTAATTCTATAGGAGTTACCTTTTCAACCACACAAACAGGCATCTCACGCATTACCCTCGTGATAGCCGTTCTGGTAGCAATAGTAGGAACGACGCTGATCCTCCTCCTCATCCACACCGCCCTGCGTTATCGTAAACAACGAGCTAAACGACGACCCAAGCCCAATTCACGGCCCTCGGGTCCCACAGATAGGATCGACCCGTTTCTGGACCCGCCCAGAGGTGATCAAGCACCACTTGCGCAGACGTCAGCCGAGATCGACAAGGGGCCTGGCGAGTCTGAGTCCGTACTCGCCATAGCAGGGAGCTTCCTTTCGAGGATCTCGACAAGGCGAAGCACGAACACCGACGCCAATTCTACCCGATTGGCACCTCCGCCGAAGAAAAAATCACGTCAGGCGAGAGGATATCCGAGTACTGAGACCATGAACCCAGTCGTCGAGAATACAGGCAAGCCACAGCGAGACGTACCAGCTCGTGACGGGGAGGGAGAAGGGCAAGGGCGGGGATACGATATTCATTATCTGGTACGGGAGATGGGGAGACTGAAGGCGAGGTTAGACGCGCTCACTTCTGCGCAGGGTAACGTTGGGTCATGGAATAGGACGGAGAATGGTTCTGAGAACCTTAGTACGAAACCACCGACGTATCGTTCACGGACTACGGGATCGGAATAATGATTGTGATTATTTTGTATGGGAGTGAACGCGGGATCGTCGAGCAGTGGATGGTGCTTTGAAATCCGAGGCTGATATATTGGGGGTCTATCCACGTTGGATCCTCGGCGTCAGCTTGGAAATAATCGATGAATTATGGTAGAGGCGTCATGAGGCTGTATTGAGTCAATAGCTGGGAAGACAAAGTTCCAAGCGTGTCAACTTTGCTGGCCAAGCCGCTGCACTTCTGTAATTTGTTGCACATTAGTTTCGACAAAATTGAGGAAAGAGATCAAAATTTACCGATGCTGCCTCGTTTCCATGTTGAGACCTGGGGCGTTACGCAACCAATGAGAGGCGTGGTGAACGAGGTGCCGTCCAGTCATGACGCATGGCGGTGGCACAAATCACAACGACTGCATGAGGAACAATGCACAGACGTCGGCGCGTTCGACAAAAGGACGGCAGGAACGTGCCAGTATCGTTGAGTTCTAGCCATTCATTTCGTCCGATCAGCAGCACAGGCAGATCCATATTTTGGGAGCGTGTCGGTGACACCGCAGTCGTTTCGTCCTTTGTTCGCACGGCGCGTGATTACGTCGCCTTCAAGTTGAAAGCCCTTTCAAACAAACAAAGGGCGGTCTAACCAAATCGGGATACGAAGCATTTTGTCCAGGATATTTTTCTGAACGCGCCTACGTAACCAAGGCGCCCCCTTTCATTGGATTGAAAGGACTCCGGACACGAGGGGAATGAATTCGAACGAGTCAAGGAGATCGGAAATCACTTATAAGATGTCCGTCTGCAGGAAAATCTCCAAATAAATCTTCCCTCAGACCGCTCGACTTCCTCCGTCCCAACTATCCCTGCTTCAACTCTACAAGCCTTCGCTCATCGAAATGAACTACACCGCGACTGGTCAAGCTTACATCGACTGGAACGTTGTCGCAGGCACGATAGGATCGTTCTTGGACAAACTATACAAAAACCCGCAACAGCAACCGACGGCACAAGAACATCCCGAGACAGTTTCGGTAAGTCTTGACCATCCTTGTTGTGTGTCTCAGGTTCTAATATTGTCTGGTCGCGTAGTACACCCTGCTACCGAAACTCGAGCAGTCTAACGGGACACAAGCGGCGAGAGACTGGACCGGCTCATTTCCCACGGCCTCCGACGCACTCACGACCACCACCGGCTTTACCACTCAGACCCCGGACGACAGTCCCCACATCATCGATCCCACCGTGTCGTCCGCTATGTCCTTCGCCCCCGCCCCCGTCTCTGCCGCAATGACCCTTCCAGAGCCAGACGAGCCACTCAACGTGACACCGGCCCTGTACCTCCCGTCGTCGAACTCATCTATGGCCTTCCCTGCTCTTTCGACGCAGAGTATCTACGACCATCAGCTCTCTAGTTTCATGCCGCGCCTCTCCGGCAACGGTACAGCCCTAGGACCACATCCCGACTCGACTACGATCGCAGGTTCAGGAGCGCCCCAGAGGGATCCTACGTCTCCCCTCGTTGCATTCCCTACACCTCACCTCGCTGCATTCCCGACCATGCCGTCTTCGACCATTAACTCTGGGGAGGCTCCCTCTACGATCTCACGTCAGCCCTCTGAGCGTAGCAAGGGCAAACGTCGAATGATCGGCCCCTCCAGCGACGCCGATAGCCATATTACGGCTCTTGACTCGTTCGCACCTCCCTTGGGCTGCTCTACTTCGGCGTCATCTGGTTGTTCTAGCTTCCCACTTTTTGATCTCCCACCCGGCGACTCTCATCAGTCTTATGACTTAGAGGATGATCCTTGGTTCGCGGAAACGGCACTTCAGCTGCTCACTCCAGATGATGAGCTTTATGTTCGTGCATTGGAGTTTGCCACAGCCAGGAACAAGAGGCAGAGATCACCGTCGTTCGATACCGACAATCTCAGGAGTCGCAAGAAGGCGAAAATGACGAACGACGACGACTACGCTTCGGAGCCCCACGGCCTCGAAGACACAGTACGCTGGGCCACTCCGGTGGTCCAGCTAGACAAACACTTAGAACAGGGGGCATTCGCCTACGAGGATGTTCCCCCACAACACGACGTACCCCGTTTTCTACCTGCTGCCGAAGCTGGACCTGCGGAGGGCTCTAGCACCAGTGGCAAGGAGAGGGTACCCTGCCCCATCCCGTCTTGCTCTATGACTTTCGCCTGCCAGAGGACCGCCTCGCGGCACGTGGCCACTCACAGAAACCACAGCGGCGTCCGGTCAGAGCCTGGCTGGGGAGACCGTTATGGCATTTCGCTGACTACTCAGCGGATGAGGATTAGGTGCCCCTATATAGGGTGCGAACGCCACAGCAGGAAGCGAGGTTTGCGGAGCGACGAAATGAACAATCATATGCGCGATGTTCATTGCGTGGGCGTGGAGACGTGGAAGGAGAGGGTGGCTACGCTCATCAGGAGGAGGCAGTTGGCGGGCATATGGATGGCGGAGGACGAAGTTAGCACGGAGTGGGAGTATGAGGCGGAGGTGACGAACTTTCAGGAATTGTCGAGCGATGTTGTTGACAAGGACTTGGTCGCTTGGTCCGGCAAGTACGTCTGGATCGTTTAAAGGCTGTACGATATAGAAAGTCTTGGGTAAATCATGCGATACTGAATTGGACAGACGATGCGCTTACGGTTTCCATGTTACAAACACGAAATTATCTTCTCCAATTTCATGCCGGTCTCTGGATCGCATGCATGTCCCGCAGCTGTATATATTACCGTCGGCGATATGTTTCAGCACTATAATAAAGGCGTTAGTTTTAGAATCACAAATGAGATAAACGAGATCGTGACGAACTGCCGTCGAGCAGACTGAGCCACTCTGATCGCCACAGTGGCGTCACCCCAGACAGATCGACAGAGAAGGCCATTTAGAAAGCACCTTGCTGTATCTTCTACGTGTTGGTCCCTATGAAAGCCGCGTGCCATTAGATGCGTTTGAATGCGATGTAATCTGTGGTCACAATTACGGTACGCCCATTGGGAAAACGGTCAATGCGCATATATCCACGGATGCGACAACAGTAAAGCATACCAATGTGAGTATGCTTCGGTGCTGTCCGTTTCGTCTTGTTGCTGAAAAGATGTGGCCGTAAGTGTGGTCGTCTCAGTATAACTGCAGTTACTACGCTCTTTGTTTCGAGCACGACATCATCACACCGCCATCAAGGCGGCGCGACACACAAAGAGCAAAAGAACCAAATTGGGAAGTGATACTCTTTGCCCAGGTGCGTAATGACGACGTTCCCTTTCATCGACCTCTCAGAGGCCTCTTCGGGACATATATCGCAATAGCCAGCTTGAATCAAAGCGAAAACCATGGGGGAGTCCTTATAAGATGCCCTCGGCCTGCGTCAGAACGTCCGAACAGATCCTCTCTCCCACCGCTCGACTTTCTCCGTTTTGACACCTATTATTTTGAATCTCGAATCTTCTGCTGGCCTTCATGCATTACAGCGCACCCGAACAAACTAGTGTGGACTGGAGCGCAGTCTCTGATATGTTAACACCCTTTGTCACGCCACAAGGGAATCCTGTAAGCATTGACCCTCCTTCTGGTGTGCCACAGTTGCTCATACTCGCCTTGTCGCGTACTACGCCCCGTAATCGTGGCTGGACTAGTCAAACTGGCCACACGCGGGTGACGATTGGAACTGGTTCTTTTCCCTGTTCTCATCGCCCCCCGAAACATACAACACCGCGACATATTCGAGCTCGCGGACGGAGGACGTTAGCCCGTGCCACGTCGATCCTGTCCCCGTTCGTTCGAACACAAGCACCTTCGATCCTGACGTTTCCGGCACCTCTGGCGCAATGACCTGTCCAGAGGCAGTCGACCCAATCGACATCACACCCGCCCTGGAGCTCCAGAGCAGGGAGCTCCCCAGTTCGGATTCCTCGACGACTTCGAGTCCTCTTTTTTCGACGACTTCCGACGACATTGAGTGCATGGGCACGATTCCGTGCAGCCCCGACAAAGGCAAGGCTGTCCGATCTCCTTCAGATTCGAACGCGATATCTCGCCCAGGAGCAGTGCGGAGGGCTTCCACCATCCGCCACCTCTTTGCCAAGAACATTCCTCCCTTGACTATGACTTTGATTGATCTCCCCTCCACGAACTCTCATCAGCCATCTGAGGGCAGCCTGGGTAAGCGTCGAATGCCCACTCCCGCCAGGAACGTTGTCGGCGAGCTTCAGACAGTCGAGTCATCCACATCTCTCTCTGGCTGCCCTGCTTCGGCGTCGTCTAGTCTCGCTAGCATCCCACTTCCTGATACTCCACTCGACAGTGCTCAACAACCTGCCAGCTTTCTCTGTGACCATGCGTACACCCAAGTGATGCTTGAGCTACTCCCTCCAGATGATCGGTTTCATTCTGATGTATCCATGTCTACCACCGCAGCGAAGAGCAGGAAGAGGTCTCAGCCGCCTGATAACAGCGACTGTAGGGGCACCAAGAAGGCGAGGATGACGACGGATAGCAATGCTTCGACGCCCATCGGCCAGGAAGACACAGCACCCTGGACCGCTCCGATGTTTCAGCACAATGAACAAACTGGACACAAGACATCGGTACGCAGGGATGCCCCCGCACACAACGGTGATCTCGTATCTCTGCCCGACATTGACACTGGACCTGCGAATGATTCCAGCGCTGGCGGAGAAGCGATACCTTGCCCCATCGAATCTTGCGAAGAGACCTTCGCCAGCAAACAGAGTATCTGGCGCCACATCAGCACTGTCAAAGGCCACAGAGCCGTCCGCTCTCAGCCTGGTTGGGCAGACCGTTACGGAGTCCCAGAAAAGTATCGTCACAGGATGATGATATGCCCGTTTTTGACATGCGCACGGCACAGAAAGGAGCAAGAAATGCGGCGTGACGCACTGCCCAAGCACATGCGCCAGCATGCTATGGATGTGGATGCGTGGAAGAGAAAGGTGGCTGCACTCATACGGAGGAAGAATGTGGGGGGGAGGTGGACGGCCGAGGATGAGGCTAGCGAAGAATGGAGGTATGAGCAGGAGGTGACGAACTTTGAGTGGCGGCCGGATGATCTGGTCGATGGTGCCCTAGTCGATTTTGCGGCAAAGTATCTTTGTAGTTACTAATGGTTGATAGCTATAGTGTGTTTGTTCTCTATTTTCTGGTGCTTGACCGGAAAGACGGGATGGACTAACAAATTTCGTACAAACATGGAATGTTCTCCCTTTGTCTCATTCTCTCTCCTGTATCTGTGTTCTGCTCCTGTATCCAACGAATCAGTACAAATTATCTCCGGGAAAATATATTTGATACCATACTGAGTGTGCCATTTTGAGAAAAATTTTGACACAAACGAGAGTGTAATATAGGGAACTATTACAAGGCGGAGCGGTTGTCGCTGTGGCACCCCGATCGCCACAGTGGCGTCATCCTGACCGAGGGGCGAACTACCACGCAAAGCACTTGCAGTAGACGGAATGGATGAAGTCGTTAGGGCGGTGATATCTGTATTACTCCTTGATGATCAATGTGATAGGCCTATGAGCTTCGAGACAACGTCGTTACTCTAAACGGAGGACGACGACCTGCCTTCCGACTGATCTGATATCAGGTCGTCGCTGTTTTTCTGAGGAAAGGGAGGTGGTGTGGGAGACTCGCATAAATAATACGAGGCAGCTGCATATAAATTGAGCAGTGTACATACCAGATTTATTCCAGTGTACCGAACGGAAGGTACGAACGAATATCCGTGTAGAGAGGATGTAACTGAAGTGCCTGGTTCCGAGACGCTACGTCGGGGCTGAGGAGAAGGCCTGGTCACCATAAGTGCCATAGATTTCTACCAGTATATATGAGCCACTCAAGGTGAAAACGTCGCTGGCCCATTGGCGTAGACGTTACGAGTCGGAGGTCCACCTCAAGATAATCCGCGATGCCTCCGGGGAGTCAATCTTCGGCATCGGCCGGTAACTGTACAGGACATGAGCCAAGATATGGGGCTTTGCATACTTGGCTGAATTAATCGTCTTCGACATGCAGCTCAACCACAACTTAGCTCTCTCGTGATGTTCTCACCCTAGACGATTCTTTTGTCAAACAGTCCCTAAATCGTACGGGTGCGTCACTTAGTGCTGTCATCACAGCAGAGCACCGTACCGAGTCACATTCTGTGTTAGCGCTCTGGGCTCGCGCTATGTATCTGAGTATCCCGCGGGTCGCCTCCCAGATCGTATTCAAGGAGAAATTTCCTTACGCTTCCGTCACGTCAGTCCATGGAGAATATATATTGGCTAAGTGTGTATCAAACAGATGAGACTGTTCAGTCCTAAACATAAGGAAAGACAGATTAAAATGTTCAACTTCTTTCCGAAGGCGCTGCATGAAGGACCTACTACAGTTCGCAGTGGTCAGCTGCACATCCCCAGATAGTGGTTGTGCTTATGAAGAAAGGAGAAAATTTACATTGCATGCACTGCCCATACTGCCTTGCTCCGGTACTTCATCTAGGTCTGATACGTTCGATTTTGTTCAACTGACGTCTGCGTCTCGCGGTCGTGTATGGCTACCGTAGAGCGACATGAAAATCGTGCTGTGATAATGCCATGCCAGGTGAAGGCTAGAAGCGTTAGCGTGTCCACATATCGACGAGAAAGGCCTCTTATAAATTTTGATGTGAACGCGCTTCTGTCAAATAAAACCAAAAAGAAGGAAGAAGTTGAAGGCATTGAACGAGTTGATCAGTTATAGAGAGACAGTGTCCATCCCATAAGCGGGACACTGCAGCGTGCGGGGGCGAAACTCCACATAATTTCCGCAAAATTATTATAAAGAGAGAAGGCGAACTTTCCATCGCTGCCTCATCTGCATGTCGTTCATTGCGAGAGCCGCGCGCCTTTGGAGGCGTGCCATCAGCGAGGTGGCGTCCAGTCGCTATGGCAGTGAGACAATCGGAGGAAGAACAAAGGAACATATATCGGGGCTGTGAACAAAGACACGGCAAGATCGTGTGAATATGATGGCGCGCATTGGCCCTCCATTCTTTCGGTGAAACCGTAGTCATCACGCCCTTTCTTCGAACACGCTGTCATCGAAGCCTTCGGCATACAAAGGGCAAAACGGCCAAATACGGGCGACGAAGCTCATTATCCGTGGAGTATTCCAGCATGGACCGTACGTAACGACGACATTTCCCTTTCATCGCCCCCAAAGGTGCGTCTCGAAGCGGCAAGTGAGAGAAGCAACGTGAGGGCAAAGCGAACCCGGAACTAATACCCGGGGGAATATATAATGATCCGTGGTACTGGCAGGAAATGCAAGCAATCACTCCCTCCGAGCGCTCGCCTTCGTCCGTACGACCGACCAATACAGACTTCAAACCGCACTTTGACTTTCAAACAATATGAACGCCAACTCGACTCACCTCCCCTTCCCGTACTTCGAGATCTACCAACAAGACCTCAACGACACGCGTCCTCAACAAGCCTACGTGAGTTATGACCCTCCTTTCGACATGTCACAGCTGCTGACACCCGACTTGTCTTGTCAAACAGTACAATCAACAGTTGTCCTTCGACCACTCAAACGCGACGCAATTGAACATTGGCATGGGGAACGGTTTATGGGATTATTATTCCCTGTTATTTCCAGAACCCCAACTTCCTTGCCCATTCGATGGTACGTCTGCGATTGCTGTGAGCTCTGGATCTGGGATAGACGACGCTGATGCTCGTGTCTTAGACTTTTCAGTCCTTTCAGCTGACACGAGGGCCCTTGAGCCACTCGTCCTTCCCGCCCCGCCATCTCGCTCGAGGGCGATCATACCGATCGACGTGACGTCTACATCTAGGGCTCATTCTCCTGGTAACTCTACGGCTAGTGATACTCTTGGATCGACGGCTTCTCATACCAGCGCTGAGCTCATGGGTACCATACCGCGCCTCACTCCTCGCCGCACGGCTTCCCAACTTTCCCCCACTTTGACTATCTCGCCGGGACCTAGGACGAGCATGGAATCTTCTGAAGAGGAGGGCTCCACCACCATGCGTCTCCCCGTCGTTCCGCCTGTCCCATCTCTGCCCACGACGGACGCTCCACGGCGCTTCACGCGCAACCTCTGGGAATGCACGACGCCCATTCCGGACAGTGAGTTCTTCACCGATCTCGGGCACATCACGCCATCTACGACTTCCTCTGTCTACGGTTGTTCGCCATCTGGGCTCTCAGACTGGTCATCGTTCCTCGACACACTTCTCGACGACTTCCCCCATATTCCCGACGGGCACGTTGACAATGCCTGGATGGAGAACGTCCTCCAGGAGTATATTGATCCCCTTATAGGGACGGCGATCCCTACGACGACGACGATGACCACGAACAAGAGGAAGAGCTCTCCGTCGTCTGACTCCGATAGCCAGGGGAGTACGAAGAAGATGAAGACGTCAGGGCCGAGGACGAACGATTCGACGCCCAACGGCGCCGATACCCCGATACGTTGGGCCACTCCGGTGGTCCAAACCAACTACCACACTGAACAGGGAGCGTCCGCAAGCGAGGATGCCCCCACCCACGACGACCTGCCCCAGTTTCAACCTGGTGTCGAATCCGGACCTGCAGAGGGTCTAAGCACCGGCAAGAAGGCGGAAAAGCCCAAGAAGGCGGTAAAACGCAAGAGGGCGTCAAGACCCAAGAAGGCGACAAATCCGCCCAAGCCCGTCTTCTGCCCCGTCGCGGGCTGCAACGGGAAGTACACGCGCCTTCAAGATCTCCGCCGCCACCTTTGTACCGACCAGAAGACGCACCCCCAAATCCGGGACGTGCCAGACTGGCAACAACGCTGCGGAGTTCCGAAGAACTTCAAGGGAAAGCTAATGTCTTGTCCGTTCTCGCGGTGCAAGCACATTAGCAAGAGTCACGGGATGCGGCGCTGCGAGTTGGACAAACATATGCGCGCCCGTCATGGCGGGATGGATGTGACGATGTGGCTGAAGAGAGTGGCGATGCTGATACGGAGGAGGGAGAGGGCGGGGTTGTGGACGGCTGAGGACATGGTTAGTACGAGGTGGAAAGATATGTTGAGCGTCACGAACTTCGTGCAGAGGGAGGGAGAAGAAGTTCCTGAGAAAGGCTTTCTCGATTGGTGTTTGCGGTATGTGCTCTGGGAATCGTAATTCCCGACTTTCTTTTTCTTTTTCTGTGTCTCGTATCAGCTGGATGGTGTATTTTTGGACGGACGACGGGCTTACAACGCTTCGATCTGAACACGAATGGTTTCTCTTCCCTTTCTCTATCTCTTTTTGTCTTCCCTGAACTATTTCTTGTGTCAGCTGGACGGTGTATCTTGAACGGATGATGTGCTTACGAGGCTTAGATCTCAAACACGAATAGTTCCTCTTTCATTTCCTTCTTTCTTTCCCTGTACCGGTGCCCTGCTCTTGTATATAATGTATTAGCCCATATTATCGACTGCGAAATGTATTAGTCCCGCTATGAGAGCGCGACATTCATAATAACATACCTGAGCGACGAGCTGTCAGGAAAGAGTGGCACGAGCCGGCGAGTTTCAGAATGCCTGTCTATTTACGCCACACATGTGGCACGATTCCGACGTACCAGCACGTCTTGTACACAACATAGACGTTGTATACCGCACGTAGAATTACGAGCATGGAGAGTAATGCCAAAGTCGCTGTACAGAGGGGAAGGAGAGGAAAGTTATTAGATCTCAACGTCGCTTTGCGGGCCAGCCTTATACCACGAAAACTTACAGCCTCATGTCCTTCAAAGGCTGTGGGCCCGCACTATCGCCTTCATGTCGTCCTGAAAGGACGGTGTTGGTCTGTATTCCTGCTGGACAAATTCGTCAGGACGTTGTTCCGTTTCGGGGGTGAAGGGGGGCTGATGCGTGAAAGTCGTAGGGACTGGAGGTAGGAGGTATGGTATGTTTACTTGGGTCGAGGAGTACGTACATACCGTATTCTTCCTGTCCCCGTTGAAGGCGATGGCAGGTGCAGAGGTGTGGATATAGTATCCGAGTCTTGAAAAGATCTTGACCAGGACCGGCCGCGTTATGAGGACCGGGCTGTACCAGTATCATCCGGACTTCCGGCGCGTATGTCGTTGAAGTTACTCATTCTTTCTTTGCCTGACAGTCATGGTCCACAGTGAAAGGAATCCAACGATGGTCGAATAGCTTCCGAAAGGATGTGGGGGAAAGATCGCTGTCGGCATCGTCCGTGAACTGTACAGTGCTTACGGTCCATGAGCCAACGTGTGGGATCATCGTGAGTACCTTTCGTTCGACAACATCACTACGTGCGCGGACTGGAAGCGAACCACGGTACGACTATGAGCCGAGTAACCTTCCTTTCAAAGGACGTGGGATGCCTCTAGATTGCTTGACTCTTGCTTTGCTCGGCGAGGAGCCTCGGACAATAGTCTTGAACGCTTTCGGCAGGACGACTCTGCGCGTTCAGAATATTACTGGCTTTTGGAGGACCGGGCCACTAGAACTCTTGCTCCTAGCGCCTGGACGAGGGCACGTCGCACGCGTCGTCTGCTTCCGTCGAAGTCGGAGGGTCGGTTGACCTGGGCTGGGGCTGGGACTGCTGCGAGGGCTGGGATGTCATACGGGAGAACAGCATCGTCGGTGGCATGCTCGTGCTGTGATCGAGCTCTCTCGAACATGTCTTCGTCTGGCGCACGACGTATACTCTAATAGGGAGAACGAGAGACTCTGAATTGTTTTTCCTTTGTTGCTCACCCTCCGTATTCTTCCAATCCCGCAACATAGTCAGAAGCGAAGGCCTCGCACAATCCTCCCGCCATAGCTCCGCCTCTCAAGACAAACTTCTCATCGGGAAGCCCTGCGTCTGGACGAGGACACGTCTCGACGTCGCCCGCTTCTGTTCTCCGACCAAGAGGGAAGCTGGATGGTCGGTTGAGGGCTGCGATGTCATACGACTCTGCGTCTAGCCCTGCGTCGTAATCCTGTTAGCCGGTTCTAGAGACCCGACCCTCACAAGCTTAACCGCGAACGCGAACACAAACACGAACTCGAACACTATCGCACACTGGAGTCGGGACTCTTCATAAAGGATGAGCGAGCCTCGATGCGTCAAACCTTGACTTCTATCCTCCATCCACCGCGCTCATATTCTCTGCTTGCCGTTCGGTGGTCTCTCTTTGCCTTTGTCACCCTCCAATTTTAATGAGAACAATGGGTTACTCTGGTTCGTCGGTAGCCCCGCGTACTCCACATATCTGTCGATCCTCGAACTGATAAACAACACCAATACTAGCCTGGACTCGGTCTGTCAGTCGCCTCGGGGTGTACAGTATACCCTCGCGGGACGCAACCACGGATACCCATTCCGCGTACATAGAGAGAAAGCTTCATCGGCGCCATACTCGTGGTATGATCTCTCGAACATGTCTTCTTCACGACGGACCCAGAGTCGTTCGCCTCATGTTTTCACCCCTCCTTGGACCCTATACCCTCTCCTGTGCGACATGCGATATTCTTACTATCCCGAAACGTAAGTAGTCGGAGGCGAAGGCCATACCTCCGCATCCCGAGACATAACTTCGCCACAGCGGTACCGGTCCTGGAGACTCCGTCAAACAGAACCACAAAGGCAGTCACGTATGCCAGCCTCACCACGGCCACGGCCACGGCCACGAACTCGACCGCCATCGCACGCCCGAGTAGTGGTGCTTCAAAAAGGCTGGTCTCAGGAAGAAACGATGCGTCAAATCATGACTTATATCCTCCATCTCCATCATCCTTCTCCATTCGCCGTTCGGTGGCCTTACTAGTCTTCCCGACCGCTCCTCTCTCTCTACACCCGCACTCCACCCCCACGAGAACTGAGAAACGACGGGTCACTGTTAGGTTCGTGGGCGTTCTCGTATTCTTCGAACCTCTAACTGACGGATAGCACTTGCTAGCCTGAATTTGGTCTGTCAGTCGCCTCCAAATATATAGCATACCCTCGGGAGACGAGAACAGCCCACCTAAGTACAACCATGTTCTTTTATGGGCAATTCCGCATCGTAGCAGGCAATGAAGGATACTTACCTACCGCGACGAATCTCTTCCATTTTTCCTGCTCCGTTCACCAATGGAACCGCACCCCCGTGACTGGACAATGACATGCGTCGTCTGCTAGCGTTTCGAATCCTGTCGGACACGGTGGCACTGGTTCTAGAGACTGTACTCTCTCGGGAGCACGACAGCGAAGAAGACGACAGACGCGAGACCAGTCACGATCATGGCCACGGCCACGAACTCGAACTCGAATCGCGTTGTACTAATGTATGTCCCGGGAGTCCATGTAGAACTTCGTTGACCCATCATATATACCTACCCTCCTTAGTATGTCTACGACGGTCGACCACTGCAGTCCAAGTCCCAGTCATGGCCCAGGGCGCCTCGGTGCCCAATTGAGAGCTCAGGAAGCTAATTGTTTCCGCCCGTCGCCGAAACCCGGAACGCGAAGCGTGGGGTGGCGCCGAAACACCTTTGGGCCACACAAACTCAGGGCAGAAAAGGCGTGGGCACGCTTCCATCTTGGACGGATTTCGGGCGTAAGTGCAAACCAGTGCCTTTGACGGAGAATCAGTCAAAGTGATTGAACGAAGACGAAGAAGGAGACCGAGACCGAGACTGAGACGGCAGATAGATAGATATGGCGAAGAGTGCTACGTTAGTGAGTACTGGATACTGACTGCTATACGAACAGGGAAACGGTTCGGAGGACTGGTCGAATTGACTGCAAATTGACTGACGAGCGTGAAGGTGTCAAGAGCAGGTGATAAGAAGTATATGTATAGCGCGACGGGAGGATTCAGACGTAACGGAGTAGAAGGTGCAAGAGCGGCGGACAATATAAAAGAGAAAAAAAAAGGGATCGAAGTGAAACAGGGAACACAACACACAACGAGTATTCTGCATCAGGATAAAAATCGAAAGAAAAAGAATCGAGAAAAAAAATCGATCGAAAAGATGAATAAACATATTCAACAACTCCTCTCCTCTCTTCGGTGAAAGGGTAAAACAAAGAACGGAGTCCACTCTGACGAAAAAAGGTAGGTAGTGGATCGTTCGAGAGGTACACAACAAAAATGTGTAACGTGGTACGTGGTACGTAGAACAGAGAACAACGATAGGTCCAAACACAAACATGAGAAATAGATATCCATATCCACATCCATATCCGATATATACAGCCTCCCCATCCTATCACCCCATCTCCCATCCCTCTCCTCTCTCACCCTCAACCTTCACGCTCACCGCCTCTCCCGCTCCCTCCTCTCCTCTCTCGCCTTCGCCTTCACTTTCGCCCCATCTCGCTCCCGCCTCTCCTCCCTCTCCCGCTCCCGATCCTCCTCCCTCTCCGCCGACGCATCATACCCATAATTCGACACCGGACTATCCGACACGAACGCGTTCGCTGTCTTCACGTTCACGAACGAATACTCCGCAAGCTCGGGGGACGAGTTCCGGTTGTAGTTCTGGTAGATCAGGTTTGGCTATCGCGTTCGAAGTTGCGTTAGTATCATCATCCAGGTCAACGATCTGATACGACGCGACGCAAGAGGAGGAGAGCGAAGACAAGAGACGTAAAGTGCGCAAGAAGGATGCTCACCTCACTCATAAAAGCCCTCAACCCCGCGCCCTCCAACGCCTCAAAAACCTTCAACAGCTCATCAAACCCGCGGTTCCAAATATGTAGCTCTATTTGGAGTTGGCCGATGGGGAGGGTGGGGAAAGATTTGAGGAAGGAGGCGAGGGCGTCGAATTCCCAGCCTTCGAGGTCGATTTTGAGGATGTCGATGTGGGTGTGGCCTGGGTTGGATGGGGGAGTGGGTGGGAGGGCGGGAAGGGGGGTTAGTAGGGATTGGGTGGCACCACAGAGGGAGATGGGGTTGAGAGAGCGACGAGCGAGGGTGATGGTTGATGGAGGAAGGAAAAAGGAGAGATATATGGGTGGACAAGCGAAGAGTGAAAAAATAGAAGAAAAACGCACCATTCATCTTCATCAAGCTCTCAATAGTATACATCGGCGGCGCCTCACTCGTCGGCGCCACATCCTTCCCCGCAACCCCATAACTCTTAAAATGCGCCCTCTGCTTCAACGTCCGTCCCGAGTCATTCCAATACTCCTTCTCCCTTCTACCCTCCTCTGTCTTCCCTTTTCCTTCCTTCCCCTTCTCACCCACCTCCTCACCACTATCCTCTCCAACGACAGGATCCTGTGGCGAGGAGGAAAGAGGATCGGACGAATAGAACGGCTGCACCGGCTGCGCGAAGAATCTCGAAAAATCGGACGAGTGCGGGTTATTGATCTCGTCGCCGAAGGAGGAGAGTGTAAAGTCGTAGCCCCAGACTTGACAGTGTTTTGTGCGGGAGAGGAGTTCGGATTCGAAGGAGGAGCCGCCGTTCACGCCTATCCGCACCGCACCAATGATACCACCATCAGCATTCACGACGAGGAGACATGCACGGGGGAGGGAGAGAGGAAGGGAGGAGGGAGGGAGAGGATGCGCACCAAGGCTGTAAACGACACAATCCCGCTTTTCTTCTAGACGCGAAAGGCCGCATACCCATTTTCCGCCGTCGCCGAGGGCGCCGATCCGTTCGACTTCGTGTGGACAGTTGAATGCTGGAGGGAAGAAGTCCCCTATTTATGGACGCACGGACGGAATTAGAATGACAGGCTGAGTGGAGCGGGGTAGGTATGATATGGTATGAAGAAACGCACAGATTGTGTACGCGGGCCACGGTTCCTTGTCAGGCGGGAACCTACGCCAACGACAGTGTATACAATTTATGTCAAGAAAAAGAAAAGAAAAAGGAACGAAAGAAAAACGCACGGAACGACGGTCTTGCCCTCTCCCCCAAACTTGCGATACAGCCCCTTCCGCTTCGCCAACATCTTCTCGTATATCCTCTCCGCCCTGCTCACCCTCCCCGGCAAGCCCACATCCACTATATTCAGCTGCGAGGCACCCGCGCCCGATAGATTCGGCGCCGGGGCGTTGTGGAAGGTGTAAGGAGATGTGGAGGAGTCGGGGAGGAGGAGGAAGAGGGCGGCGAGGATGAGGAGGGTGAGGAAGATGGTGTAGCGCGGGTGGCGTGATGAGAGGCCTGGCATGGTCGGCGACGTCGCTGCGAGTATGTCGCCTACTTATGAGTTGGTAGTGGTCGGTATCCGAAAAAGCGGTCGGAAGAGATGAGAAGCAGAGGGTCGAGTGTGAGAGATCTGGCTGGTCACTTGCTCAGGCACCGTGCCGTGGACAGGTACTTATGCGTCGCTCGCCACAGCCCGTGTTAGTTATAAACTTGATACTGCTATGATACCCGTACTGTAAAGAGTGTCGACGCTGTGGATGACGATGAGCGAGGGCCGCCTGCGGTTGTCGAGTTGGAAACTTGGAAGTGTTGAGCGCTCTGAAGGCGGTGAAAGAGTGGCCGCCCTCGATGTCACGCCCGCTTTGGGACTCGCGACCGTTCCCCGGTTTTCATCACCGAGTCCCCTCAATGCAATCCTTCCCAACGCGGGGCACGCCCCGATCTCGGTAGCCGGTGGGGTACCTTCCTCGAATTGTCAAAGCACGCTCTCTTTTCCTCCACTACAACAAATATTTGTGTGTCTGCTTGCCCTCTGGCTGTGGGTGCTGTTTTTATTTGTGTTGGGCCTGAACGCCTGCGGTCGATACGCATCATTTTCTTGGCATTTTTCTTGATATCGCGTATTTGCAGGATTTGCTTTAGGTCTAGACTCTTTCTTCAGCGCTTGCGCTTCACCATCCTCCGGAGCCGGAAGACCCATTGCAATTGTGGGGACCCCGGGCACTCACGCCACATCTCCGCCACAGTTGAGTAAGTACTTACACAACAGAACATTCGCACCACCAATCGTATACATAGATTGAGAATAGGCAGGGTAGGTTTTTACAGTGATGCCAGTATACTTAATGTAGCTTTCTGAGGTCTCAATGACAATTGGGCACCGAGGGGCCCTCCATGACCGGGACTTGGACTGTAACTGCAGTCGTCGTAGACATAAGCCTGAGTAGGGTAGGTATATATCATGGGTCAACGAGGGCCTACATGGACTCCAGGGATATACATTCAATAGTACAACGCGATTCGGGTTCGAGTTCGTGGCCGTGGCCATGGCTGGTCTCGCGTCTGTCGTCTTCTTCGCTGTCATGCTCCCGAGAGGAAGGAAGGAAGGAGAGAGTAAGTACAGTCTCCAGAACTAGTATCACCGAGGCAGTCAGGATTCGAAATGCCAGCAGACGACCAGGCGCTGGGCGTGGGCGATTTCATCGGTGGAGGGAGCTAGGAATTTTGACGAGTAGTAAGTCCTAATCTTGGAATTGTGGGCGGAAGTGCAATGGGGGGGATTGTGTTACGACGCCTTCGAATACAGTTACGTCGACGAATTCAGAATCGGCCGTAGAAGCATGCATGGTTGTTGGCTGGCTGCTATTCTTCCGTGGGTCTATGTAGCATCCTGATAATGATGTGTTTCAGAGAAACGCAAACGTAGTTCGAGTACTATACATCGATGGTTTTGATTCCACACAGGATGGTCATCCGCGTTCACGTCTCGCGAGGGGATGGTATACTTATCTTGAGACGACTGACAGACCAAGTTCAGGCATGCAAGTCCAGTCCGTCAGTTCGAGGTTCGAAGAATACGAGAACGCCCACGAACTAACAGTGACCCATCGTTTCTCAGTTCTCATGGGGGTGTAGGGCGGGTGTAAGGAGAGAGGAGCGGGAGGGAGGGATAGTACAGGCCACCGAACGGCGAACGGCGAATGGAGAAGGATGATGGAGATGGAGATAGAGGATATAAGTCAAGATTTGACACATCGTTTTCTTCCTGAGACCAGCCTTTTTGAAGCACCACTACTCGGGCGTGCGATGGCGGTCGAGTTCGTGGCCATGACCGTGGTGAGGCTGGCATATGTGACTGCCTTTGCAGTTTAGTTCGAGGGGGAGTCTCCAGGACCGGTAACACTGGAGCGAAGTTACAGCATGTCTCGAGATGCGGAGGTATAGCTTTCGCCTCCGACTACGTTTCGGGATAGTAAGAATACGGCATGTCGCCCTAGAGAGGGTATAGGGTCCAAGGAGGGGTGAAAACAAGAGGCGAATGACTCTGTGACCGGTCCGTCGTGAAGAAGACAAGCATATGTTCGAGAGAATGCGATCATAGCACGAGTGTAGCGCCGATGAAGTTTGCTCTCTATGTACGCGGAATGTGTATCCGTGTTTGTATCGCGCGAGGGTATACTGTACATCCCGAGGCGGGTGACAGGCCGAGTCCAGGCTAGTATTGGTGTTGTTTATCAGTCTGAGGATCGACAGATATGTGGAGTACGCGGGGCTACCCACGAACCAGAGTAACCCATTGTTCTCATTAGAATTGGAGGGTGGCAGAGGCGAAGACAGACCACCGAACGGTAAGCAGAGAATATGAGCGCGGTGGATGGAGGATAGAAGTCAAGGTTTGACGCATCGAGGCTCGCTCATCCTTTATGAAGAGTCCCGACTCCAGTGTGCGATAGTGTTCGAGTTCGTGTTTGTGTTCGCGTTCGCAGTTAAGCTTGTGAGGGTCTCTAGAACCGGCTAACAGGATTACGACGTAGGGCTAGACGCAGAGTCGTATGACATCGCAGCCCTCAACCGACCATCCAGCTTCCCTCTTGGTCGGACAACAGAAGCGGGCGACGTCGAGGCGTGTCCTCGTCCAGACGCAGGGCTTCCCGATGAGAAGTTTGTCTTGAGAGGCGGAGCTATGGCGGGAGGATTGTGCGAGGCCTTCGCTTCTGACTATGTTGCGGGATTGGAAGAATACGGAGGGGGAGCAACAAAGGAAAAACAATTCAGAGTCTCGTTCTCCTATTAGAGTTCACGTCGTGCGCCAGACCAAGACATGTTCGAGAGAACTCGATCATAGCACGAGCGTGCCACCGACGATGCTGTTCTCCCGTATGACATCCCAGCCCTCGCAGCAGTCCCAGCCACAGCTCAGGTCAACCGACCCTTCGACTTCGACGGAAGCAGACGAGGCGTGCGGCGTGCCCTTGTCCAGGCGCTAGGAGCAAGAGTTCTAGTAGGCCGGTCCTCCAAAAGCCAGTATATTCTGAACGCGCAGAGTCGTGCTGCCGAAAGCGTGCAAGCCTGTTGTCCGATGCTCCTCGCCGAGCAAAGCAAGAGTCAAACGATCTAGAGACATCCCACGTTATTTGAAAGGAAGGTTACTCGGCTCACAAGTGGTTCGCTTCTGTCAAGTTCGCGCAAGTAGTGATGTTGTCGAACGAAAGGTACTATGATCCCACACGTTGGCTCATTGACCGTAAGCACTGTACAGTTCACGGACGATGCCGACAGCGATCTTTCCCCCACATCCTTTCGGAAGCTATGCAACCGTCGTTGGATCCCTTTCACTGTAGACCATGACTGTCAAGCAAAGAAAGAATGAGTAACTTCAACGACATACGCGCCGGAAGTCAGGATGATACTGGTACTTATCCCGGTCCTCATAACGCGGCCGGTCCTGGTCAAGATCTTTTGAAGATACTATATTCATACCTCTGCACCTACCATCGCCTTCAACGGGGACAGGGCAGGAATAATACGGTATGTACGGGCTCCTCGATCCAACTAAACATACCATACCTCCTACCTCCATTCCCGGCGACCTTCACGCATCAGCCCCCCTTCACCCCCAAAACGGAACAACGTCCTAATTTTGTTCAGTAGGAATACAAACCAGCACCGTCCTTTCAGGACGACATGAAGGCAATAGTGCGGTTCCACAGTCTTTGAAGGACATGAGGCTGTAAGTTTTCGTAGTATAAGGCTGGCTCATCCAACGCCGTTTGAGATCTAATAACTTTCTCGTTCTTTATCTTCGTTTCAGTGACTTTGGTACTGTTCTTCGTGCTCATTCTCTCATGCTCGGTATAGGACCTCTATAATGTGTACAGGGCGTCCTGGTACGTTTCACTCATCTTCATCGGCTTTAGTTGTAGCGTGCAGAGATGTTGTTTCCAGGTGCCACATGTGTGGCGTGGATCAATATGCATTCCGAAACTCGTGGGCTCATCGATATCCCACCGAGAGAGGGCGATACGCCAAACATAGCTACTGTAATGAGGTCAGGGCTTCACGAAAGTTCGTCACGCAGGTATGTCTCTATGAACACCGCGCTCTTACAGCGGGATAAATACATTTCGCAGTCGATGATATGGGCTGATACATTATATACAGGAGCAGGACATCGGCACAGGGAAGAAAGAAGGAAATAAAAGAGAAACTATTCGTGTTTGAGATCTAAGCGTTGTAAGCCCCTCGTTCGTGCAACGAGACACCATCCAGCTGACACAAGAAACGGTACAGCGAAGAGAAAAAGAGATAGAGAAGGAAATGAAAGAGAAACTATATATGTTTGAGATCTAAGCGTTGTAAGCCCGTTGTCCGTCCAAAGATATACCATCCAGCTAATACAAGACACAAAAAACGGAAAAGAAAATCGGGAATTACGATTCAAAGAGCACATACCGCAAACACCAATCTAGAAAGCCTTGCTCGGGGACTTCTTCTCCCTCCCTTTGCACGAAGTTCGTAACGCCCAACTCATCCTCCCACTCCTTACTAACTTCGTCCTCATCCGTCCACAATCCCGCCCTTTCCCTCCTCCGTATCAGCATCGCCACTCTCTCCAGCCACATCGTCACATCCATCCCGCCATGATGGGCGCGCATATGTTTGTCCACCTCGTTGCGCCGCATCCCGCGACTCTTGCTAATGTGCTTGCACGACGAGAACGGACAAGACATCAACTTGCCCTTGAAGTCGTTCGGAACTCCGTAGCGTTGTTTCCAGCCTGGCACGTCCCGGATTTGGGGGTGTGTTTTTTTGTTGGTACAAAGGTGGCGGTGGAGATCTTGAAGGCGCCCGTACGTCCCGCTGCAGCCCGCGACGGGGCAGAGGACGGGTTTGGGGGGTTTTGTGGCCTTCTTGCCGGTGCTTGGACCCTCTGCAGGTCCAGCTTCGACACCAGGTTGAAACCGGGGCAGGTTGTTGTAGGTGGGGCCATCCTCGCTTGCGGACGCTCCCTGTTCAAAATGGTTGTTGTGTTGGACCACCGGAGTGGCCCAGCGTATCGAGTCCTCGGCGCCGTTGGGCGTCGAATCGTTCGTCTTCGGCCCTGACGTCTTCATCTTCTTCGTACTCCCCTGGCTATCGGAGTCAGACGACGGGGAGCCCTTCCTCTTGTTCGTGGTCGTCGTCGTAGGTATCGCCGTCCCTATAAGCGGATCGATATACTTCTGGAGGACGTTCTCCATCCAGAGATCGTCAACATGTCCGTCGGGAATATGGGGGAAGTCGTCGAGAAGTGTGTCGAGGAACGATGACCAGTCTGAGAGCCCAGATGGCGAACAACCGTAGACAGAGGAAGTCGTAGATGGCGTGATGTGCCCGAGATCGGTGAAGAACTCACTGTCCAGAGTGGGCGTCGTGCATTCCCAGAGGTTGCCTGTGAAGCGCCGTGGAGCGTCCGGAGTGGGCAGAGATGGGACAGGCGGAACGACGGGGAGACGCATAGTGGTGGAGCCCTCCTCTTCAGAAGATTCCATGCTCGTCCTAGGTCCCGGCGAGATAGTCAAAGTGGGGGGAAGCTGGGAAGCCGTGCGGCGAGGAGTGAGGCGCGGTGTAGCACCCATGAGCTCAGCGCTGGAATGAGAAGCCGTCGACCCAAGAGTAGAAGCCGTATAGTCACCATGAGTAGAAGCCCTAGACGTAGACGTCACGTCGATCGGGATGATCGCCCTCGAACGAGACGGTAGGGAGGGGAGGACGAGTGGCTCAAGGGGCCTCGTGTTGCATGAAAGCACCGAAAAGTCTAAGACACGAGCATCAGCGTCGTTTATCCCATACCCAGAGCTCGCAGCAATCGTAGACGTACCATCGAATGGGAAAGGAAATTGGGGATCCGGGAATAATGGGGAGTAGTAGTCCCAGCCCTCGTTCCCCATGCCCATGTTGGGCTGCATCGCGTTGAAATGGTCGAGGGACAGTGGTTGGTCGTACTGTTTGACAAGACAAGTCGGGTGTCAGCAGCTGTGACACGTCGAAAGGAGGGTCAATACTCACCTGGGCTTGTTGAGGACGCGTGTCGTTGAACTGGAAGTCTTGTTGAAAGCTCTGGAAATACGAGAAGGGAAGCTGAGTCGAGTTGGCGTCCATGATGTTATGGTCAAGGCAAGGTTTGGATTCTGTGTAGGAAAGCGGAGGTTACGAGAGTCAAAGTAACGGTCGGTGGTACGAAGGCGAGCGCTCGGAGGGAGTGATTGCTTGGAGTTCCTGCCAGGAGCACGAACCATTTTATATCCCCCGGGGATCTAGCTCCGGGTTCGCTTTGCCCTCACGTTGCTTCTCTCACTTCCCGCTTCGAGACGCGCCTTTGGGGGCGATGAAAGGGAAGTGTCGTCGTTACGTACGGTCCATGCTGGAATGCTCCACCGACAAAGGGTACATCACCCGAATGTGGCCGTTTTGCCCTTTGTATGCCACCAGGCTTCGGCAACAGCGTGTTCGAAGAAAGAGCGTGATGACTAAGGTTTCACCGAAAGAATGGAGGGCCAATGGGCGCCATCATATTCACACGATCTTGCCGTGTTTTTGTCCACAGCCCCGATATACGCTCCTTTGTTCTTCACAAGATTGTCTCACTGCCATAGCGACTTCACGCCACCTCGTTGATGCACGCCTCCAATGGCGCACGCCTTGCGCAACGATCGACACGCAAACGAGGCAGCGATGGAAATTTCGACTTCTTTCTTTAATTTCGCGGAAATTATGTGGAGCGTCTCGCTCCAGCAGGCTGCAGTGTCCCGTCGATGGTCACGCTCGTCTCTTTCCAATTGATTAGTTCTTTCAAGGCTTATTTTTTTTTTCGATTTCATTTGGTAGAAGTACGTCCACATCAAATTTGTAAGAGTCCTTTCTCACCAATAGGTCGACACGCTGACGCTTCTAGCCTTCGTCTGACATGCCTTGATCCTAGAATAGCCTCCACGTCGCCCTCGCTTCATCGTTTCATACCGTCAACTCATTGTGTCGGTGGATGACATCTGGAACAGAAGTACCATACTGTACCTCCCAGAAGTTAGACGACCGCTTACGTAACGTGGGAACTCCCGTGAGGAGGCGACGGACCCTTGGGACAGCGGGACACAGGCGACGGCCAGTCACCTTGCCTCCGAGGGAGAGTGACCCGGCCCTGTACAAATGGTCAGTACTTCGAACCTTTCTCGATTTCACGTCCATCTGCAGTGGTACTTGCAGTTCTGTATCTAAACACTAATTGAAACAATTTTATATTATTTGTTGAAGAAAATACGAGAAAATACGAATATATTACCCTAGGCGACAAGAACCTCGGGACACCGGGACAAGCGCCCAAATAGGCGACGCGACAGGCCCCTCGGGACACCGGACATCGCCTAACGTCTGGGAGGTACAGTATGTCCCAGACCGGTCGCGGTCGTCGGGGTACTGCCCACTAATCCCGGTGCTGTTGAGGTGTCGGGTGGGTCACAATATGTCGGGGACAGGGGCGTGTTTGGTAGAACCATGTTCGTGCCATCCCAGAGATATTTTGTCGTAAATACCGTATGAAAATCAGACTGATGCGTAACCTGCCACGACATGGTCATCAATACATCGGTTTGAGTACATTAATTCAAACCCTCGTACTCGACGACAGTTTAGAAGAGGTTAGAGGCGAAACGAAGCCATACATCCTCCGTTCTGGCTCTCAGAGTCACTGGAACCGGCTAGGCAAGAGGGCCACAGTGGCACTGGCGAGGAAAAGCAGTCACGGTCGCGTCCGTCACAGATTTGCAAATTTGCTTTGAGTTGTCACAGCGCCGCGGTGTTTACGCGGTGTCCAGGTTTCGTTCTTCGCCACGACTCTCTACGCGAGGTATTCGCTAGTTGCTCTCCCCCGACGGTCCCATTCTGATATGGCCAAAGCATCTACGCGTAACTCTATATCAACCGCTGCATCAAGCAGTGGTTTCATTCTAAAAGCTGCTCCTGGTAGCAAGAAACGCGTCGTCGTGACACGTCCGCAAACATACGACGTGAGTCCTCATTTAGCAGGACCCTCAGCTCGTAGATCTGAAATCAATTTCACTTACCTTCAAAACGCATCTCTCGCAGGAGGCATTGAATGCCGCAGCTAAGCACTTCCCGTCGATACCCAAGGAGGACATCATCTTGCAAAGCGATGAACTCGACTTGCTCCCGGGGGAGTTGGTCGACATCGACCCTGGTTTTTGGACGCAGGCTGTGGCATCCATCAGCTCTGTGTATGTTGTGCGGTCTGAAATGGAGGAATCCTCTCATGCGTCTTTTCTGTCTGAGTCCGTCCTCGGGAAGCCATTGACCGAAGTATACGAATCAGGCGCTGTTACAACGCCGCATCATCGTAACATCTTACCAGCTGTAGCTCAAACACATCATCATCTATCTCATCCTTCCTCAGGTAGAATTAATCACCGCTCTCGGAAGCTTTATCTGATATTGTATATCATTACAGCTCTTGGCCATAGGTCTCAATCCGACGGATATAGCAGAATCATTCATGCAACTCTGGCGAATGGCGAGGTCGTCAATCTGAAAGTCAAACCTAAAGCAACCATATCAAGCATTTGCCAACATATTGAACACACAATCGGAAAGGAAGCTGACAGTGTCACGCTCCAATACGACGGACGCCGCCTGTTCTGTAACGCAAGGGTTTGCGACATCGATTGGTCGGAGAGCGAGAATGAGCCCATTCACGTGGATGTGTACCTGCAGCAATTGGGAGGAAAGCCCGCCATCTACCTTTTTTCGCCGATAGAGATGGATGCTCTGGTCAACCTCTCACTTGTGCCCTCGTGGAGATTTTCGACTATATATCCCATCGTACCAACCAAATCGACTGCATTGAGCCATGAAACACTCACTTGGAACGTACACGTGTATGGCGACGGTAGTCTGACCGAGAAGACTACCGGGCTTGACGTCGCTTACCTGTATTGGGAAGCTCAGTAAGTCTTTGCTCCTCTATTCCTGTGGACGAAACTGCGCTGAAACCATCGACAGTACCAATTCAGACGCTCCGCCTTCCCCGCCGCCATCACCCCTGCCCGGTCAGAACGCTTCAATCGAACATTTCTGCCCGAATTCCAGCGATCTCGACGACCACAACGCGGTCGTACTACCGGTCGCTAGTCTCACTCCGTACCTGGATAAAGCGCTCAAGTCTCTCGGTCTGCATACCGAGGCGCGAACCTCTTTCATCACGTATGTTCTATCCCACCTGTATTCCTCTTTTCTGTCATTCAACCGTTTCGCGACTTCATCTTCTAGTTACTGGCTTCCCTCGTTCCTCAAACACAACCACATCGCTCTTCGCTTCGTCCCTCAAGCGGCATACGAACGCGCAGCGCCACTCGATATCTCTCCGGCGCCCGCCGTCTCTACCCGAGTATTCATGCTCTTCAAAGGTGTCTGTGAAGGGAACTTGGATCTCTGGCAAGAAGCGCAAGCGCGCGCGGACGACGATGTGGCGATGTGGCGCGATGTTGTTGGTGTCGATATTGAGAAAGCGTCGGATGAGACGCTGTTCAGAGTTTTAGAGTGGGGTGGGATGGAAGTTTTGCGCGGGTGATCTTTTGGACGGTTAGAGAGGGACTTTGTTCTCACCTGCTCATTGCTTTACTTATCTTGTGCATGATGTACGCTTATTTCTTGAGTACTACTTTTTATATTCCTTTTCGCTCAATTTACATGCTGCTCGAGTACTTCTAGACCATTTATGCTCCATATAATGATGTGACAATGTTTTCAACATAAACGACGCGCTCCGCTTCCCTCCATCGAAAACCGAACAAAGGGGTCAACGGCACCGACGGAAAAAGCAATTGTTATCGGCAGGTGCCGCCTAAGTCCGAGCTTCTCCACGTGGCGACAAAGATAATCATGATTTCCCCGACGTTTGCTTTCTTGAGCGAGAACGACCAAAAAGGCCTTTCATGACCATTTTATTGCTCCGATAAAATTGAGACAGAAACTCTTGAGCGTAGAATGTGGACAGACTGCCACAGTGGCGTTAAGCAGTGAGGCGCTTAAGTAAGCGACAGAGCGGAGAGAGAACGAGTTCTGCGCTTGTTTGTGTCAGTTCCCTTCATGGCCCCGACGCCCACCACCACGTCCTCGTCGTCACCCACGATGGAGTCCCTCAACCTCAACACGCTCGCCAACTCACTTCCCAACGCCGACTTGGCCAAGGCCGAGGCGGACTTAGTTAACAATTTCAAAGGTGAATAGCCTTTGTTCCTCCTGTTCTCTTCTATTTGGTCAGGTGTCGCTAACCATGTATTGGTGTTGTAACAGCGGCCGCGCTCAGTATAACGACTTTGTATCGCTCTTCAAGGACGACTTCTAAGCGGGCGTATAATGCTGGATATGCTGCTGCTTGCCAGGATCTGCTACAGATGATTCAGCAAGGCGTGTCGGACTCGGAAACTGAGGGTGGGAGTGGCATGCCTACAATTGAGCGAGTCTTGGATTGGGTGGAAGCTCGGTACGAGGCTGTCAGAGCTCGTGCGGAGGAGGAAGAAGAGGACGAGGAACGAGATAGGGAAAGGTCGCGCTCGGCTACTGCTGATCCCGCCGTCAAGCAACCCATGCCCAGGGCAAGCAGCGCGCCTGTCGTTCAACAACGGAAAGACAATGTGAGTCACTCTTCTTCCATGTTTTTGAGGACAATAAATTCTAATTGATTATCGTCGCCGTTCTGCATCAGGCAAATGCATCCACTTCGTCGAAGCCGTTGACTCCGAATCCTTCGCAATCAACGCCACCATCTCCCTCCATCAGTCCGGTTCGCCCACCAACAAACCTGCTTCAACATCGAAATTCCAAGTCACGTATTTCTTCAACGCAACCCAAGGACCCGTCACCTTTGAACCCATCCATCAACCCAGGCCACACATTCGAACCGCCCGCCGTCACTCCCATCACTCCTACCCCCTTCGAACACATTCCTACCCCTTCAATCACCCCTGAACCTTTTGCCTTCCGTCCTTCCAACCTATCCTACTCTTCCGATACCATCAGCTCCGCAGGAGCGAGCCCTTCCATCGACCCTCGCGCTGGCGCTTTCGACACGCTCAGTGTGGCGGCTGGTGCTAAGCGCCGACATGCGATGATGATGATGCTGGATGCCGCTCCATCCACCGCCGACGTCGGTGCTGGGAATGGGGTTGCCGGTACATCGACTGGCGTGAATGTGTCTGGTCCAGGCTCGGGGAGGAAAAGAGTGAAGGGATATAGGGGTGGGGCGCCACTCACTGGGCTGGGAGGGAACGTTCTCGCTCAACAAGCTCTCAATCAGAACCAAGGGCATGGGATGGACGCCATGGATGTTGAAGAGGATGGTGGGAGGGAACGGAAACGTGTTGCGAGGAGATAAGATGAGCGGAGCTGGGGATGAAGCGTGCACGATATAATCCAGAATTCACAAGTTTTTCTATGTATCAGGTTTGTTTGATACCCTCGCCTACTCATACGCCACAATCGCGCGTTCCTTCATGGTCTGCTCCCGCTCCGTACCCCATGTCACCTTTGTATGCTGATGGTGTTTCTGTGTCATAAGATATGTTCCCAAGTTGTTATCCATAGGTTGGCTGCGTCGAAAGACGGTATGATGATCATCGTGGAGCATTTCCCTCCCATACCGCTTCCTCTCCTTTTCTTGAACTCCTCGTTGGGCAGGGCCTCATCAAACCTAGCCCTTATCTCGAACTCACTGTCCGGTTTCTCATCCATTTTCGTTCCTCGTACATGTATTCTACGTCACTGTCACCCCGTCTTTGCGCCTCTCTTCCAGACCTTGCAAATGTTACCACATTCCTTTACATCCGTCTCTCCCCCTCCATATCGCCACAGTTCCACCAATGTGCGCAAGACACTGCGAACTTACGTCTTGGCACACGTATCGCTTTTCTCCGCCCAACACTTCACCCGTTCATGCACACTTTAGGTCTCAGTTAGTACCACGCTTCATTGTGCGCGTCCGCTTCTCAATTCAATCCCTCAATTTGCCTTCCATGATCTTCACCCTGCTATCACCTCGGACGTGGCAACTCTGAAACTCGGACGTTCTCAGAGAATCTCCGGCCTTGTTCGCCATGCGCGGATGAGCGTACCCAGCTGGAGACTCACGCTCAGACTTCAACTCAATCAGGGTTCAAGTTGGCGTTACGCTTGCGAGACTCGGGTACAAAGGGCTACGGTCTCTATCGACGATTGACAGATTACAAGACGCGGTATGTTTGCTGGGAGAGAAACGGATCGTCGGTTACAATGAGTATGTCCAAGATATGTCCGTGCCATTGACAGCAAAGCATCTCGTTCTCATCCTCATGTTTTTTTTTCGGTGCGTTATGTCACTGTGGCACGGATTTGCAATACGGGTCAAAGCGTTCTCGATCGGTGCCACACGGCAAAATCCGCGGTCCGCGTTAGGGCCCCTATTCAAATTCTGTCGCGCGGTGGCCTGCGATACACGCAACCACCAACGACCACCGAACTGCCCATCGTCTTTGGGCGCGTTCATCTAACTACACAGCGATGTCTTGTGGAAATCCACTGTTTCTCAAGTGGGTGAAAGGTGCGTCGCGTATCATTATTTATCCAGCTGAAGCTACCGGGTTATTAACGTGTCTGTTGTTGAACGGGACACGACGCGTCGCGATCGTCGCATGTTGCAGGATTCCACAGTGAGAAGGACTACAAGAAACGAGGCGGTCCTCCTCGTGCGACTGGGTACGAGAAGGCCATCTGGGCGCTGCAAGGATGCTCTGAGAGTTACGAGCATCCGAAGGAGCTTTTGAAGTTGGATGGGGTTGGGCCAACTTGCGTGAAGAGGTGAGTGACCATCATATAGATAACACTCCTGCCAGTTGATTACATTTCTGACACGCTCTCCTACGATGTCTATAGGTTAACAGAGAAACTGGAGGAATATTGCGATCAAAGGGGGATCCCTATGCCCGAATATAAGCCTCGTCAGCCCTTCCTTTTTCCCCCTTCAGTTTGATAGCGATCCTGATTTCCACCGTCTATTTGACTCCCTCGTGTTCAGCTCCTCGCAAGAAGGCTGCTCCCAGGAAGAAGAAGGCCGAGCCCTTACCCCCCGGTACCAGGAGGAACCTTGTGAAGATCGTCGAAGCCAATAACGAGGATTACCCAAGGCCTGCCACGTTCTCCGCCTCTACTTCTCAAGCTCGTAGCGCTCCCAGCAAACCTGCCAGCAGGCATCACTATAGCGATGATGAGGGAGAGGAAGAGGGTGGCTCGGACGATTTGGAACGGGAGGACCTGCTCCCCGAGGATGAGGTCTGGGCCCCCCCGGGTGGAAGGCCCAACGCCGTTCGTCGCAGCAAAAAAGTCGCTCGTCGTCCCCTCCCGAAAAGGCTTCCTCAGGCGACACCCGCCAAGGCGAAGAAGGGACCTATCGAGGTCTCGGATGACTCGGAGATCGAGCCCGTATTCCTCTCCGACGAGCCTGAGATCGAGGTCAAGTCGAGGGCGCAGCAGAAGAGGAAGGCCCCGGAAACAGATGAGGAGGAGGAGGAGGAGGAGGAGGAGGAGGAGGAGGAATATGTTCCGGTTCAGAAGAGAAAAAAGGTTCCACACCATGAGTTGGCGAGGATGGCTGCTGCAAGGAGGAGAGCAGAGCCTGTGAAGCGGCGAAAGATTTGAATGTCGATGGGAGGCATCAGAATAACATTAGTTGTTGACGGGGGGGGCTTCAAAATAACATTAAATGTCGATGTGAGGCCTTAGAATAACATTAGATTGGTTGGATTATGTCGAATTATGTGGTCATGTTACGAACGGGGTTTCTGTACACGTTTTGTGGTCGAATCTCAGGCGCCACACGGCGCCACATCCCCATCGGGCAAACGCGGTGAAGTGCTGATAGTCGGAGCTTGAAATCGTGATAAACTCGTATCACGAGGCAACCTTTTGTCCAAAACCACCAGTGGCAGTCATTCCGCAACTTGTTTTCAGTGCATTCCGGTTTTACAGACATAACTTCTCATCTTCCTGATATATGCTAGTACTCCCAAACCGAACTCGGTATTTTGTCAGTGGTGTATCACAAAATAAGTAGCTTCGTAACTTAGCTTTCGCCGCTCGCTCTTCCGTTGCTCTTCCGCGTAACTGACCTTGATGATCCTGATATAACTTGAGTCTGATTCATAGTGCCCCACAAAAATAGCTCTCCAGAATCTAGGCCTATATTCGTGACGAACCTACGTGTGCCCATGGTGAGCCGTCGTTCCTTACTGATATCGTAGACTTAGTACCCTACGGATAGGCAGTACGTCAACGACAGTTCTTCGTCAAGAACGTGTCCTCTTTTCTTGGGCGTTGGGTTAAAATTACCTTTTCATCAGGACTATACTCGGCTCTCTGACCTAGTCGTCAGTTTATACTGGGAAATCTTCCGTGTCATCGCATAGTTTAGATCGTCACCGCCTCTCGGATGTATGCGTCTCTTCTCCGTCATCTTTTGCACTCTGATCATGACGATCTGACTCATCGTGTATTCAACCATGGATCGAAGATGGTGTGAGATCTGTACTCTATAAACCTGTAAGCCCACTCTTCACAAGAATAGGCTTTCGTCCATGTCAACAAGCGTCACCACGACTTCTATCCTTGATCTTGTATGACGTATTACTGTTTCTGTCTGTCGACTAACAGCAGTGACTTTCTACGGAAAATGGATTAGGTATCATGGTCAGCGCTGCGACGAAGATCTGGGAGAACGACTTCTTCTAATGTGTTGCGTTCACGAAAGCATCTGGTGATGTCGGATCCTTCGCTGAACCATTTCCCTTGGGTTTCTTCCATTGATTCCCATGGGCTTCCCATTTCCATCGCAATGTCTTATTACTTGACAACATGTGGTGTGCTCGCCATCCGACGAGTCTCCTGCCACATAGCTCCTCTTAGGACGTTTATTATGCTCTTCCGCCCAACGTACTCGCTGCTCGAGTAGGTAACTATCGGCACCCTATCCCCATCCTGCTTCTTCAAGGCAGCCTTCGTTGAATACTTCGCTCCACGGCTCTCTTAGGGTGCTGAACCATCTTCGGCCTCAATAACGCTAAGCGGGGAATTGGGTATTTCATGTCAGTAGGTGCGTTCAAACTCTGTTCTTGCTATCATAAACATCGCTTCTCCTTCTTATCAAGGCGTTCCACTTCGATTCTCGAGGTGTATTCGAGCTGAGGAGCCGACAATGTGCTCCTGGAGCGGCGAACTCGGGTCCATGATTCTCTTTCAGCCTCAAAAGTCTCGCCGCAACTCGGAGGTGTAGGGTGGCTTTAGAAGCTCCTCGGGCGTGCGCAATGAAGACTAAAATTCGCATCCTTTTCCAGACAGAGAAGGTGACAGGGGTATCAGATAGTCGGAGATGCTTTGGCCGCGCGGACAGCGAGTCTCTCGGTGGGAGTATCAAGGTTTACAGCCGCGGACTGTTTCTATGGTCTAGGACAGATGCTTCCCGAAGCCTTATCCAGGAGAGAAACAAGGTATGTCTCGTGCGATAGTCCTATCCTTGACCTACAGGCTGATTGGCCACGTCAAAAACAGGCCGAATTCCTTGTTCGATTTTACTAATTGTGGATATATGGATCAGTGTTTGTTCGCTATATGATGTGAGTGCCACCCCTGTTCCAGTCGTGCTTCCGTCTCTTTGCCGTCCATTTTAAAGTTCGTCTCTAAGGGCCGGAGCCGTCAGGCACTTGTTCTCAGAGGCGACAGGAGACGTGACGCGGCTTCCAGCTCTTACAACATTCAACTCTATGCGTAGTACTGTGTCGCGGAGCACAGAAATAAGTATTGCCAGATTGGCTTTCGGTATCCCATTCACTTTTCGGGGCCATATATATCTCACACTAACCTTCCTCTTCGGTCACATATGACGAGATTCATGTGGGCCCGAGATTTACTTCGCTGTCTATCTGGCGCTATGCTATGCTTAGACTCTACCGCCGGCATAGACTGGAACGTCATGGTGCCGGAGGTTGACTCAGATGAATAGTAAGCTAATTTCCACTTCCAAACGGCACGCCTCTGCACAGCGGCTTGGTTGTGTATTCTGCAACTGGGTCAAAATTATTGTTCGGGACAGCGATGCTCCTTAACATATTCACATTGAACATTTCAGACTTGTCTTTCGTGCTGATTGCCATCTTTTAGGCGTTATATTCCCCGATATCCGGGATATATCTGAGCTCCTGACTAGATCCTGCAATCTCTCCGTCTTGTTGGGCATGATGAATAGAGAGAGATGCAAAAAGCATAACTTACGCTGGCAATCAAAAAAGCGGCCGACTGTTGTTCTGGTACCAGTGCGTCCAGCTTGGAAGCCGCGTCTGTTCAGGTTTTTAAACGTCGGAGGTGTTGTCCGCCGCCCATACACAGGCGGTTACCACTATCATGAATTGCCTTTATGGTACACTGACTAGAGGTTGTATGCCAAATCCCTGACTAGTGCTCTTAATGGACACGGAGGATCAGATATGTGATAGCTAAACTTTCCGAAGAGATGAACCACGATTCCAAGCCTCGCCCCACTGCAAACTGTGCCTGGATTCTCCTGCTCCACTAAACCGCGTTTCTGCCATGAGGTATAGATGACCTGTTTTGTCGGTCGTTCGACATGAGTCCTGTCTGAGATTTCAGTTCCGTGCAGGAAGATTACGCCACGTCCAGTCTTCTATACTTATCACCAGTCTCAATCGATACTATTACGGCAAGGCCGTTGGATCGTGTTCGTATGAGGTCAAAGAGCTACCACCCTGATGGATAAGTCCCCCGCAGGTGGGCCTAGCCTTGAATGCATAAGGACTCGAATCTCCTCGGAGTTGTTTGCTTAGAACCTTGCGTGAAACAAAATAGGAGTCCATGTAATTTGGTCACGGTCCAGGTATCACTGGTGGCGTATAATCTGAAATGCACACTTTCAGCACTTGTCAGGGAGATATGACAGTAGTTGCCTCTCAGCTCTCCGAGTGAAATTTGATCGAAGTACCTGTACTCTCTGCCAACTTGCCACCGCCACTTGGGATTACGGAGTGATCGGAGCGGGTCGGAGTTGTCCGGCAGGCCATGTTATCATCATCGGCTAAGAAATCCAACATCCGACCAACATCTACCCTTATCCTTCAGGCCGCATGTGCGTGTCAGATACAGCGTGGCGGAAACGGAAGTAGGAAAGGGAGCCTCAAGGTCTGTCCTCTTTCTCTATGAGACTCTATAAAAACACTCGCCTATCCCCATGCCCAACATGGTATATGCAAATAGTCCGGCACGCTACTGGTGTTGCAATGTACTTGAACGGCACCCATCTGTTGTCCATGCTTAGGGTCCAGGCCTGCCCTTGAAGAATAGCTTGGAGCAGGCATATGAGTCCTCACATTTCTGCTCACGTTAAGCGATATATTATATGGGGTGTGGGCATATCCCCGCGTTGAAAGAACTGGAGATACTTGGTTCCCTTTTTGATCAAAGAGCCGTTATGTGGATGATGCCCATCGTTCTTGTTATATCATGAGGTCCTGCGAAAGAAAATGACATAGGCTCGAATAGACTCGTACGAGACTTCTAAAGTTAGCACCATACAAAAAGTGCTGCTTCCCACACACACTCTCTCCCACGGACCTCTCTCGTCGTCGAGCAGCCTTGATCAAGAAGTGCTAGAAGTTGGTCCTGGGTCTCCCGATCCCGTGTCAGGGCACATCGACGGCGAGCTTGATGAAGTTCTTTTCCGCAAATGTACTCGTTGGCCCCCGCGGCAGTAGCAACATGGTGCGTGGACTCGAAGATGCTACAAGAAGTATGCACGTAGGGTCTTACACGGAGGTGAGCATAGCAATAAGCTAGTATCATGGGTCTTTTGCTCAGGTAGCCGCTTTGGCCCCCTTCAGGATATCCCAGGGTTCATCATGAAAGTCAAATTCGACTGTTCCAACCGCGGGCGATATGCATCGGAGCCACGCATCTCCTTGGCGCCAGTGTTGTACGTCCGTACTGTCCGGTCGCTCCACATCACAACATATGATCATACTTTCCATACTCAACGGGATTTGAGATGACTACACAACCCATCGAAATTATCAATCTATCGGAGAGCTTCGCATGATCGATCCACCTCCGGGCAAATTACCTCGCGCTTTTCCTCCTTCGAAAATATGTAGTCGGCGACCTGAATTGGGTAGTTGGCGGGCGATCACTGTGAGTGATTGAGCTATTTACGACCTAAACACAGGATGTTCAACGTATGACTTCTCAATTCAATCGCTTCACCCGCGGTGGGACGGCTCTCGTTATAGACCGGAACCGCACGAATGGTACAATGCCTTGCCCCTCCCCTCATTCCGTGGCATCCGACGATAATTGCCAGGGCGTCGGCCATCTGCGCGCACCAACACCGCTCGAACGTTTTGGTAATTTATTTTTCAATTTATTGACTCTTCTGTATGTGTCGAGGTCTTGGGATGGTGTTGGGCTGGAAGGAAGGATATCGTGCTGGGCTTCCGTGCGAGGCTGTCTTTGGTGGTCGAACATTGAGGGTATACAGTGTTTTTTTTCAAGCGAAGATCCTATACTTTGCCTCTTCTTATGATCAACTACCTCGAACGTTCACATGCACTTTTCAGGTGTCATCGTGGTGCGTTGTTCTTCAATCTTCTGCCCTAACTTTGTCCTGGTACAGATATCTGCCGTTGCGGTGGGACGTATGGCCATTCGTCTTACATAACATCATCGAAGCACTCTTCCAGCGAAATCTCCGTTCGTATGCCGACGAAAATGCCCCAAATGCTTTAACGTTCCCTGGCCTCTAGAACGCAAGATGACACTTTACTCGAGAGAGTGGACTCGACGTTGTAGGCGTGGAGGTTTCGTGGAGTCGCTCGTGCGAGAGGTAACCCCGCGTCCGAAGTTGTGCCAGGACTTGACCAGTACGTTCCCGCGCCGGATATTCGGACTGTACAATTACGCTCAATACACTTTGTTCTTTCTAAGGAATTTTGAACTTGTATGTGAAAGTGTAGAAGCAGCAATTTCTAGCCCCGCGAACATGAAAGATTGACTTACCAAGATGATATACCAGGGCTGCATGCCGTATAGTATCGAGAGGTGCCTCAAAGTCAAAGGCTGTGGTGCGTCATACACTCATCGGACCGTGACAGCGTTCGGGCCGTGGCTGAGAGTCAATGGGGAAGTGCGAGGAGAGCATCTGTGATGCTCCCAGATAGGCAGGTCCACACGCCGCAGGATTGGTCGTACGGTACGTTCCTAAGGATTTCTCTCTCAACGAGAGCCTCTCTATATTTGCATTCCACGATGCTTCGTTCTCCGCTGATTCTAAACGTAGTATCATGGGTGGACGCCCCAATTTCCCGGTTCTGAACTATCTGCGCCCGCCAGGACCCTATAAAAGCCCCACAGGTCTCAATTTTCTTCGCTTCGCCCTTCTCCAAGTTTTCCGCCGGCTCATATCCCTACCATGTCCCACAGATCACCTGATTTGCGCAGACCAGTCCCCACTGGCTCGACGACACACCCTAACCTCCATATTCGTGACGCTAAGGACGCGCATGTCGTTCTGGAAGGTGCGTCCCAACATGATCAGCATACTAGGGTTTGTTCTTACCAGCTTGGTGTAGCTGTCAGGCTCAATGTCCTACCATTAATTACTCGACGCTTGTCTCCTGCTGAACGCGACCAACTCGGTTCCGGAAACGTTTTTGTGTGGGAAGAGGCTGAGTTCAAGGGTGGCCTCGAGAGGTGGACAGATGGAAGGAGATGGTAAGCAGCTTTTTCTACTCGCTATATTGTTCCAGGTCTTCATTTTGAAGCTGTCGACCCTGCTGCATTCTAGGTCCCAGAGCCGTATGAGAGGTGATTACCTCTTCTATGAGGAGAAGGTGGAGACAACTCAGGAGGAGCGGGACATAAAGGCTGCTCGACGGTAAGTTTCGATTTGTTCCTTTGTTGAATGAAGTCCTGATGCCGATCACTTTCACACTTCAGTGCCCGTCGAGCGCTCGATCCAGGATCTGTTCCCCCTCTTCCAACTCGCCGCCAGGACCGACCTTCAAAACCGGACGGGCTCACGAAGCAGACGTACTCGACGCAGGTATACTTTCCCGGCCAAACTGCTCCCAAGAAGTGGCATATTGTCGCCTACTTCGCGGTAAGGGTGGGTTTCCCTCGTTTGGTACTCTCGCTCACGCGATATTCTTTGGTACGCACAGGGAAACGACTATACGCGGCTCCCAGTCATCGATAACTATGATTATCTTCGAACTATCCGTGTTCCAGATGGTATTTTCGTCTCGAGTAAAGGGCCTTACCGGCAGAACGACGCCTCCCAATGCGACACCGATGACGAGGATTCGATTTATAGCATTACAACGTCTAACATCCAATACTCTGCCCCCTCTCGCCCCTTCTCACCACCTCCACCATCATCATCGTATCAGTACTCTGGCTCATCTCATTCGAGTGTCCACCAGCACCCTTCCAGGACGCCCTTGCCAAGGCTTTCGACAGTTGTGCCCATGAATGGATCATCCGCTACCGCCTCTCCGCAGTATCATGACCCAAACCGTGGCCATCAACCACCCGGCGGCGCGCAGAACGGCCACACGTATATGCCTCTGTCAGCGGAGGATAGGCGTGTTCTCAACGCGTTCCGCGTTGTGCTCTGACATACAGGTTAATTTCATTCTCCACCCTTTTAAGCGCTTGCGGCTCCCACGTAGTGCTCACATAAAAGGCTTAACAGTGAATTGGGTAATGCCTTGCGAGTTTAGCTGCTCAAAACCGGCATGATGGAGTTGGCAGTGACTGTTGGCCTTCCTACGCCTTAGTACATCTGTCTTTGGCGTTATGGCCTTTCTCTCTTGCTCGTCTGACTGTACCCGGGCCCAGGTGGTATGACCTATCTTAACTGCCATACTGCTCAATGGATAGCGGACAAAAGCTCTCGCACTTTTGCCGTTAGGCGGCTGTGAGCCTTCAGAATCCATCTTCGTCTATCTTACGACCATGTGTCGAATCCGGCACTTCGAGATTGTTTGCTTCAACAATGTGTGAAATCGCGACGCCGGGAAAACTTCTTCCTGGTGTGTTTGGCTCTAGAGGCTCATAGGACTGCGAAAGTCGCCTTCCTCGGAAGACTCCGTACATCCATGTGTTTTATTTCGTTGCGTTGTGGAGCTGCGTCGCCATCTGGAACCCTGTGGAGGTACAAACGGTTGTACTCTATGTCTACGTCAAGCTCGCGAACCCGCTGATGGCGGAGTGTCGTCGCTCGCTCTTCGGACGCTATTGAAATGTTCCCACTCCCTAACCCCTGCGGGCCTATGTGGGTCGTGACGGAGCTATGGTTCCAAGACGGCGACAATATCCAGTATGGGGGTAGACTCAAATTCGCCCGCTCTTCTGTACCGGATTTGTACTTCTGCGATCGTGTTGGCTGACCTCTTGGCGGAAGTATTTTGAATTGAATTCGGTGTCAGTTTTCTCGGAATACACTCTACCGAACATTTGAGCTGGCATTCATTGAAGGAGAACGTCAACCTACAGCTAGTAGGAACACCGTCCGAGATTCCCCCGCTGCAAGCCTTTGTTAGATCATCAGGAAGGTGCAAGTGCCTCTTCCTCTATGCGAGAGACGAGATGAACTCAATCCCATGTTCGTATCTCGCCCCATGGTCTTCTTTTTGTCTATTGATGTACCCTTTTGAGAAATGGTGTCATACCCACGATGAAGAACTTGTAAAGATATTACCCGCTCCTCCAGACGTCTTGCACGAGGACCGCTTGCTATCTCTTCTCTCTTTCTTTATTTCCCATGCGCTTCCTCAGGCCAAGAGGCGAAGTTGTATTCTGTTCGTTGAAATGCTGAGAAGGAGTTCGGAGGAGTCTCGGCTTTTGTAGACCACGGATATTGTGCACAGCGTAGAGCTCGTAACGGTCTGAGAAGTCGATGGAAGTGGTATGTGCCTGCTATAGCATTATTTGATGTCCGTCCAGCAATTATTGGTTGACAGCGACCTAAATTTATAACGCCTCAGCTAGTAGGCTGTTCAACAGGCTCAAACTCAAAAACCATCACTATATATCATGGAAGTGCGCATACCTGCCAAAATATACCCCCTTTGCTTGGCCTACTGAGGCCGCTACAATTGGAATTCTAGAGCCTTTGCATGACGGACCGCCGCGCATGTCCTCGGTAGATATATTCCACCCCTCGCTGAAAGTCGGGTGCGGAAGGAGTCACTGGTTCGCGTCTAAGTTGAGACGCACTTGACTGCTCCCATATACATGTCCAACGCTCACACCAACCTAGGGCGAATCATGATGAACACGCAGCAAACAATGCGGAATTCCACGGGGTATAAGCCGCGATTAGGTTAATGATCAGTGTAGGGTTCATAGTCTATTTCACAGCGATCTCACCTCATGAAACGTGCGGAAACTTATAACATTGCGCCCCGCCAGTACTCCCCATCCTTAGTGTAAGTGTGCTACTACTAAAGGACGCCCGTGTGATGGAGCGTGTATTTTTTTGCATGAGGAAAAGATCGGTGCGACTGGCCAGGTATTTCAAGACCCAGACCTTCTGATCATCGCGCCGGTTTCAGGATTTTGGCACGATTGACCGTGTAGAATACGATGCCAAAAGAAGAGACGTAAAGATCACGAGTTTGAGGCATGCTCTCGTCCAGGTCATGTCTACAACGGAACGGGGAGTTCAACAGACCGCGAGAGATTTGGCCATGCATGTATGAGCACGAATGCTGTAGCTCTCCTTGACGGACGTGCGAGCTCCTTGGAAGTCGACCAAATAGTCGGAGGAACATCCAATATCACTGTGCCACGCTAGCTTATGTTTGTGCTCCGTTTTCGTCCTCGCACTACGGTAACTTGTACGTGAGGAAAATACACGCGCATACTAGTCCGGTGAGACCGAGTGTAATATGAAGATTGGAGGCAGAACATCACAATAGTAAGTCCTACTCCTGAGATCATATAGTACGATTGAAAGTGATTTGTTAACTTTGTGAAAGGACGGCCTACCTAACTATTCAGTTGTCTTCAACGGAAGTGGATTTTGATCTTTGGGATACCAGGAGAGGGCAGCAGGCTAAACAACATCGCGCTCATACCGCGCATCCGACGATCCAGGTGATGCTTATACCAATGTCACCATGGAGGAGTGCCTTTAGGTGCAAAGATAGGCCAGGAAAACCTACAGGCGTCTATCTTCCTTCCTATATCCGCAACTCTGTGAACTTTGATCTCTCAGGGCTCGTCTCATAGGTGAGGCAAGCTCGGACTTTCCCAATGCCTCAACCAGTATGCGCCCCACGGAGACCCGAATGGCGCAGTGTATCTGTCGCCATACTGGATACTATCGGGATGCGCAGCAAGCTTGCTCGTGAGCGGAAATTAATTTCATGTAAAAGCAGATATATCAGGACTGGCCCTTACTATAGCTTCCACACTCCCGTCTGGTTGGCTCCAGAATGCCGTGTCCCTACGTGGAAAAAATATAACGAAGCCGAATTGATGCATGCTTAAGTTACACAATCGACGCAGGTGGAAGCATAGGTTCCGAAAGCTGGCCAATTGAATGCGCCTCAGGTACAGATATCTGCTCCTATTTATCTCTGTAGATTTGGGATCGCACCTGTGTGCTTACCGTGCAACAAGGCGATTGATGATCTCACCCATGAGAATACCAGACTGGAGGTTCTCGGAGTGGCGTCGCGGAGTAAGCGCCCTGACCTGGGAACACGAGACCGCATCCTTGCGCAGAGACCGGTGATCTATGGCCTATGGGGGAGAACATACACCCTCGTCATCACGATAGCAGACATTCAGCAGAAATTTTGTCAATATATCATGAAGGCGCTGATTTGGCCGAGTGTGGTCCTGCACATCCTGAGCGGGAGAGCCTGCCAGAGTATGGGCGTTTTTGTGTATCTGAACCCACAGCCAAGCTTTAGCGCAGGTCTGAATATAATCTTCCAAGAGGGCATTCCGGTCTGTACTCGCAGGTAAGCTGCGATCATGCACATGGCAGACGAAGAATGATATGCTCCGTACCGGGAGATAGCCATAGGTCGGGTCTTTGAGAACGGCAAAGCTGTGAATCGAGAGGCGACGGCTAACGTACCGTCGACATGCATTGATGTTTCGTATGCCGCTCAATGAAAAATGCCCACTGTTTGGTATTTTGGAGTTTTCACTCGATGAAGGCGACAGTGCCACAAGAAGCCGATGCCAAGAAGCGAGCTGTAGAGGCTGATAAAAGTATAGGAAGCGGGTCTGGTGTTCAAGAAAGCTTGTAGCAATGAATACTCCTGAATGATACTGAGACATGGCACCAGCCAGACTCTAAGCTAATCTCGCTCGTCTCAGGCTCACAGAGCTACACACGCCCTCTGACACGTGAGCAGGTCCGAGGAAACGGCCAATTCAGAACTGTGCGGCCACCTTTTTCGAGGTGTGAGTCTTTGAACATCTTCTACATACAAGGAAGAGCATCCAAACCATATCACTCGCGTCCCATAGAACCCATGAAAGGCCCAAGAAGTGGGGAAAGCCGACATGCCCGTGTGAAAAGAGGTCAGCATGGCACGGCCTTCCACGCACTGCTGGAGTCATAAAGCCTGATAAAAAGACTTTTCCCGAAGGTTACAGGCGAGCTCTAGAGTTCGAGAGCTTCTATCCTGACTTGTAGATGCTAGCATCTTATTACATTTGAGGAATACGGATGTCGCCGTCGCCGAAGGCGACTGCGGGGAGTGAAGAATGAAGCCCAGCAGCTTCGAACTCGTTATTAGAAAAAATGGCGTATTTCATCCAAGAAATTACTTACAGATAGCTGAGAATGAGAGAAAGACGTGTAAAAGCTCACCGGATGAGCGCCAGGTTATCAGACGAAGACAAGACGAGGAACGAAGTTCAACTTTGGGCCAACACTGGTGACTGTGCTTTTCACCGACATTACACAAGATCCCCGTGTCCTTGGTTCTTGAACGTCGGAAGCTTAGAGCTGTCTAATATGAATAGAACGATAATCAGAATAGCGAGTCAATGGAGGGAAGGCAGGAAGTTGAGACGAAGCATGTTCGAGTTCAGTTCGAGAGCTCGGCGTCCAGTCAACGCCACGTGGCTCGAACCGAGAACATGGCACCAAGTTTGACGCCACAACTTGATTCACCGCCACAAAGCTCGACCCTGAATTCGAACTTGATGCCTATGATAGCGTTGTTCGCTCTATGAGGCCGTATTCGGAGGGTCGAGGTGTAGTTGGAAAGACACCGACTGAAAATTATTTGGACGAGGGGACATCGAGATATAGTATCTTCAAGGGGAGATGACGAGGCTAACACCGACGCAAAGACCGAACAATTATATCACCAAACCAATACGGTTCAAGGGATAACCGACTACTCCTGCCTAGTAGTGCAATGACCGAGTATACTACTTGTTTATCATAGAGACCAAGATCGTGTCCGTGTCCGTGTCCGAAAGCAAGTCCGTACCTGATGATATGGAACGTCCAATGAAGTAACACGCACAACCATAACAAACATGACGAAGCCAAACGACACACCAAAAAAAAAAAATCGGTACCGTATCGTACATCACACCTAACCATCTACTCTTTCATCCAACCATAGGCTTCTCTTCGTACTGCTCAACTCGGCCTTGAAGCGATGAATATGCCTACTCACCATGAACCATCTTCTTCCCCTCCTCCGCCTTCGCCTTATCGCCCCCAAACTTTCCACTCAAGGCCTTGATCTCCCCCTTGACCCGATCCATAAACCTCGGCTTCTTAAGCGGCGTCGTCGGCGCCCCTCCATCCTTCAATCCCTCCGGCGCCTCCTCCTTCGTATCCTTCTCTCCCACCCCAGCCAGCGCAGCCGCCCCGGGAGGCCCCATCGACGCCGCCTTCGTCTTCGCCTCCCTCTCCTTCGCGTCCCGTTCCTGTTCACGTTCAAGTACGCGTTTCCGCTTGTCAGCTTCCGCTTTATCCCGCTCCGCCTTGGCCGTGCCCTCTTGTGCCCTGTCCGGTGCCTTCGTCTTGTACTGCTGGTCCGGGTGTTCCTGCTGCTCACCGCCCTTACCTTCGCCGTAATCATCACTCTTATCGATACCCTGCCCTGATGGTGGCACTTGACTTCCATCAGCCCTCGTCCACGTCCCGCCCTTGCCAATCTCGCCCCCCAGATCCACATCATCCGCCTCATTCGCCATCTTCTCCTCCCTCGCTGCCGCCCTCTCCTTCTCCATATCATCAACGTCGTCGTCGTCCCCATCTGCCATCTGTCGGTCCGCATCCCTCCCCACGGCGTGATGCGAGCCATAGTCCCCCGCACTCGTTCGATCGTCGATTCCTTTCCATGTCTTCCACTCCCGTGCCTTCAGATTGATCCTCGGCACGTCAAGCTCGCGCTGGCCCTGCTCTCGCTCATGGAGTGCAGCATTCGTGGACGCTTTCTCCTCCCCTTTCGTCTCACCGTTCGGACCGTCAGCATGGGATGATTTCGAGGTCTTGCAGTCCGAGTCGCTCGGTGCGGAGTCATGATGTGGAGTATCCGCCGCCGGTGCATTATGTGCCCAAGGCGGACTAGCCGTCATATTCCCCTCGGTCGTCGTCCCCGTCGTCGTCCCCATGGCTAACTGTTCCCCAGTCGGCGTAGTAGGATGTGACCGAGCTCCATCTCCCTTGTCCTCGTCAGACGAGGAGCTAGAAGACGAAGACGACGAAGATGAAGACGATGTGCGGAGGAAATGGGAAGGGGGCGGAGCGTGATCTTTGGCGGGTTTGGAGGGAGAAGAGGTTGTGGCCGCGGCAGCGGCAGTGGAAGCGAGCGCAGTGGTTTTATCGTCGGAGTGGGGATTAGCGTCCTTGGGAGGCGAGATATCGGTGATGGAGCCTCTGTGGGACGATGAAGGAGTGTGGGTATCCTTCGATGTCGAAGAGGATGGGTGGATGGGCGTGGTGTCGGAAGCCTCATGAGAGATGTGTGCAGGTTCCGCAGAGTCAGGTGAAGAGTCGGGATGTAATGCCGAGAGGTCGATAGCGGGTGCGGGAACGTATCCTCCGTTTCTCCCTTTCGCACCATTCTCCGTCTGTAGACGAAAGGGTCCGCAGCGAGGAGGCACGAAAGAGAATGGAAGTCGAATACGTCGAATTGGTATAGGCCGCAATGGCGGTATAGAAAATCCGGTACGGTCATCGTGAACGTGCGCACGGGCACGGGCGATGGCAGGTCCAGCGGAAGCAGCAACATTCCGTCGAACAGTCCGGTCCAAGGCGAAGGCATCGGGACAGGCATCGGAGGGCACGGACATCGACGAATAGACCGAAAAACAGGGAGGAAAATCAAGGATCAAACGCAGAGAGGAAACACAGGACACATGCAGGAAACATGGTCAACATGAGGAAAAAGAAAGGAAAGGATCGATACACGAAGTGATCGCCGAAGGGGGCCTCCGCTCAGTGAACGGAGGTTTTGAAATAGCGAAAAAGGTAGGGGACGAAAACTCGACATGAATGCATGAAATAAGAAGAACTCACCATCTGAACCTCATTGCTCTTGACGGCAGGCTCGACATCCGCATCCAATTCCCTATCCCTATCCGCATTCTCCGTCGTGTCCGTTTCGGTCCTCATAGTCGGCGGAGGCGTCGTCTCAGTCCCCGGCTTACCGACGGTCTGAATCCCCGTCTTCGGGCCTGACGGGGTCGTAGACGCGAATATAATCGGCGTCGCATTCACTTCAGAGGCCGGAGTCATGACCGACGGTATATTCGTCGCAGGAGGCGAAACCGACGGCACAATGGGCTCTGGAGCCGCAACCGATGGTACACCCGTCGTCGGTGAGGTCGTAGTCGGTGTACCAAACTCCTCCTTACTTAAAGGTGACCCCGGGGCACTCGAAAGCACAGGGGGAGTGCTCGATTGCGGGTGGCCTGGCATCAAGGAGGCCGGAAGGGCGGGTGCAGGAGGAGGTGTGGCGGTGGCGCCGGCTGTAAAAGACAACATGAAAGGTTCAATGAATTCGCATGCAAAGATAGACGACGAGGATAAACGGGGGGAAAGTGACAAACCTCCGACAGATCCCAAACCCAACCCGAGTCCTTCGCCTTGGTCGACAGCCTTGGGCGGTAACGGGCTTATAGTGTCGTTTTCTAAACGAACCATATATAAGGAGTAGGTCAGTCTCTCATTCGTCTAGATATCCGCAATCATTACGCCACCGAAAAAAAATCCACCAGAACCATCACCTCCACAAGCGAAACAAAAGAAAGGAATAAACTAAAAGAGGATCACTCACCCTCATCCTCCGCCTCATCCACCTCAGTCTCAACAGCCTTCCCCTTCCCTTTATCCAAGTTCTCGTCTTCCCCAGCCTTACCCAACCCCATCCCGGCCGTAGCAGCCGCCACCCCCGCCGCCACCTCCTCAGCCAACCTCTTCTCCTCTTCTCCCCCTCCCACCAAACTCTCTCCTCCCGCCGTGGTCGAGTCTGCTCCTGCATCTGTATTCGGGTCGAAGTTGAAATCAAAAGGCACGAATACGTCCATGTTCGAAGCCGACATCGACACCGCACGGGTCCGGCCAAAGGGAGAGGAAGACAGAGGTAACGGTAACGATAACGGCACAGGCAAAGCAGCCACCAATTCCCGCGCAGACAACGCCCCAGCCGTCGATTGTCGTCGTCGTCGTCGTTCGAGATCATCGCGTGGACGTTGCGATTGATATTGAACCGGTTGAGGTAGAAGCGCCGCAAGTTGAAACGGTTGCATCGATTGACGACGGATAGGATGTGAGACGGGCAGTGGTTCGTGACCGTCGATGGAATATGGGTTTGGGAAGCCAGAGACGGAGTCGGCGTCGATTGACGTGGATTCGGAGCCGTCGGTGCGGTGGGATGGATTGGTGAGGGTCATGTCCAGCGGAGGAGCGTCGAAAGTGATGTTGGGTAGGTTGTGTGAAGCAGCAAGAGTGTTGTTTGCGTGGTCGAGTTCGGACGGCGGTGAATTGAGATACGTAGAAATATGTGCGAAGTTATTGGCGTCGAAAGAGAATGAATCGTCCGCATTCGTATCCACGGGAGTAACATTATCACCATCCGATTCGATATGCATATCAATCGAATAAGGGTTGGGTAAATCCAGCGAAGTCGTAGAACATGTCGAAACAGATGCCGAGCGAGAACGACGACGGGACGGAGAATCAGCCCGCGAATGGGAGTGAGAACGGGATTCAGAAGTGGATGCGCGGCGGCGAATAACCGAAGTAGGTTGAATGGGTGGCGATGAAGATGACGATGTCGTGGGCGACGAGGGTGACGGAAGCGCAGATGTAGACGCAGAGTGAATGGGCGAGGGCGAAGCATGAGGTGGCGAGTGCATAGACGATGATGTCATTAGCGTTGTGAGATTCGCAGACGAACGATGGAATATTGAGAGACGGCGGAGTGCGTTTTTGAAAGGCATAGCGAGAGACCGGCGTTGGGCAGAGAGTAAATGCAGGCGAGGTGAGTGGGTGAATGGCGAAACGGGTTGGCCGACCGAAAGCGCGCGATGTTATATGGTAAGGCGGGACGTGGCGGTTAATGATGAAGAGATGGTGCGCAGCCGCAGAGATGGATCGTCGAGCAGAAATAGACGCGAGGCGATGCGTGTTTGGAAGCGAAAGGGCAAAAGCAAAACAAATCACGACCGTCAGCGCCAGTTCAGTCAACCAAAAATCGTAAGCGGGACAGTCCGCAGCCAAGTGCCCGGATGAAAAGAAGAACAGACGAAATATACAAAGAAATAAACCACGCACCTTCCGCTGTCGCGTTCGTCGTTCCACTACCAAGATCTGCTTCATGCGGAACACCGAGACCTGTTGCACCAACGGTAACAGTTGGTGCATTCCCCGTCGTGCTCGAGCCGTTGTCGTCCGGAAGACGGGCGAGTCCCGTTTCAGATTTCGTAGCGTCGGGAATGGAATGAGACAGAAGGTTGTTGCCCTCATCTGTAGGCAACGACTTTTCGTGTGCAATATCGTTATCCGAGGCAGAGATGGCGTCCGTGGTCGCTGTGGTGCCCGCTGCAAAACAAAGTGGCGAGCATCAATATCCAAAAATAGACGGAGGAGCGGGACTGGACGTACGGAGGTATGCAGCGACAGTATCCTTCAGTCCCTGAGGAATATAGCCAGCGGCCGCCTCCCCAACGCTCGCGAGTGTGCTCGTCACGTCATGCGTCGCAGGAACGTAGCTCCCGACCGTCTCCCCCGTGCTGTTGACGGTTTGTGCCACATCTTCCTGCGCCGGAAGCTGCTCCTTCACCGCTTCCACCGCTGTCGTTGCTAGTGTTGCCGCATCCGCAGTGACACCCAAAACAGTAGCCCTCACCGTGTCTGCGTCTGGGAGAGAATCGGCAGCATTTGTGGTGCTTTCCGCGACTGCATCGCGAGGAAATGCACCGGGAAGTTCAAGTCCAGGTGTGCTGAGCGCGTGAACGAGCTGGGGTTTGTGCTGCTCTGTCGCTGTCGCTCGGGGGTTTTTAGTGAGTTCCGATGCGTCTGTCGTCGTCGACGAGCCGTTCCCGAGGATTTTATTGGTTTCGTCCGCCCATTCGGAGGCTGGCGTCGCCACACCCTCTGGTTTCAATGCTGGTGGTTGATCCATCGTTGCGCGTCGTGCGGTGAAAGGAAAAATGTAATGCAGATGGTCGCGTGCGTGAGTATGTCGTCGACGACGGCGAGCAGACAAGTAGAGGGAGTAGTACGAAGTGCCCGCCAAGTTCGGCCCCTTATTTGTATCCAGTGGCTTTCCCTGACGTCATCTCATTACCGCTTCGGCCATAATATAGGGTTAGGTGCTAGGTTTAACTTCTACGTCGGCGTCTACCGCACGGCGAACGTACACTCATGTCACCATGAGGATTTGTTTTTAAAACTCGGAGCTTTTCAGGTCACTCGTCGATAGAGCACAACGAGCGAAAAACGGTCTGTCTCTAACGATGATTCCAGGTGCGTTACCCTTAAGTAGCTGGCATGTTTGGCGGCAATTCAAGTTGCACATGGAGTCGTAGGTTGGTCGTATGTAGGTTATTTCTGCCCCAAGTACGGCAGTCATAGCCCTGCTGCGACGAGAGATGCTTGGGTCTGTTTAGTGCTCACGGTGGTGTAACCCCTGCCCCTTTTGGTCCGAGTGGTCCATCTGTCATACTACGGACACCGACTTCTGTGAGCTCTACAATACTTGACATACTTCATCACTGATGGATGTGTGACCCTCGCCATCGAAGGGGCCACGTCTAACACTTCGGACCCAAACAGGGGAGGGGAGGGGGCGAATATCTTGAATGTGAATGTTATATTGTGACGAAAGGTGGTGCACTCTAGCAATGGAGTGCAGCTCAATTATCGAGTATGGAAGGAGGAGCCCGGAATCGCTGTGGATTAATATTGACGAGAGCAGTGTCAATTCGAATTCGTGAACCCGGCTAGTCTTTGCTAATCAAAGGTCGTGAATCAGATAGCAGTCAGTTAGTCACATCTCTAGCCTCAGTACATCTTGTTTTGCCTGGCTCAGTTTGCTGGACTACTAGGTTCTCTCTGCACGTATTATCTACACATCTCATCAACATTGCTGCTGTATCCCACGGGGTCGCAATCCGGAAAGACCTGGCGACAGAATTGGTTTCACCTTAATTCAAACTGACACTGAACTTGAGACAGCCTTGAAACTGGCAGGCTAGCCTGATTTCATTTGTCGAATCAATTCACGCTTCTTCTCTAATTTCTTTTGCATAACCCTTTCTTACCCGCTTCAGATTCACTCTTCACCTGCCTTAGGAACTTCGTATTGAATTACTTTGTGATCATAACAGCCATGGTACGTCCATTCCTTGAGACCAATATATTCACAACACTAATAGCCGAATCGCTGTAGACATCACCCTCAACCTCTCGCTCTTCGAGCAGCGGTGATTCCATACCCGGTGATGCTGCTGGTTCAGCCGTCCCTCACCGAAGCACAATTCGCTCCCTCCGGATGGCCACCACTGGTCTCCACCCAAACGCCTATCATCTCTCTCAGTCACAGTCTACGTCTAGTACCAGCATTTCAGCCAGCGTCATTACCAACGACAGGTCACTAGCATCTTCGGCTTCGAGTCTAAGTCTCGAGAGGGGTTCCAGCTCAGGGTCGTCCGACAGCGAAAAATCTGGGCCGAAGCGGAGAAGGAGCGTGAGGGTCAGGGTGAAAGAGTTGGCTATAAAGAGTATCCCGAATTTTTTGAAGGTAAGGATTTTTCTCGCGAACTGTGTCCTCGTTCAAACGCGTTCCTCGTATGCATAGCGCGCTTACACTTCCCCGTCTATATAGTCCTCGAATTCGTCTAAGGGTGTTTCATCGGACGGGTACTCCGAAAGCGGTGGCTCTGAGGTGAAAAGAATTCTCTCATCTGGCATCTGTCACAACATTCTGATTTTTATTTCAACACTGTTTTGTCTGATGCAGGCCCCAACGGTACGCACCCCGCATTTCTCTTCTCACCAACCCTCATAATCAACTCACATGCGTTATACGTAGGCGGTATCCTCTACAGATACTCTAATTGACGGTCATCTCGCTCCAAAAATCGAGCGACCGGGAAACTCCCGCTCCTCAAGTTTCTACTCTGCCATCCTCGACACGGTCCGACCCGCCAACTACTCATTCCCATCATTCTCTGCCTTTCCGTCGAAATCTCTCTCTTCTTCGTCCGGGTACGATAGTGGTTCTCCACGCACCGGGTTGCACGATACGTCTGGTGCCCCCAGATCTGTGATACCAGCTTCCTGCTCTTCGCGCCAACGCACTCTGCTTCTCGTCATGGTTGTCATTTTCGTCCTCGTCTCTACCCGTCTTCTCTTCGTCTCTACAAGTGCTCTACCCCCCATGGACGAAATATTGGAGGACTTAGCTTACACGATTGATCATCCGTACTTCCACGGCTTCACGGCTACGCTGGTCCTGTTGGTGGTGCTGTGGACAAGAATGTGGGAAAAGTCTCCGGCCTTGTGTAGTTTCGTGGTGTCGTTTGCAGTCGGTCATGGGATGCTTCTCTGGTGGGCTATGATAATTACACAGCAGAGCGAAGAGAGGATGTTGATGGAGTACTGGGCGAGGAAGTATTCGAGCGTGTTGGCGGAGATGGATTGAAGAGCCAAAGAGAAGGGAGCGGTGACGAAGGCGTTCTTGGGTGGTAAAAAACGGTGTATATAGAAGGCCACACATCAACTCGTGTAGCCTATTTATTGATGATGTTCATGCGTTCATTGCACCTTGATTCGAAGTTCACAGCCAGTCACCTCCCAGAGCCATATTGGCATAGAGATCTGAGCACAAACCGGTAAAAACCAAGATTATAAGGGATTCAGAAAATATACAATAGGGATGAAAAGCACGACCGTCGAGTCATGGTCGTAACACAGAGCACAAGAAAAGCAACTAAATCGACAAGAAAATAATTCGTCTTGCAGACTTCCAACAGATCACGCCCGCAACACCTCCATCCCGCCCCATTCCAGCACTCTGAACAACACCGCGTCGGACGCTTTCTCAATATCGACACCGACAACATCACGCCACATCGCTACATCCTTGGTTACACGCGCTTGCGCTTCGGGCCACATCTCCAAGTTCTCTTCAAGAACCCCCTTGAAGAGCATGAACACTCGAGTGATGACATCTGGGACGGGGGATACATCTAGCGGTGCGGCGCGTTCGTACGCCGCTTGAGGGACGAAACGAAGGGCGATATGGGTGTGCTTGAGGAAGGAGGGTAGCCAGTATCTAGAACATCAATTCACCGAAAAAATCAGCGAAGACCCTTGAAAGGCCTGTAAAGACCTTCGACGTACGTGATGAAGGAAGTTCTGGCCTCTGTATGCAGGCCAAGAGACATCAGGGCTTTGTCCAAGTACGGGGTGAGACTCGCAACAGGGAGCACGACGGAGTTGTGGTCATAGAGGTTGGAACCAATTGGGCAGAAGCGCTCGGTCGAAGCGTTCTGACCCGGCAAAGGAGATGAAGGAGGGGATGGCGGGGCCCCTGCGTTGGTACTGCATATGTCGTCAGTGACTAGGACCTCTTGCCACAGGAATCGAGGGATATCGACTTACTGGGCTTCCCAGAACAGGTAAGCGACATCGAGCCCTGTAGTCTTCTCCAGCAGACTCCCGTCAGCGTGAGTGCGTACTTTCCAACTGAGCCTCTCGTCGCCTAAAACGCTAATTTTCGTGGGGACGACAGGGTAGATAGCAGAGAACTTCCATGACGGCACGAGACTGAGATTCACAGTCGCGTCCATCTCCATAGGCGAAAAAAGGTAGATGACTGGCTTCCCTCCGGATTGTACGGGGAAAATATCAATGGTGAGCGGATAGTCTTCATCCTTCTCCCAAAGAACATCGCCAACTACGCCCTGATGGTGGAGGTACTCTCCATCGACAAAGTATCGAAGCTCAGAGGCTTCCTTATTGAGGGCCTCCGCAGCCCTGTTCAAAAGCGTCGCTACCCTAGTTTTCCGACCCACTTTGCACTGGATGATCCCCCACGAGGTGGATACGCTGATTGTTTTGAATCCCTTTGTGTCAGACTTCTCCACAAGGTCTACGACAGTGAAATCAGGTACATATCGTCATTACGAATGCAGTGGTCTCTCACCTAATGAAGCTGGGAGAGTCACTTCGGGGGATGGAGACTTTTTCGTGCACGATGAAGGGGATTGAAGCACCTGATCATCAGAATCTGATGACACGGCAGCGGAAATTCGTCAGTGTTCTATAGCTAGCGATAAGGATATCATAATAAGAATACGAACGCACCGCAGGAGAAGTCTATCGCCACCGATAGAACATTATATGAGCCGGGCGATGGGCTGTGGATTAGAATCTCTACAAATCACAAGGACAAACGGGTAGAACACACGCACCGTCATGTGATTCAGACCGTACAACATATACAGAGTTCAACGAGACGACGGCCTCTTCCCAAAATTCCGCGGAAATTTCCACTAGCTCCCCAGGAAGGATATCGAGTTCATCGCTTTGCAGGACGATGTCGTCTTTCGGTATCGAAGGGAAGTGCTTAGCAGCCGCCTTGAGAGCATCCTAGACGCATGTTATCGCTGGTATCAATTATAGAATCCCAGCTCGAGTACAGCGCGACCTATCGAACTTACATCGTATGTCTTCGGACGCGGGACAACCACGCGCTTCTTGCCGCCAGGGGCCGCTTTCAAGAGAAAGGCACTGCTTGCAGCAGCTGTTGATGTGGAGTTACGCGTCTTTGCCATAGCGGAATGATAGTAGTGGATCCGAAAAATCAAAAGTTTTGTCTCGAAGATCGTGGTAGAAACCAAAGTTGGCCAAAAGCCTAAGGCACCGCGAAGACGGAGGACGACCTGATGTGACCGATCGCGCTGAGCCTGTGACAGACGCGAGAGTGACAAGGCGCATGGCATATGCCTAGGGAGGTCCGATCCAAAACCGCCGAATTTTGCCCTTTTTGTCCGGACCGATTTGGGAGGAAAATGTACGCACTCGGATCGGGTGTCCTGTTTTGGAGGACGTTTGGTACGCATTCTGCATCGGACATTGCCCAGCATAGAGCTCGAAAATATGCGCATTATTCGCCATTATGTACGCACCTCGTCGGCGAGTGTCTGAAGAGGCTCTCTCGCGAGTCATCTTATCTCTCTTGTGCAACCTTTGTGCTCAATCACCTTTCGGTGACCATAGCGCTTCTCTTCTTCAAGCCGCCACCTACAACTTTCCGAGCTTTCTGTTTTCCACATATGTCTCAGTTCGTCTCACCTTCCTGAAAGCCCCGCGCAACCTTGCCTTTCACGTTTTGCATTTCATACCAACACCGTCCTGTCCTCATCTCAGTCATTCAGCTTTAGCCTTATGCAATCGCACATATTTCGTCGCATTATACACCATCGAGCACCCAATCTTCTTGTTTTCGTCCAGACTATCGACGCCAATCATCTGCAATATCTATCTATCTCTCATCTTGGTCATTGTGAATAAATTTACTCGTTGTACCACTTACAATATACAAAACTGGGTGTCCAGCCCGAGGTAGAGACTAAGTTCGCGTACATTTTGAGTGGGTTCTTTCCGTCGTTTTCCATCCCCCCTTCTAACTGTTGACGGGTGTGGTACAAGTGAAGACAAATGCGGAAGCAAGTTGTGTGTGAAATGACCGCTTTAGATAGGACTCCACGGTATTTATCGTAGAGCTCCGCTCCGGTTCGGTCTGCGGCGACGCCCAAGCATCTAGTCAGTAATGCAGTGAAGCCAATACAGGTGTACATGTCTTAAATACCTCCGCATTCCACGAAGTCGAAGATCGCAAGAGGAAATACATATTTTTCTTTTCGAGCAGCAGGAAAGTGAGAGGAAGCCCACAGGTTGGCTCCCGGCCACTGCCGATATCTCCGTTGTGGCGAGGACCAGGCTGAGGTGGCGAAACACGATGGTGAAAGGACATGAATATAACCATGCTTTAGCAGGCCTCGGGTCTCGAGGATTTGGAATTATATAGTATCTTCCCGAGAAGGAAAGTTCTCGCACACAAACACAAAATGGGTGCAGCGCTCGGAGCGTGGGGAGGATATATTCTAGGGCGAGAGTGGAGGCTTTGGTGATGTTTGAGAAATGGCATAACCACAGACAGACGAGTCTCGCAAAACTTGCATTTGGCTGGTCAGCCATAGCGAAGCCTGATAGCAGTCATAATGCCTGAACAGGGAGCGTGCATGACCGGACCAGCCCACATCGGGCCTGAGCAGGGCTGAGCAAGGCTGGTGCGGGCTGGTCATCTTGAAGTCGTCTGCTGAACAGAGCTGAGCAGGACTGGCAAGGACTGGTCATTTTGGAGCCATCGGCTGAGCAGGGCTGATCCTGGCTAATAATGTCTGTACATAGCTCTGATGCCATTGGCCAGTGCTGAAGAGGCCTGACCATGTCTGATCGCTGAAATAGTATACTGGACTACAGGGACCTTGCCAGGCCGCCTCGACCTCAAGAGAGGGAAGATGAGGGGTGAAAGATCTGGCGGAGCATTGTGGGCATGCATTTCGCGCCACGAAAGACCACGATATATTTAGAGCATTTCCAGTATTGTTCCAGTATAGACCACTCCGCGATGACGCAGTGGTCTGTTTCGCGACTCCAACGCAAGGACGTGAGCAGCATAACACAAGTCGGGTGTTCGAATCCCTCGCTGGCCTGATACTTGTGGTCTATAAGAGACTTCTAGCGAGTACAATTCGTAAGGAAAGTAAGGAATAAAGGTAAGAGCACTACATGAGTAAGAAAAGGATACTACAGAGGGGTACAAGGAGAGGTACAAAAAGATGAAACATCCTTTTTCTATTATTCCTATATATCGTCGTCAGGACTGCTCAGCCCGCAACACGCCGTATAACGCCTGTGCAGGTCCGTCAGGCTGATCAGGCCTGATTGGCCTGACCAGCCCGCTCATCCCCTTTCTAAAGCTCGGGAACCCTGATCAGGCTCTGTTTCCCTGGCGGGGATGTTCAGGCATGGTTTGGCAACATCATGCAAGACCAGCCAGATGCAAGTTTTGCGACAAGCGATGAATATTTTTCGACTGCGAATCGGATTGATTCTAGTCAACAATATGTATGAGCTGCTTTGAAGTCTGGTGTGTGTGCGCTCCTCTGTCCTGTCTTAGCATCCCGACCCCATCGTCCGCCGTCCGCATCGTATTGTACTCGGGGCCTAGAGTGCGCTGGGATACTGTTCGCCGACCGTGATCATATCGGTCGTCACCGTTAAAAAGATTGAGAATCATGGCGTGGACATAATCGACTTCAGCAGGGGTGGCTATATGTGGAGGGTGAATGGAACGGTGATAAACTGAACAAGGCAATAGATACATACGATATCTGCGCCGTCCCGTTGCCTTAAGAATTCCTCCCCAGACAGACGAAAGGACCTTTTTTGTAAAAAGGTAGAGGGGCTGAGATCCAAGATAGAGAAGGGGAATGCCACACAAGTAGGGGCTGTTCTCGGCTGGAGAGGAGATGAGAAGGAAGCAATCCAAAAGACAATACTAGTGAGCTTAGGATGCGGGCGAATGGACAATATATTAAAATCGATAGTGAGACGTACTGAATTGATCTATCTTTCTCAGTAGGTAATGTCCGTGTACCGCCATTATGCTGGCAAGCGTCGTTCGGTGCACGGCTAGAGGGGGATGAAAGCGTATGAGCCAGACTTTATGCACACCAAAGAGGTCAACGTACGCTCCGGTCCTTTGATTTCAGAATCCATCGAATGGGTAGAGTGTGGTGAAGGGCTACGCGGAGCGTACTTGGTCGCTCGCAAGTTGCTCGAGAATATAAACAGGGCTACCACGCCGGCGCTTCATACCGCATGTTCTTTCATTAAGATGCAGCACCCACTGCTGAGCCTTCCGATTATGGTCAGGAGGCCATCGAGGTCGTCTTCGCTCGTACGCAATTGCGCACGGCGTTTCTCAGCTGCTGAGTCTGAGAACTCGAACTTCGGAGACACGATTCTACGCCCTACATGATTTTTCCAGCACTGATTCAGTCCGAGTAAAGGCTAGCTTTGTCACGTCTTTCCTTTCTGGAAGCCTGGCGTAGATTGGGCGTAGAAGCACTCCAAGGCTAAAACGGAGGGAGGTGCTGGGAGGTGCACGTAGTGGAAGCGTTGAAGTCGATATCGTATGTAGGCGCCCCACTCTCCGCGGTATGACCCGGAGATGAATTTCACACAAGAACTTGACGCGGAACGTCCCGAGTCCCTTACTATTCTTCATTTCCTTTTTCTTTCCTCTGAGAAAAAATCCCCTTGGAGGTGACCACTTTCAGTCCTAACCTTGTCTTGCTAATCTAAACGTTCATATATTCAGTTTACTCGTACTGGGCTACGTCTCAGCCGTCATCAATATTGAGCCCGAGATTGGAATACTATGGCGTGTGGAAGCTGTCGATCGAAGTATCGACATGGCCATACTGAGAAGATAGTGTGGCGAGGGCTGAGAACTTCTTTCTAACTTTACTGATCGCCTGCTCTTTCTCTCTCTAGACAAAGAGTGCGGCGCACTGTAGGCCATGGTAGGATCGGACCTTGTCACAAGTTCACCACTTTTGTCTCGTTTGGGATCGGACCTGGGGTCCTTCGGATGCCGAAAATATACTGTGGCCCACAGGGAAGCTGGTCACACATAGAAGCTGGTCAAGGATCGATAGAATTTGATTTTACAGAATGGCATCATGGGTCTTCTACATATACAGCAGGCCTAGTGGCTCTCGTCGAGTTCTTCAAAAAAAACTCAGAGAGTACTCGTGAAGCCCTTGTGAAAAACGGAAAAATGCTGTGAGAGATGGTGTTTCTGTGGCACTTTTGGGCCATGCCCGGAGCCTGACTGACCTCGACAGCCTTGCCAGGCGTCAATGTGAGCGTACTCACATCAAATAATGTATCTATGGTCTGAAATATGATATGGTATGAGTTACTACGCATTGTTTGGGCATCTATTAGTTGCTTATTATTGCACATATCATCTTTTTGTGAGGGGTTTACATAGCCGAGTAGTCAGAAGAGGCTCTCAGATGGTCAAGCTCTATCGTAGTCGTTCACACTGGCTCCTACGACCAAATTATATCCACTGTTTCATTGCACTGTATAATTCATTTTCCGATAAAGCTGGTATTTTTACCGAATTGTTTGGGCTGAGAACACCCTGATCTTCTGAAAGTGGCTGTTTTCACCCTTCTCAAAAGCCCGAATGAATATTGAGCCCAAATAAAATCTGATTGTCCCACAAATATTTGTGGGTATGAAAGCATATATATTGAATCGTTCTGGGTACTTTTGGTACCAAGTCAAGCAGTGATCGTGGGCATAAAGTCGGCAGACAAGGGGGATGTGGCAGGATGTGGCGCCTTTCGGCCACCCATTTCGGCGATGGCCGCGCTCTTTTGGCGCGTGACCAGCTTCCCTGTTTCGCCACTTTCTGGACTCGCCTCCGAAGAATATTCACGCACTACCATTCCGTTATCCTCCGGAGTCCAGCGTGCATATTTGAGTACAAAAGATGCCAGTCTATACGACTGGACTATAATTATGTGGAAATTCAGCATATATATTAGCGGAGAGGTGGAGAAAGCTCGGGTGACCAGCTTCCTAGTCCGCCACAGTACGCACTATGATCAAACATGAGACCAGTTTTTGGCCCAAATTGTCCGCACTAGGATTGGACCTCGCCCAGCATATGCCATGCGCCTGAGTGACAACGCGTCGGGAGCATCGCGCTCAAGTCGTGCCACTAACGCGCCACATCTTCGACTACGGGCGCTCGAATTCGAATTGCATGATGGAATTCAGAAAAGCGACGTACGCAAAAAAAAATCCGAGTCCCGATAAGACAAAGATGATACCATGCTAACTTAATGCAATGCTAATCAAAGAGAACTGGATGTTTTCGCGATATATCACCCTCGAAGCACCTCCATCCCACCCCATTCCAGTACCCTGAATAACCCCGCATTCGAAGCCTTCTCGGCATCAACACCAACCACTTCACACCACATATCCACGTTGTTCGTCACACGGACTTGAGCTTCAGGCCACAGCTCCAAGTTCTCTAAAGGTACACCCTTGAACAGCATGAAGACCCGGGTAACGACATCCGGGGCGGGAGAAACGTTGAGGGGTGCAGCGCGTTCGTATGCTGCCTGAGGTACGAAGCGAAGGGCAACATGGGTGTGTTTGAGGAACGAAGGCAGCCAATAACTGAAACATCAAGTTATCCCGTCGAGCGTCAGAAAATGGTAAGAGAAGGCACCCTGTTACTCAGTACATACGTGATAAACGAGGTTCGCGCCTCAGTATGAAGGCCAAGCGTCTTCAGGACTTTGTCGAGATACGGCATGAGGAGGGGTACCGGAAGTACAACTGAGTTGTTGTCGTAAAGGTCGCTGGTGTTTGGACAAAACCGCTCGACAAAAGCATGTTGTCCTGGTAAGGGAGATGATGGAGGAGAAGGGGGCGTATCTGGAACGGTCCTTCGCGCGATATCAATACATCTGAACATCCAGAGACGAGACGACGAGAACAACTTACTTTGCTTCCCAGTAAAGATACGCTGCGTCTAAGCCCGTGTTCTTATCGGTCAGACTGCTGCCTCCGTGGATATATACGTCCCAAGTGATGTTTTGGCCGCCCAGGATTTCTGTCTTCACCGGAACAACAGGATATATGGCGGACAGCGTCCAGCATGGGATAAGAGAGAGGTTCACTGTCGCGTCCAGTTCCGTTGGTGACATGAGGTATATGACTGGCTTTCCTCCTGTCTGCTTGGGGAGGACGTAGATGATATTGTGCCCAGGAATCCAGTTGATATCACCGACGGTCGCAGTCGGAGAAATAGGCGACCAAAGATAGATAAGGTGTAAATCTGTCGCATCTTTCTGAACCCTCTCAGCAAATACCCGTGTGATTTTGAGCATACTGATGGAATCTTTGACGCAAAAATCAAATCGTGGTCCACTATACGATAGGATAAGACTGATGATCCGCTTGGGCTGGGAAGGAACACTGGCTGGAAAAGATTAACATCGATGTGAACATTGTCATAATGAAGACGACGGCAGTAGCTACTTACTAGATACAAGGGAAGAGCTTTGGGCAGGGACTGTTGGCTTGATATCCAGCGACGCGCGTGCTGGGGTGCTGTCGCATCTAGGGGGCATAGCGCCTAAGATCCAGTAGCGGAGCAACTCAATGACTCCTCCATAGTATCGCATCACAACGACAATAGCGGCGGCTATGATTCTCACCTCGTACGACAAAGACAGAATCCAGAATCGTCATCGCTTGCTCCCAAAATTCGGGAGAGATGTCGACCATGTCTCCCGGAAGAATGTCAAGTTCGTCACTTTGGAGGTTGATCTCGGCTTTCGGGATGGATGGAAAGTATTTTGCGGCAACAGAGATGGCCTCCTAAGCACAAGAGTATCGGGCCCTATAAATCGATGTCAAAGTTATTCATGATCACTGGCACACTCACTTCATATGTTTTCGGACGCGGTACAATAACGCGTCTCTTACTTCCGGATGCTGCTTTGAGAATGAACCCATTACTCGAATTCGTAGTTGCGGTCGAGCTACGCGTAGATACCCTAGGCATATCGAATGTAATACTTTTGTAAAGGTGCAAGATGATCTACGGTCAGAGGCTGGCGGCATCAAGGAATGTGCCATGAGGCGCTTGCGGGGTTCGAATTCCATATCGGAGAGCCAACAACGCCACACAAGTCGAGGCCTGAAAGCAACCTCAAAGGCTCGTCCGAAAAGGTTGGCAAAAGGTTGACAAAAGACGTCATGTAAGAGACATCTGAAACTCCATTGTTCTTGGTGACTCTATAAAGGCGCAAGGTTGGGCCTTTCTTTCTTATCCGGACTTCTCTTGACCTTCTTCTTGACCACATCATCCACACTTATGGCTGCCACTCGTCGTGATACCCGAGAGGTTTCATTCCTTGGCACCGTGAACATCTTACCTCCCAACCGCAGCAAACTTGTTTATCGTAAAGGTTAATATACATTCATACCTCACTTCTGCCAACATCAATGCTAAGCGTTTCCAACAAGCCATTTTCAGAGAAAAGACCTACGAACGCCAGTCCGAGCTCGATGTTTCCACACAAAAAGAGGCTCTGGAATTCTTCAGACTGGCAAGAGCTCTCTTGATTAGGGGTTCAGGCCCGCAGATGGCGAGAAGTACGACGATGCTCCAGTTGGAGCTGCAAATCCTCCTCCCACAACTCACCCTGTCGCGTTCCCAAGCTTCGTCAGATGTCGATACTCAGCCTGAGTCGCCCATCCACCTTCCAACCGAAATCCTTCTCCGCATCCTCTCGTTCATTGAGACACCCTATCTTTCCGCTCGTCAACGCCGCCGGGTAATCGAATACGCCGGAGACAGTAGCACTTTGCCGCCTAACCCCTCGACGCTATTCGAAAGACATCCGAAGAGCAATCTTCCTGCGTCCTGGGTAACCGTCGCCGGAGCTGAAGGGGGAAGTCATGGAATGGGGTGGGGTTTGATTCCTATGACTGTACGACAGATGAGGCAAAGATGGTTGGCGGAGGTTGGTTGCAGAAAGTACGAGCTTGATGAATGAGTACGATGCGAAATGTCGGATAGAAGGCTGTTTCGGTATAATACTTCGATGGGTTTATCTGAAGAACATGGGTGAAAGGACGTACAATTGAATTGGAACTGTAAGGGGCTAAAAACGGTGAATCACGATACGTATAATACAGCTGATCAAAAACCTCGTCGAGGAACATCATGATCTCGAGGCCATGTCGGGTTGTTGAACAGAAGCACCAGCACATAAGACTGAAACGAAGTAACTGACACGAGAACATAATATGCATATTCGCTTAATCATTGACAAAGTCATCGAGCTGACGCATATCCAATACAATTTGGGGGGGTGTCGGAGCTATCTGCAGATGACTGTCCGGACCTCCCACCGTTCGGCTTCAAGGCCTCCTTGAGGACATCGACTAGCATCTTCCCAAGCCTTCTCGCCAGGGTTCGCAGGAAGTCGATGGGGACTCCGAATTGCGGCGGATACCAGGGGTATATCGTCGAGTGGGTCCCGAAGAGGGCCAGGTTGGGAGGAGCGACGTTCCTGGATCCTGCGCTCCCCGGTGCGTCGAGCGAGTCGTGTGGGTGCCAGTAACGGTACAGCTGCCAACAACACCAGCAACATTTCTTGCTGACGGCAATCGGTGATCGCCCAGTCTGTCAAACAAGCGTTAATCGGTCAGGATAGAAGCGGCGAAGGGCTTCAAAGATAAAGAGGCGAACTTGGAATACGTCCAGGAGGATATCTCGATGTCGATCATCGATACCGGAAGCCGGTCGCGCAGATTCGAGACATTATATTCGGCAAGGGTATCCATAGGGTGCTTCTCCCAAGTCCGGCTACCTTTGAGGATGCGGGCTGCGATTATGGGAAAGGCTTGGTGGACGATGTAGAGATGAAACTTGACACAGAGGTTTTGGATAGCCTCAGAAGACTGGGGGTGACGCTCAAACAGACGAAAAGTCTCGAGGATGGCAAAAATATTCTCATAGTGTGACGCAGGGCTTTGCAACGGCCATGAAAGGTTCATAAACTCGCGGCTCACTTCGTCAAAGATGAGAGAACGACTGAAAAAGACCTACTCTCTTTTACTCCACTGCTGAAGAACCTCCTCTCCACTCACGTCCGACTCCAAGGACTCCAGCTCTATGGTCTTCGGAGAAAGGGTCGTCCTTGTGTTCTGACTGACCAGTACGAGTGTGTCAATAGACGTTGGTCGAACGTTTGCGGTGATGGCGACGACCCGACTAGCGTTGTCATCGTTGACATTTCCCGTAGTCCCAGTATTCAAAATAGTATTGATGTGCTGTAGGATCCTGAACGTATCGTCTGCGTATTTCTTGCTCTCTGTAGGTGTGTGGACGGCGACCTCGTAAAGCGGTGGTGACGAGCGTTATGAATGCGGACAGATGCTCGCGCTCCGTTGCTGGCTCTGTATCAGACATCCTAATGATAGGTTAGGATGGAAGCTGATGATCTCGTGGATAAAGTCCAGCAATACCGGGAAACAACAATCGGGGAAGGAAGAAGAGCACTTGTCTTTTTCTCGTCCGAGTCGCGCCACAATTGGAGTGTGGCGGTGCTCTCCGAGCACACGGCGTCGCGGTCTCTGGAGTCTGGTCACTGACTCGTACTTTGAGCTTTGAGTGTAGCTCGAGGTAACCTCTCAATCGTCTGTAGACCAAGGGATATCGCATCAGCATAGCCACAACAAATAATACACATCCGTGAATACACATTTTGTGCTGAAAACCGGCAAAAAACCGGACAAGTTGAATACAGGAAGTACAGTACAGGTTTGGTACAAGTCGCGACGCCAACATAACACAACAACGACCACTTTCCGAGTCAACAGTTGCAGTCCGTATCTGTGCGTATTTCTCGAGTCAAAAAAAATGCTACGTAGCTTCAAGAGGTATAAGGATATATAACGTGTGTCCGATCACAATGTTGGGGCGTACAAGATGGGATTTGGTTGAGCTGACGAACGATGCAGATGATCCACAGGCAATGTAAGAAATGTGAGAGCGAATGAGACAAAGTCATGATGATAATGTAGGCGGATGAAAGAGCGAAGATAGGAATAGAATGAATGCAAGAGGCAAAATGTCTGTGAGATAATGGATGGAGGATGTTATAGTGAAGTAGGTTCCGCCACATCAGGCTTGAACCTCAGTCTCGCCAGCAAGACCGTGTCCCACGGCGCCGACGACGATTGTACAGACGATACTTTGCTGGCCGAATCGGTGTTGCCCTCCATGCTCTCGTGGTATACCGGACCTCCGAGCATCGAGTTCGACAAGGTCGCGGTACTGGTCGTGGAGAAGTAGCCCCATGGCTGTCCGGGGCGTGCTCCAGTATACACGTTGAAGTTGATCTGGCCATCGGGGTGGTTGTGGCTGACGAACATAGCGTAGTCGGGAGCTTCCAGGGTACCGATGACTACAAGAACAAACACAAAGTTAGTTTTATGCCACAAATCGGACACAAGCAGGAAGATCAACAACGTACCAAGGAAGACATCCTCCTTCGTCACAGAGTGATCCTTCCCGTAGAGCTCCAGGATATGGTCAATATTTCCCTGGAACCACTGCTTCGTCACCTCCAACTCCTCCATATACCGATACATGGTCGACTCGGCATAGAGGTACGCCGTCTTGTGTCCCGCGCGCAGCTGGAAAGGCTGAGTGCGGCAGATGGTATTTCTGTTGAAAAGCGCAACGAACGGTCAGCAATTGCATAGCGCTGACAGATTGAAGTTAAGAGAAAACGCACGCAGCAGAGCCATCTCCCTTACTGCGAGAGATCATACCCTGGACCATGTCATACCCTCTCAACGCCGCATTCCGCTTATCCTGCCTTTGCCTTCCCTGCGACACCTTTCCATACCCCGAAAGACTGGGGATGAGATTCGCACGCCCTTTCGAAGTCCTCGTAGGATCGTAAGAGTTGAACAACGTCACGAAAGTACCACTTGGGCGATCGAGGTAGCCCACCGCTCCGACCGCCACAGGAGCAGGCGACCACAGTGGCAGAGTCACTATGTCGTCGAATATCAACGTCAGCCAGAGATACACGTCACAGAATAACGATTGAAAACTGACGAGAAGTGTGATACTCATGCTGCAACAGCATCCTATATCTCCTTTCGTCCCTCGCCTCCGCCGCAGCCGAATCGAGTGGAGGTGGCGACAGGAAGCCAGACTGAGGCAACAAGACACTCCTCTCCGACTCGCTGTCGTCAGGTGTACGAGTACCAGTGGATGATGCGACGCTGGTAGGGCTTGGCTGGAAAAGTATCGACCCGTGTCCCCTCTCTGTCGTGTGGTCGTCGTGCATGTTGGTGAACTCGAGTCCGCTGCGAGGTAAGTCGCCCACAGCTGTAGTGTAGGTCGCGTCTGACGACAAGGACCCCAAGGAACCGACTATCAGGTCATCTCGCGCTGTAGAGATTGATTAATTGAATAAATTGGAACAAAATATCATCGAAAACTTACGCGAAGTGCCAGGCAAAGGTATAGGATGCATGTCTGGCGACGGCCGATCATGCTCGTGTTCTTCGTGTCGAATCATAGACAGTACACTGGAAGGACGCGGAGAGTCCGGAAGAGGCGACCCAAGCTGCAGTCGTAACCTCTCAACATCACGTTCGATGGTGGTAAACGTGGGTCGAAGCTTCGGGTCCCTGTTCCAACATGCCTCGATAATGCTATTGACGCCCGAGGGGCAGGTGGGATTGAGAGGTACTGGGGGGCGCATGTTGTTCTCTAAGGATTTACAATAATCGTCAGAATCATCAAATTTGTATCACGGCGAGAAACGTACCAAGAACGAAGCGTCGCACGGCATCGTCGTCCGTCAAAGCCCAAGGCAGGGCACCTTTGCCTATGATCTCGACGCAGGTGATAGCGAAGGCGTAGACGTCGATTTCAGCAGTAAGGACTCCGTGCGCTCCAGACATGAGCTCAGGAGCTTGCCACCGTAAGGTACCGCCTGCAACGTTGATGTCAGCACAAGAAGGACGGAAAGTGTGAAAGTCAACGTACGAGGGGGAGCGGTACCACTGATCCTTAGCGCTTCAGACTTCATCTCGCTCTGCCCAAAGTCAGAGATGACGCAGTGCATATGAGCGTCGACGAGAATATTGGCACCCTAAAGAAACCCTCCAGGTCAGATAACTTCTAATGTGAAAACGATAGCAAGAGGACGTACCTTCAAATCACCGTGCAAAACACCCCTCGAATGCAGGTATGCCATCCCCTTCGCCACCTCATGCACCATCCTCAAATAATCCACATTCGTCCCCACTTCCAACCCCCTCAAATACTCCACCAAACTCCCATTCTCAAAATACGGACTGACGAAGAACCAAGGCGGGTCCCCACTCGCGCTCGAAGCACCCAACAACTCCAACACGTTCGGATGCACGAGAGTCTTCCACATATGGATCTCGTGGATGAACATATTCCTCGGCGTCGTCTCCGCAAGGACCTTGATCGCCACCTCATGATCCCTCCACTTGCCCTTGTAGACGTCACTGAAGAAGCCTACCCCGATCTTCCGTTCCAGGTCGACTTCGTAGCGAGTGATGGTCCAGGGAGGAAGAGGCTGGTCGTGAGTGCCAGAGATACGTCGGAGACAGTCGATGCCGATTTCCATGAACTCGCGATCGAGCGTATCCTTAGAGGTCTTCGAGGTCGAGCTCCCGCTCGCTGAACTATGCGTGCTGACGTACGTCCCGGAGCGAGAGATGGGGTTGCCGCTGGGAGCAGTCGTAGCACCAGCGCTGGTGACCGTGAACGCCCTCTGTCGCTTCAAACCCTTCGGCTTCCAACCTTTCCGAATCGCTTCTTCCTCGTCCTCGAGAGTCGCAGAGGTAGAGGCGGTAATCGTCATGGCCGTAGAGGTCCCTTCGGCCTCGAATTCCTTCTCCACCTCCTTCTCCAAAGCTCTCTGCAAAGTCTTGATCGCCTCCGGCATCTCATCCCTCCCGACCTGCAACACCTCGATCATCGTAGCATCGTTGTTCGTCTGAAGAGCCGTGCGCATGAGTTGTCGTAAATCTGCGAGATCATGGGCCTGATCTGCCTCGTTCTGTTGCATGCGGACCCTTTGAAGGAGAGTGTGAATCTGACTGGGTGATGAGGGTGTCGGAATGGCGGTGGTGGGTTCTGGTGCAGCGAGGAGAGGAATGTTGGACGGAGGTAGAGTGTTCGGGTCTGGGATTGACAGATCGAGGCCTAGCGAGGACGCGAGGAGTTCTGCGGCGTCTGCGGCGTCTTTCTGCCGGCGGGCTTCGTTCGCTTGGATGAGCTTGAGCGTCCGGATTTGGATGGATAGCTAGACGCCCAACAAAGAGGGATCAGATCTCAAAAACTAATGGAGATATGATGTTCGAAATGACTCACCCCGAACATCCCGAGAGCGTCACTCAAACCCGCGTCACAAGAGGAGATTTCGCGCAGAATCTCATCACGTTTCAAGTACCGGTGGAGGAAAGGGCGGTGGGTTTGCTTCTTCAAAAAAGTGAACACATTACCAAACGACCTGTCGATCATAGTCAAGGCCGATCAGACAAACAGACTCGAGGATTGGATGCCGGTATAGGCGTCAGAGGATGGATGCTTACTCGTTCAGTTTGGCGATGGGAGCTTCGAGTTCCACATTCACGGCGTTCCCAGCGTCGAGAATCTCCTGGCGGACGGAGAGCAAGATGTCGGCACAGCGCTCTGTAAGACGAAGACAAGCGAGACGGTTCATCTGAGGGAGTTATCAGCACAGCGTCGAAGAAAACACAAGGGAAGCACGCTCACCTCAACCATCTCAAGCGCATCCCAAATCTCCAGAAGTGTACGCCCGGCGAGTTCGAGGCCAGGGATCGGAGCGAAGCGTAACAGATCAACTCCGGCAAACAAGATTTCGTGTGCCACTCGTGCAGTGGTGCCGAGGACGGACGCTGCGGCCTCAACGACGCGCTATACAACTCCCGAGTCAGCATGATGTTTTAGACAATTCACCGCCTTCCCGAAGATAGATCACCAATATCTAAAAATGGACGTACGTCTTTCGTATGCACATAGCCCTCCATCTGCTCTACCGGAATTGTCTTCTTCTTCTGCGCGCCCTCCGTCCACGGCCTTGGTGGGTGCTTCTTCGGACTCCACCAAGTTGAACCAGGCGATATCCCTTCACCTTCCTCGTCCTCTCGCCGGCGGACCTGGGGATCGCGAGACCTAGACCTCGAGTTCGATCTGCTTCGGAATGTACTCGCGGCGCTGAAGACTATTGTGGAGATCGATGAAGTGGACTTCGTATCTGGGAGTGGGTTGGAATGGATACGAGTGATGGGGAGATCTGGCGGAGTCAGAGGCGCAGAATGCGTCTGTCCGCGCGAAAGATGAATGCCAGAGGGAGGACCATCAGCACGAGAGATAGTTGGTGGAGGAGTGCTAGATGAGAACGAGGGGCCGCGCGTATGGCCGGTCGAAGACGCTGGTAGTGGAGTGACGCCTGCTTTCGGGGTTGTCTGTGGGGATTGTGCGATACGCGGGCTACTGGTAGAAGGATTCAATGGAGAAGAAATGTGCACGGTGGGTGTGGGATCGGAGACAGCGTGTGCGATCTGAGGGGGTGAGAGTACTGCAGGAGACTTGGATGACGACGACGAGGTAGACGATCCGGGCGATGCTTTCGGATTGGAAGGCGCCTTGGAGGGCACCGCGGACGACTTCCCACTCGAAGATGATTTTGAAAACATCAGGGCGTGAGAGGGATGGGGGAAGGTAGTGAGCGGGATGGGTGACTCGGGTAAAGAGAGGACGCGTTATATAGGGACAGCGGGTAGAGGGCGCACAGCTGTCATGTACTGCGTGATCTCGAGCACGAAATAGGAAAAGAATGGAGCACAGGTAGAATGATGTCGTGGAGGCTGGTGAGAGAGCTCTGAGAGCGTCTCCGACAGCGCTCTCTCCCAATGACGGCGTGCACAAAGTCCGAGAAGCACCTCTCGGGCGCGTGGGAACCGCGGCTCCTCCAACCTCCTTCCATTCTCGGCACCCCCAGCGCCACCGCCACACCACCCGGCGCTCAACCATACGGCACACTCACCTCCTCGAGCACACGTCGGTAAATTGGAAGAGCGGTTCTATGGAGGGTCTCACTTGAAGCAGAAGACTTGGAATGCCGCTCCGGTAAATAAAGCAGTTAGACCGCCGGATGTCGATTGTCGAAAGTTGTCTCGGACGTCGCTCCGTACGGTGGCTCCAAGATGGAGGCAAATCGGTTTAGGAGAACCGCTCGGGACTTCGGGACATTGAGGCTCGAGGACCAAGATCTATGTTTCTGGTATATTCTATATATGAACACGAAGACGAAGGTAATATGAAGCGAAGAACACACCTTGTGGTAACGATCTTGTAGCGCGAACTGTCAAATATCATGCCTGCTAAGAATAACTCCCAAGAAAGACGTGTCCATTTGGAATGAGTGCTGAAGTATTTTATCGACTCTGAGGACAACTGTGAGCAGCAATCACCATAAGTCGAAAAACTGCGAATACTGTGCTAGGGCAATGACCTACTGACCGAGTACTCCGAGTTACACTGTCGACAATGACAGACATCGACTCATGACGCACCAAAAACAGACGAACTTGCAGCTGCGCTCAAGCAGAAATGAACATCGGACCCGAAGCACCTTAATATAGTGATAGAAGTTAGCACAGGGTAAGAATTTTGAAGGGAAGAGCAGAACAGACCTCGAGGTGCTGTCCGCGTCGATCAGGATAACTGGGAGACTTTGCATTTCGGCGGGAACTTGAGTGTTATTTAACCACAATCACGCTCCGAAACCCACGGGACGACGAGCAAATGTCGATCTCCAGCACACAGAATTGTGTCAGGAGTGCCACTAGTACAGACAGAAGTACGGCTGGATTCGTACAAAATCATTCCATCCACTATTCTCAACATCACTGCGATCCTTGACACACTGGCAGTCAGAGTGCAGCTGCAGATAACCGAGTCCAGCAGCATGCAGAAGCCTGCCCAGTCACAAAGACAATGGCGACTCGAAAACCTGGAGCTGCGGCACCGATACCGCGAAAAGACAGAGCGGTCCGATTTGGGTCCGATCCATACCTCAATCTGTTGTCCTAATCTAGTCAGGCCGGTGGCCCGGTGAACTAGGATTTTGGATAGGGGCACTTTGATCGGAGAGAATAGAGAAGAGGACGCCGGGCAGATTGTGACCCATAGTTGCGTCGACTAGAGAGCGGCACCCAGGTTGCAGAATGAAGATATGGGTGCGTATATATTTGAAAAAGAAGGAGCTCGGGGCGCATATATTGGGCTTTTTTACATAGGTAAGAGGCTGCGGGCCACGCACCGCCCAGCTGTAGTCGCCCGTGTCCGGATAGAGGTGCCAGCTAGACCATTGTGTATTTATGTGGCTACGAATGTATATAGAGACTTACCTCCAAGAAAACATAAGACAGATGGGTGCTTTTACGCGAGTACTAGCGGGTACTAGCTCCCAAACTGTAGTCAAGATACGCCACAGTTGGGGTCACCAGTGGAGTGACGTGCGACGGGCGCTGAATCCACCAAATATTACGGATAGATAGTATTCAGAGAGATATTTCGCAGAGGAATTTGAGTAAAGCTAGAAAGGTAGACATAAGACGGTGATGGTAGGAAACAGGAGGAAGAAAGCGGAAGGGTATCGTGCGCGAGAGGGTGGCGAGAATCGGCAAAGACCGGGAGCCGACTGCCGGGGCTTCCACAAGCGCCGGCAAATTGCCGCGTTCCGAGTCAACTTGAAACCTGCGGAGAACTTTCAACTCCCAAATCAGTGGTCGAGTCCAAACCTTCGCCTGCGAGTGCTTGCTTGTATATTCCTTCATCAGTTTTCTCAGTCTGATACAAACCTACAGATGTCAGACGTAGAATCGGTCGAAAGCCTCGAAGAAGAGCGGGAAAAACTGTCCTCTTTCATAACTTTCGCTTCCGCCGCTTTACAGTCACGGCGACCAGACCCGCCGGCGGTAGCCAAGGACCACTCCAACCAAACCCTCCGCATCCTACAGCATGTTACTACCCTTTTGAACACCGGAAATATTCATAGAAACAACTCCTCTCGTACCATTACTATAACGGCGAATGTCCGGCGCCAGTTCATCGACGTTCTCATTGTCGCTAGTGAGGATGCAGGCGAGAAAGCATCTTCGTGGCCGATATCATTGAAACAGCTAATACCGACGGCGAGTGGCAAGGAGTTCCTCAAACGATGGTCGGAGCCGGAACTAGAGTACGCCTTACTCAACACGTTCTCGCTGATCAGAACCAAGTATATCGGTGCCGAGCAAGTTGTTGACTTCTCGTCGTTTTTATCTTTGCTGGCAGTCACAACTCACACTGAACGAACGTGCTATCCATCATCGAACTGATCCGCTCACCTGGTAACAACCCGGGATCTCCAGAAGCCACGGAGGCACGTATCGACCACACCAATTGTTACCTATACATCATCAACCATGCATTTCGTAAGATTGCGGCACGCATTCTCAAAGGCGGGCAGATCTGGGAGAAACACCCTATGGATACGCTTGCAGGTTACGGCGTATCTGACCTCTGCGAACGACTTAGTTTACCCAAAGCGATTGAAGCCTCCGATATCATACATGGCTGGCTCAGAGATCACTACAATGTTCTCCCTCTGGACCAAGGGACGCCTGCCGCTAGCTCCAGATACGCTACCTATCTAGTGACTGCAGACACTGTCGGCCAATGGATCAAAGCTCTTACGAACACCTTCGCTAGCCTGAGAGGCGTTTTTGTCACTGACGAAAACTGTATAAAGGAACCCGCAGAGAACGAGCGGAGATGTGTCGAGGGTCTTAAGCATCTGCTTATATTTCAGGCATTGTTACGGTGCCACATCCTCGATTTTCTCCTGTCCGATGGAACTCTTGCGGCAAAAATGGGGATGAAACCATTTGGACGTATGTTCCCACCTTTCATTCCGCTTCTCTAGCCCCCATTCTCACAAATAACGAACGAGCAGAAGTGAAAGCTGCGGACCTCGGTCGGTTTGGGCCTGGTGGAGAAGCGACCAACGAAGACGAAGACCATGGTATTTTTTTCATCTTAGCTTTGCGCAGATTCTGTACGTTTCTAATGAAATCTTCCATCATCATAGTATTCGCCGACGATCTTATGTCCGCCACATCACGCAATCCCATTATCCACTACTTAAATTCAATCGTCGCATGGCCCGCGGCCGTAGAATGTCTTCAAGTTGTCGGCAAATCCATTCCATTACCTATACGCGCACATATTATCACTGTTCCTCATTCTGTCGCCTCCACCACTGACGGTCTCGCGACCGAATTCAAGGCCCGAATCCTAAAAGACACTCGCTTGCGGCATCTGGATCAAGCTTTGTTGAGCACCGCTCTAGACGATCGTCTGAGGAACCGATCCGAGGAATCAACGATACATGCGGAAGCAGTCATGATGACTCTTTCTCGCTCGTTCTCGTGGACCGACGTCTCAAAGGAGTCACAAATGCAACTGGGTATTGACGAAAACGGACGAAACAAACTTCTTGATATGTTTCAGGTTCGTCCAGGTTGCCTCAAATGTCTCCTTCGCCTCTATAGTAACTCGTTGAGTAGGCTGAGCAGACTCCGATAGCCGTCAGCAAGAGATGCTGCTGGTGCTGTTGGCAGCTATATCAATACTATCAACCCGCCTACCTAAGACACCCACCAGGCGTCTGTCCTCCTCCCAAACTCCTACTTTTCGGGACCCACTCGACAATACATCAATGGTCTCCACCGCATTTCGGAGTCCCGATAGACTTCCTTCGCAAACTAGCCTATGGACTGGAGAGGATATTGGTTGATAATCTCAAGGAGGAAGCCGAACTGGATAGTGACAATCCCGAGCCATCGTCGCCAGACGATTTCTTCCTCTGTACGACACTAGACGATCTTGACAAATTTCTCGAAGATTGTGAGGAGTAGATGTTAGTTAGAAGGTGCGTTTTCGTTGTCACTTGTGAGTGTTTGTATGACGTCAACTCGTTTTCTAGGCTCTCGGGGTTGATGAACGAGATCCGTGTCTTTCTGTTTATCCAGTAATGTAGTGGTTAGATGTAGGCCCAACGAACTTGTAAGGGATTTGTGGAAAAGCGATGTATTAGACGTTATCTTCAGCGCGAAAAGTGGATTTTTGGGTTGTAAGGCGCTGCGAACGAAATGTAAAAGTGAGAATTTCAAGTGATTTTTCAGTTTGAAGGGGAATGTGTAGGCTGGCCGTGATTGGCTGATCACCCTCTTTTGGCCTGCGTCTGGCACTTACCGAGGGTTGTAAGCGAACTACGACTTGAAAATTGAAGTTTGCGACCTCCAAAGTAGCCGATTTGAAGCTCATAGAACCTCTCGGTTTTCAGGCTGCAGATAACATCTATTAAGCTGCTAACGCGGGATCGTCTCGAGCAAAAAGTCCTTTCCGACCGAAGGGTTTCAAGATGGTAGCGTAGAGTAGGCACAGTAGAGCAGGATTAAGGAAGCAACGAGATGTGAAGTGATTATAGCATAGGTAAAAATACTGTAAAGTATATCGGTAAGGGACATGTGAAGTTGAGACTCATAATCGACGAGTTCCAGCAAGATATCGAGAAATGGAGAGTCCATGTATCGTAGAAGTGGTCGTGAAATGTCGTCTAATTTATACGGCGTATAAATGAAATGAAGAAGTCGATATTCTGTAATGGTCCTAATGAATGAGCAGGTAAAAAGGATTGACTAGATTCTCCAAATTCGAAGAGGGCCTTAGAGGAAGAGATATTGCTAACGACGCAATGATTGAATGGAGTTTGAGACTGTTGCACGGACCTGAACTAACACCATCACTATCTTCGCGAGGCGCTTAGCATGTTCGACACGGAGCTACCAGGCTGAACCGCAATGAGTCGTCGAATGTAAATATTGATAGAAATGGAAGCACAACCAAGTTCGGGATTTGGAATAGAACCTGCACAACGGCGTGATAGTAAATGGAATAGCGAAAGGCAGATAACAACGATGTTCATCAGATATCCATTGTCTGCATAAATACACTATAATCAAAACGTAGAGCGAATGGCGACTAGAATGAGCAGGCAAGTTGTAACGACAGTGTAAGTATTCGCGATCAGGGACAGCACAACATTGATCTACGTAGGGTAGAAATGGAATCGCGATGCTCTGAAGTATGCGGAAGAAGGTAGAGAAGTCACAGTCAAATGCAAGTATTACAAAAATGACCGAATGATATAGTGTCCAGGATGGAGTACGGTGACAATATTGTAATAATGCGCGGTCATGAGGGTCATGGGCCGACGCTATCAAGAGAGAGTAATCAATCCTACAGTTATTATTGTGGGACATGAGGACTCAAAATTGAATCCGGTGCGTATGAACGGAGCTCTTAGACGGTCGCCAACTCTATCTGCCACCCTCCCTTGGTGACAGGATAGAACGCACGGAGAAATATCGTGTCGGCCGACAGATTTATGGGATGATACAAAGGGTCTCCAGAACCCGATCGCGAGTTTGATGAGGTGGACTGGCGAAGCGAAGAGTTTGACGTCGCCTTCTAAGGTAAAAGTAAATAAGCATGTTTCGGATGAGTGACCTATCGTGACAATAGGACGCTGACAATGATGAAATCCAAGTTGGACCTCAGATCGGTCGACTGACCTGAATGAACGACTTAATTATCTTTGTGAGGCGCTTAGCAAGCTCGCCACGGGAAATCGGCTGCGGCGGGTTTGCCCAAGTCTTGGTTCGCAATGTTTGCGAGTAGAGATCGTATCCTGGTACCTATTTTACCATATTAGTATACAGACCAATGGAAATATGAAGTTGTCACTGTCATCCCAGGAAAATATTGAAGTGCTCACCGAAAGATGCACAGTAATGTTCACACCCTGGCTCTCCAGAACAGTGGCGTTAGGATCAAGCAAGACTTCTGTCAGGTGACCCTTCGATGCCGTCTGCAGAAGAACTCCGGCGAAAGTGATGTTGGTATTCAATTGAGTGGAATTGAACTCCACAGTATTCAAACTACGGTCTGGTGGAACTCCATAGCGGGTCCTACCTGCCTTCGTTGGATGTTTGTATTTGCGCTGGAAGATGAGAGTGCCTCGTTCGATTGGGTTCAAGAAAGAGCGGTCCATCGGAGATACTGGATCTGGGGCCGGTGAGTGCAAGTCTACGGTGGGAGACCAGGGACATATGTAAGTGAACACTAATGTGATTGTGAGATACGTATGTCGTACTGGGGGCGGTGAAGCGGGAGGCAGGCTCTATAGCGGCTGGTACTGTCGCATACTATGTGAAAAAGAACGAGAGATCAGTTACGGAAGTGGGACATCCAAAGGTATAATACTCACAGGCGAGACGTTTGCCGCCGCCTTGTTTATGAACAACGCATTCAAATCCATGACGGGGCCCGATCCATATCCAGAGGAGCGCGACGAAACAAAATTGGACGATTGCCAAATATACTGGGATGAATATTCCGGAGAATAAAGCGGATGAGGTTGGGTTTGATACGCAAAATCCAAGAGAGGAAAGTGGTCGTCGATGGAGTGACTATGGGCGAAGGGTGTCGGGGGCTTCGGAGGACAATTAATGGTAAGGATGTTCGGCGATCTTCTGGCTAAATAGACACAGGCAAAGAAAATCTAACAGTGACATACCCTAATGGTACAATCCGATGACGGATGTAGAGATTGATACACGGTTGCGGGAGGATGTTGCGTAAATGAGAGAATTTCAGGCAGACTCAGTTCCGGCTAGGATCAAAAATTCATGACATGAGCGACAAATTCGGAACACGAACAGTACAGTAAGATATCTCAACTTACGTCTGAGCGGAGTGTTGAAAAAGACTGATCGGCGTAGCAATATGCGGATGCCCCGGATGAGAAGAAATGTGAGCCGCTGATATCATGCTCGTCGGGGAGGAAGTTCATTTGTTGAAGGTCTTGATCATCCGCTTCCGAGGAGAAGGAGCTGATCATTGAACTTCAGTATAACAATTCCAGCGAAAAGTATTACGCTACTTACGCCTCAGATGGCAAAGAGAAAGAATCCGCCATGCTGAAAGTGCGACAATTATAGATCTAGAGGGAATAACTGTCAGTGTTCGAGACGCATATCCAACAGGCGTACACTATATGCAAAGCTTATGACACAACATACATACATTTTATGAAAAGCTTACGGGTTTCGTCACCAAATAGACGGGAGATTCTGAAGTAATACAATTGGAAGAAAAGATCGTGTCCACGAGAAATAAAAGAGCGACAGAGAAGGTTCGTTTGGAACAAAGAACGTGTGGTACAAAGCAGGCAGAAGACGATGGATGACGGGAGAGGCGAGACGGGATTGGAAAGTCAAGTACCTTGCATCACTTCTTCTCCCTCAGAGTTTGAAGGTATAAATATATGGGGGGGGG